TAATATAAATTATACGGTTTAATTTAACTTAAATTTAATTAATATAAAAACTATTATAAAATATAATAATATTATTAAATATAATCTATTTTTAAAATTAAAAATATTTAATAAAAAAAATAATAATAATAGTAAAAAAAATTCAATTTTATTAACAAATTAAAATAATTAATTATTTAAAAATATATTAATAATATTAAATTTAACTTAATTTTTAATATTTATATATAACAATATTATTAATATTTTATTTCTAATTAATAATTATTAAATTTAAAAAATTAAAATATTAAATTTTAAAATAAAATTAATAATTTTTATAAATTTTATTAATATAAACCATAAAAAATAGATATTTTTATATAAAATTATTATTTTATTTTATAATAATAATAATAATAAAATTGATAAAATTTAAAAAATTTTTATATAATTATTAATTTTAATAAATTGGTTTTATAAACATTTACTTTTTCTATTTATATAAATAATTAATATTTTATTAAAAATTAAGAAAATACTAACTAAAACACGGTTTTATAAAGCTTAAATATATTAGAAATTATAATTTAAAAATTATTATAAAAAATAAAACCATAAAAAACAAAAAACCTAATTTATTAAAAAATTTTTATTAATTATAACTAAATTAATATTATTTAATTTAATTTCTTTATTTAAAACTTTTTTAAATTTAAATATTAATAATAATATATATTATAATTTAATCAAATTTATTAATAATCTTATTAAACTATATCATAAACATTATTAATCTAAATTAATATATATATTTAATAATTAATATTTTTATTTTTTATATTTAAATATTATAATTTTTTTAAATAATTAAATATATTATTATTATATTAACCTTTTATATTACTATTATAATATTTAAAATAATAATTTAAAGGTTATAAATTTTTATATAAACCAAATATATAATTTTAATTTTAATTTATATAAGAAATTTTATATTATAAAAAATATTATTATTAAAATATTACAAATTTAAAAATATATTTGTTTTGGTATTTAAAATAAAAAATTAAACAATATTTCTTTAAACCTATTATAAAAACTTAAAAAATTTATAATAATTTTAAAAAAAATTTATATACTAAAATATAATATATATAAATTAACAAATATATATTACAATTATAAATAAAATAAAACATTTAAAAATTCAAACCTTTTTAAATTATAAACCAACGTAAAAAAATAAATAAAATAAAATATTTCCTTACTAAAATATAATATTTCTATATTTTTATAAACCGTTTATAATAATAAAATATATTAATTTACTTAACGTATAATTTTTTTTAAATAATAAATAAATAAAAATTTTAATATATATAATATAAAAAAAATAATTTTACTTTATTATACTTATTTTATATAGGATAAATTAAAACTTTTTATTTATAAACAAATATTATTTAAAAATAAATAAGATTAAAAATAATTTAATATAAAATTAATTATATTTATTTTTTATATAAATTTTATTAATAATTTTAATATATTTTCAAATTTATATCAATTATTAATAAAAAATTATATTACCTCAATTAAGTTATTTACCATAAAATATTTTAAACCTAATAATATATATCCATTAATTTTTAAATTTTATAAATTAAACTTTAAAAACGTAATAAAGATTTTTAAAAAATTTAAAAAATTAGAAAAAGTAATTATATTAAATATAAAAAACTAATTTATTATAATATATACCTTTACTTTATATTATATTAAAAATATATTATAATAAATTAAAAATAATAAAATTAAAAACTTTTATAAAATTAAATTTTATTACTATTATTTTATTATATTAATAAAACATTTTTAATAATTAAATATAATATTAAATTATAATATAATTATAAACAATTATTTTTACCACTAATTTAAACATATATAAAAAACTATAATTATTAAATATAAAAATAAAATTATTAAAATTATATATAGTTTATAATAAAATATAATTAATCTTAAACTATTATTTTAAATTATTTTACTAATATTTAACTTTATATTTTTATAATTATTTAATACTATTTATTTAAAATATATTAAATTAACTAATTTAATATATAACTTTATTTACAATAGAATTTTAATTATTATAATAATAAATAAATATATATTAAAACTATAAATATAACCATTTTTACTTAATAAATAACAGTTATAATTATTAAAATATTACCTAATTAATTACAATATATTATCTTATATTATTTAATCAATTATTATTCTTTTTTTTTTTTACAATTAACTTAAAAAAGATTATATAAAACCTAATTTTTTCTAAAAAATATTTAAAAATAATAATTTAATTAATATTATTATACAAATATATATTATATTTATTAAAAATAATTATATTTTTATAAAATTTAAAACTATTAATATTAATTATATTTAAATAATACAAATTATTAAAATAATTAAAAAATCTTTTAATAAATTTTATATATATATTTCTAAGTTTTTAAATTTATAAATAAAATTAATAATATTTATTCAAGAATTTAATAATAAAAATACAATTATAAATAAAATAATATTAAAAAATATAAATTATTTATTATAATATTTTAATAATATTTTAAAATTAAATATTTATATTACATTTTATTTTATAAATTTTATAAAAAAATATAACTAAATAATTAATTATAATACTTTTATTAAAAAAAATTTATATTAATAAATATTTTTTTTTAATAAAATTAAAATTTTATATATTTTTATATTAAATTTTTAATTATTTAATATATTTTTTTTTAATAAAAATTTTAATATTTAATATTTATAATTAATTTAATATAAATAAATTCTTTAAATATTACATATAAAAAATAAATAAATATAATATTAAAAAAATTTTCTTTAAAAAATATAATATATAAATAATTTTATATTTTATTTTTTAAAACATATATAAAATTAAAAACCTTAAATTAATATTATAAATATATAAACTTTATTTAAAATATCTTATATTATTTAAATAAATATTTTTTTATTTTAATTATAATAAATTAACGGATAAAATAAATATTAATAAAGAAAATATAAAGAAAAATATTATTATGTTTAAAAATAATATCTATATTAATATTAAAATAATTAACTATATTTTTATATCAAAAATTAAACAATTAATCTATTTTATATAAAATAATAATTTATTTTTTATAAAGAATTTTTAACTATTATATTTATTTTTAACCAAATTTTAAAAGATATATTATTAAAACTATAAATATAAAAAATACTACCTTTAAACATTTAATTTTAATTTTAAAATTATATAAATTTATAAATTTATATTTAATAAAAAATATATTTATATTTAATTTATTTATATTTATTTATTTTATAAAAATTAATTAATAACCTATTATTTATATTAACTTTTAATTATAAAATTATTAAAATATAATATATTTTTAATATTAATAATTATATCCAATATTATAACTTTAACTATTTTAATTATATTAATTAAATATTTATATTTAAAATATATAAAATACTTTATATATTTACTTTAATAATATTATTATAATATATAAATATTTAAAATAAATTATTAAACTTAAATATATTAAAAAAAGTTAAAAAAATATTAATTATTATTAGATTTATAATAATTAAATTATTTAAATTATATATAATTAATATTAAACCCGTTAATTTTATTTATATAAATTAAAATATTTAATAATTATAACCTAAATATATAAAACTTATTTTTATTTTTTTTATTTTATTTTAAACTAATATTAAATAATTAACTAATAATATTATTTTTTTAATATTTAAAATTTTAATATTATAACCTAAGATATATAATGGTCATTATAATATTTATAATAGGAAAATATTTTTATTTATTATTATATAAATAAAAAATATATATATATTAAACCTATACTTATTATTATTTAAATATTTAATAATATTTTCATAAAATAAAACCTATCCAAAAATATTTAAACCTTTTAAAACTATAAATAAAAACCTTATTTTTTTAAATTACTTATAAATTACCCATTTTTTTTAATAATTATTTAAATAAATATTAATAACAAATTATTTTTAATAAATATTTATATAAAATTATATACAATTTAATTTATATATTATATTTTATTAGGATAATAAATAAATATTAATTTTAACATTATTATAATATATTAATAATTTTAAAATTATAAGTAAATTATACTAATATTATATAAAATATAAAAAAAATTTTTAATATTAATAATAATAATTATTATTAATAAAATAATTCTTACCAATAAAATAATTTTTATTAATGAAATAATTTTTAATAATAAAATGATTTTTACTAATAAAATAATTTATATAAAAAAAATAATTTATATTAATAAAATGATTTATATTAATAAAATAATTACTATTAATAAAATAATTTTTACCATTTAAATAATTTTTACCAATAAAATAATTATTATTAATAAAATGGTTTTATATAATAAAATATTTTGGTTATATAAAACAGTTTAATTATATAGAATACTTTGGTTATATAAAACGGCTTAATCATGTAAAATGTTTTGATTATGTAAAACGGTCGGATTATATAAAATAATTAGGTTTAATTTAAACGTTTACTATACATGGAATTATTATAAGGGGGTTGTAATCGTTCCACGAACCCATATAGCCCCGCTATGGTACCTAAGTAGGGGACACCGTATTTATGAACTTAAAGCTTCGGAAACCCCTGGTTAATATCCGAACACGCACATAGTTGAGGCTTCAGCATAGGAAAGTAAAACTGCATACCGAAAAAGACAAGAGGACATTTCAACTCAGAACAGTATTACTTTAATAATTAGCGCTCTAGTACCAAGACAGGCAGTCTTCTCTCCATCTACTCGCTTCGGGTATCTACTCATTCTAAATATCGAAACTTCACGCTCTTCCACCCATCACATTCTCTAGATAGAAGTATTATCCTTACCTTCCTCCTCCCTAAATATATATTCGCCCATCTCCTCATCCCTATCCATGCGGAAACACCTCTCGGCATATATCCCCTGGTTATTCTTATCGCGCCACGCTGCGCCTAGCCGGCGCACCATAACCGGCTTCCACCCACCGACGTTGATCGTGATGTGCCGCCATGGGCTCCCTCGCTTATCGCTAATCAGAAGTTGTAGCATCGCTAAAGCGGCGGTGTGGTCTAGATCTTCGTTATTGCGTACCATATGATGAGCACGCCACACCGTCTGCGTGTTTAAGTTGAGGGTGTGGAGTCGAGGGAAATTGCAGAGCGCCTCGAGGAACTGGTCAGAGTTGCACATGGTTACATCCATACCCAGCTCCAGATAGCTAAGATTGACTAGCGCGTGAGATAGTTGAGTAAGATCTTTTGTTCGCATCGTGGGATACCGTCGCGTCTCGTCGCCAAAGCCGGTGTAGTCCCGGAAGCTCAGAGCCTCGAGCGAATCAGCATGACAAAGTAGCGAATCTATTGGAAATGATTCCGTATTGCAAACTATCTTAATCTTCTGAAGAGCCTCAATACGGCCTATCAGTACGTGTAGAATCCTTGTTATATCTTCACGTCGAGATAAGGCATGCGTGGTAAAGTCTTCGCAGTGGAGTGTCCGGAGGTTGTTGAGTTCTGGAATAGGCACCGAAGTAAAGAATTCGAATAGAGGCACGTCGATAAGAGTTAAATGCTCTATCCGCGAGAAATTCCAATGCCTTCGGACCTCATCAACGCTGTGGTTCCAGTCGTACGACCGAAGTGATATCCCTTTAAAAGGGGGTAAACGTTCATTTCCATTGAATTTGAAGCTTGTACCTTGACCACGGCCATTATAATTGAGATTTTGTGTGCATTGAGCCTGGACAAGGAATCGTTTTAACGAGTCGATGGTTCTCGTGAGAGTAGGACTCTGCATCTTTAGAGAAATAAGATTACTCGCAGGGATATGTTGGGTATAAGTGCTGTATAAATCACTATAAGAGTCCTTTAGAGGCAGGTCTTCAATATATATCTTGGTCCTGTTAACCTCGATGTGGTATGGGCTTAATATATCGGACGGTGTCGAGAAAGGAAGACTCCAGCCTGTAAGAGATTGATTTTCAACGTAACGCCATCTTTCAGTGTCAGCCATTTTAGTTTCGCAAAGCTCAAAAGATTGAATACCTCAAAGATAAGAGTCTTTGTACTTTGTCCAACACCCGCCTAGTGTTTCTCGCGTCAAGATTGCTCCTTGCTTCTACGTGTCTAGTAAATAAATGAATGTTCCTAAAGTAACCAGGGAAGTATGTCTCGGCGAGGGGGTCTATTATACGCTCGCTAAGTTGTATAGTTTCATAATGTATAGGCGTAATTATTGTTTCCAATCGTCTAGATAACCGGCGGGCATCAGCTAGCGTTCGGGAGTGAATGGCTCTCAGCTACGAAGATATAATGTTAACTACTAAGTCTTTGGATGAACGGAGGTAGTAAATTGATGGGTAACCTAGTACCTGTTTAAATATAATATTTAATAATTCCGCACTGAGGCTGTCAAGAAATGTTGTTTGCGTAGGAATATCCACTGTAGCTCCTTTTTCCATGAGGCGTTTATGACTGTTCTTTTTTCTTTTATAACAAGTAGTAAATGAGTAGACGGGACAAGTCTTCCGTATGGTCTTCACTTGGGTCATGATCGGTATTGAGAAGTCCCAGGTGATAGATGTAACGAGCACAGCAGCTTAATTGTCTTATTAGTGACGACGTGAGTTTCTGCTAGGTGGGAGATAAGTCGACTAATAAAGCGAGGCTAAATCCGGTAGATAAAATCAATATGACAGCTGACAAAAAAAAAGAAACGCTAGTAGTAATGCGGCGCCTTGAGTGCTCATGAGACGAAGACGATTCATCAGATGGAAGAGCTAATGAGAAGAGCGGTATAAGCGATTTCGACCTCGAGCTAGGCTTTGACAGATGGAGAGAAAGCCACTAAACCTCTCGCGGGCAAAATAGCGAATATAAACTATGTGGACTTGCATACTGTCCAGAAATAGTATATAAATTGTATATCATGAACAGTAACTAACGTAAGTTAACCGACACAATAGACATATTGAGTGATAGGCCAAGATACGTGGGTATCTATATTAGACCTTTTGCTCACCCCTGAGACTAAGTCCCGGTGTCATATCGAGACCTATTTATGGAGCTATGGTGGAAGCTGAGTGAGATGAAATTAAATATCAAACCTCGCGAGGACATCGTCATTCTCGCAAGACTCGGTAGCTTAAGTTCGCTGTTTGAAGTAGAAAGCTACCTAAGAAGGTAGGAATTCCCGAGGGTAGATGAGACGATCTAGCCAATAGGATGTTCTTAACGGTCCGAACTCGCGCCATTGAGCATCTCGGTTCGAGCTAGCATATAAGAGGATTCTTATGCATTACTAGACATCAGCACAATGGCCTTTGCATTGGTAATGCGCCAAGAGGAAGAAATGTGAGAAAACTAATAAGAGTGTTAGAATGTAAAAAGTACGTACCTTACTTACACATCAAATTCGCAAGGTTCGCCAAAAAGAGGTGACCCCACATGGCGCTAATGCCCGCTTCTCAAAACACGCGGTGATGGAAGCTGCCGGTTACTTTATGGCCGCCACGCGCAAGCCACGGGCTCGGAACTAAACCGAACCCCGCCGCTTTTACACGTGGAAGATAGACGGGACATGAATAGAATAATATAATTTCTTTGCTACCTTTCATACAGGTAACTGATATAATTAGATATTCATCTTGATAATACCTTTTTTACTATCTTATAATCCCTTCACTTGCTGTCCCATTACTACTAGTAAAGCTTAAAATAATTAAAGCATCGGAAAGATAGGATACATCCGCTCCCACGTGTCATTTACCCCATTAGGAAATAATTAAAAAAAAAAAAGGATCTCGCATCTCAAGGGTCCTAGGATGTACCATCTAGCATACATACATACATTAGGTACACTACACCACTACACACAGACAAATAAAAATAAATAAATACAAACAGTAGTTTAGCGTCGAGGGTGTGTATGAAGGAATGCGCAAGATCGGGGATCTACCAATGGCCAGATCGGAAGAGTCAAAGCGGTAAAGCGGGAACAGGGTACCATAGCGTTCCTGGGAAAAATTGGGAAAATGCAACAATGCGTCCGGACCGGCCAACTTAAAGACCCGCAAGGAGGGTTCGCCCGGGTCTGCCCGCATCGTCCAATCGCAACTTTGCATCTGAGGCTCCGCCGGCTTTTTGCGGGTCTCCACATCGCGTTACATGTTAATAGGTATAATGCAAACATAGGTATACAGAAATTATTTGGACATTGCGATTATAATACTTACTGCCTGGTTTTTACGAATTGGATGAACGGGAAGAATAATTTTAATTCAGCAGAATAGCCAAGAATTAACTAATGCATGTACTAGCAAACCTAGCAATAACATATAGTTACATATGTTGGGTGGTTTGTCTAATGTTTGCATTAACACACTGGTCGACAGAACTTACAAACAAAATCCCTGTAAATAAGATAAGCAATGCATTATTATTAGCCATGCACTGATGCTCAACTGGAAAGAACAATGAGCTATCATAAAATATATAAGCCTAGGTACCTAGCCTCTAGGTTCTATTCTATGCCAATTCCCAAACTAAATATAAGCCATTATAATCCCCCACATGCTCGTGTCAAGCCATTACGACTACTTAATACAGTGGAATAATCGGACGAAGCCCCAAGTACTTGTAGAGACCAAATGACCAAACCTTAGTACAAGATCTTAGTACAAGATAGTAAGAAACCTTCTTTCCTTCTAGAACACTTACCTGAAACGACGGAGCATACCTAGCAGCAACACCTCTACAAGGCTAGCGTTAACTTGAAAAATCGGCTATTATATCATAGCGAAAGCCCGTCATATCGGTAGATAGCGTGACACTGAAAACGAGGACCAGATCTCGAAAACGATGTCTATACTGTAGGTAATCTTAGTAGACAAAGTAATAATATACTAACTCTACACCTAGCTAGCGAATCCGCTACTGTTCTAGCAATCTTTTACTATCCCTCAAAGGTTTAAGCTTTCTTTTCTCTCCTCCCCCTCTAACCCCCTTCCCTACACTGGGAGCGGAAGAGATACTTTTAGCCAAGATGATCAAGGCTGATTATCCTCCTTGCTCATATGACCATAAAACTTCACCGCCAGCACACCACATACTCAACACAAACACAAGCATCAGGCGACATCAAAGTGTATGCGAACGATCGAACTGAAGTCTTAACATTTGGGGAATCTCGTTTAAGACGAAAAAAGCAGCAGCAACGACAAAAATAAAAAAGGACGGCATGTAAAAAAAAAGGCCCAACATCAACACAACAACGACCGAACAGGACAGCACCATGAGTGATCTTCACGGCTACTTATGGCCGCCGGCCTTTTCCACCTCTGCGCAATTTTAATTCTAACAGGTAGATAGACACCCTTAATCCAGACAAGCGGAGTATATGCAAACACGGCCATCATCAATACATCGATCAATACCGGTAGATCGGCTCCTTTTGTTTCGGGGGTGGAGCCTCGTAATCACTAATGTCGTCACGCGAGCGCCGATCGTCAGACGAGGAGTCTCCCGCAGCTCCGTGCATCGTCTCCTTACCGAGAGCGCTCTCTTGCCTACCCAAGTAACTCGGCGTCGTCTCGAAACCGGGGTGGAAGGGTTCAAACGCTAACCGGGGCTCCTCGATATAGTTTGATGCCCCACCACCAGATCCCGAGCCGCCGGCCGCACGGGATCTCGACCCTGAAGGCTCGGGATCCCTGAACGGATCTTCGTCTTCGGTAGCGGGTGTATGTGTTCTTGACGGCCCTGCTATAGCAGGTTCGTGTTCCCTTTCCTTACCTTTGCCATTCGGTTTCCGAGCTGGCATAGTAGGGGGCTCTAAGCTACCCCCATTCCGTTCTGACTCTATTGGGCTCACGGAATTCCGAGACGGAGGCTCAGTCTGAGATTGGGGCAGTGGTTCCATAACAGCGACGAGTTTCCTAGCGTTTAACATAGCTCTTTGATGTAAGCTTAGCGATGCCTGAAGCTGCTCGTTTGTATCGATGAGGCTCTCCATAGTGTCATTATCAGGGGCTGGGTTCTCAGCAGTCATGTACATCTGTATACTTCTACTTGCGCTAGTGCAGCGATCGGCAAACTCCTTGATTAGGTCGTTACTGAGTACTTCGATTGGCGGGGTGTTGGTAACTACTTGTTGTAGCAAATTCGCAGATGTCCGCGCTTCTTCTAGCCTACTGGCTAGCTCAACAGGGTTAGGGAGATTGCGATTCGAATGGGCTCGAGCGAAATAGTTCTGGGAATGGGGGTTGGCTGGAGGTGCAGTCATCGAACGCGTCACCGGAGCAGGCCGTCCCTAATTAGCAAAACATTAGTATGATCCAAGTATAGAAAACCCCGTTGTAACATACTCCATATACTTGCTGCGCTCTGTCTTTCTCTTTCTTCCACATATTAATGAGAAGGGTCAAGCCTTCATCATACGCCTTAGTATTTTCAAAAACGTCTAATGTCTCCATCATCATCTGTCGCACACTCGGATCGCGTACGGATCTCAGCAGCTCCTTCGAAGTATCGGTAAATTTTGAGTCCAAATTTCTAGTAAATGTTTGACCAGGGTTATCGGCAAGGATGCGAATGAGCATGATGGCATTGTACTGGTAGGAAGGTTTCGTCCAATAGTCCCTTTTCAGGTATTTTCGAATTAGGCGCGCGCATTCTGCGGCTGCGGCTGGAGATGACTCGGCAGCATCGACGATGGGAGGCAGAAAAAGGACTTCGTCTCCAGAGTTATTGGAGTCAGATTCGCAAAAGGATTTCTAATCGAAAGTCAGGATTGTTCGGTTCAACTTCAGGCTAGAATTGAATTTGATAGGTGTGGACGCACCACACAACGGTTGGCCGTAACCTCGGGGCTTTCGCCTTGGGGAACTTCAGGAGTGTTCGGAGCTTGAAGAAAGTATATGTTAGCGAAAAGTATAACTAAATCATCAAACCTGCGAGTTTGCGCAAGCGACAACTTAAGATAAGGCTTTTATCGTACTATCGGCAGACTTCTTCTTTCTTATGGTGCCAAGCACCTTGCTCATCTTGAGCGACTTCATTGAGACCTGCAATTGTATCCCCTTAACGGCGCATATGCCAGTAGTTCAAATGTGAATCAGGAAAAGTCGAGGCTAGCGATCGCGGTTATAGTGCAAGTCTCAACCCAGAGTTTTAAGTATGTGGTGACGGATGAGGCACTAAGTTAGGCAAGGAAGCTAAGCGGCCCCCTAAGGCTGACAGCGGTGAGAGTGTGATGGTGGTTGTCGTTTGGATGTATAATGCAACTCTGAACCCAGGGACTGATGGGTAGAGGGTGGGTAGAGTTTGAATGGTCTGGAGGCTGCAGGGTGACGAAGATGATGATTATTATCGGCTAGCAGAATGGATAAGGCGGATGAAACTAAGGTCTGATTTGTTGCGTTTTGGGGTTGGCGCACTCAAAAAGACAGGCTTAATTGGCGAAGAGCTCGATAGAAAGGAAAGACTTGGTAAAAAGTTGGTTGTTAGAAAAAAAAAAGGTTGTGTTAGGAGTTAAGGCAATCTCCAATTCTCTATGAGATGAGAGGGAAGTATTGTCGGCCAATTGAGATAAAGTAGCAGCGCTCCACTGCCTAATGCAGTATGTACTTCAACTGTGATGCCGCGCGACTGCCTAGAAGCTCTTCAGACCCCAGCAGCCCCAACAGCCCCAGTTGCCACATTTCTCCAAGCTAGTATATCTCAACCAATCATAGTTTACCTATGCGGGCCGAAATAGTTAAAGCAGGATCATCATGCAGCATTCTTAATTATGCACAGCCTCAAAACTATACGCAACGACTATACATGTGACGATATGCAGGTGTACGGAAGAGAAAACATATTGGCGAGATTGGATACTCTGCTCTACGTGTACCTGAGAATTCGAGTCACGAATGCCCTCATCGTCTTGGCTTCTTTCATCGAACGCGTGGCACATCAGAATTTCTTCATTATACACGCATTGTCCTACGTATTCAATCGTCAGATGATTAATCACTTTTATAGTTAGAAAAGATATTTGAACTATTATATAATATAATATCTCCCAACGTGTGGATAAGTCAAAGCTGTAGCAAACATCCCGTTTCTATATGCTGACAAAGCATAGGGGCGCTTGTCTCTTATAGTCGCCCCTTTTTTGACAATATCTAGCATATCATTCTCTTATTCATAAATCATTTATCCAACCATGTATCATCTATACTATTACAAAACTACAATTTAATAAACAATATGTATTGCTTTTCATTAAAGTTAATTTAAAGAAACTTATTCTAACAATTGGATTATACCTTCATGAGTGCGAGTTGACTGCTTGGAATAGAAACTTGGTATTAACCGTGTTGTACTTTTCGAACCTATTCTATAGCAAACAACATGAACTAAAACAACTAACTCGAAACGAATCACAAAGCAAACCATGCAAATCATCAAGGCAAAGTTTAGAATCAGGTGAGAAAGTATTTGTTGAAAACGGCCTCAGATTGGAAATCTCTGGTTCTCTAGTACATACATACAAAGCAAGATAGCCAGCCAGCCAACACCCCTGACGGCATATGGTCCCTCTGAGCGCGCCCTTTCAGCAGCCTACCGTCTATGAAGGGGTGGAAAAACAAACGCAAAGCTCAGCTCATCGACGCCGTACGCCCTAGAAATGCCAACGCAAGAGTGTGATGTAATATACACAATGACAAAATCCTCGTATTCCGCCGTATCTGTCCGAAACCTCGGAAACCTTCCACTAGTCGAATAAATGTGCAAAAGAGGTATAACTCAGGGATCGTATCGCCAATGAGTCAGTAAGGGAGATGCTAAAGCGATGAAGCTTCAGGTGATATCGGTGCATAACTAGTCCGTTCCAAGAAACAAATCAGGCTGGTTTGAAGCCCTACATTATATGGACAAGGACCATACTTCCGCTTCGGTGACCGTATGATAAAAGGGGTCACTAATCGTATCTCAAGTGATAATATCTCAAGAGTGAACAAGTCGGATTCTGCTCACAGATCGGGGTATATCGACGGCTTTTCTAGGAGACGTCGACTCAACATCGTTCTCATCTTCATCATCTTCATCTTCCTCCATGGGAATTGTCTTCTTGCCAGCAGCCATTGACAAGTCCGCGTCATCCTCATCCTCGTCTTCATCTTCTTCCGGTACATCCTCGGAACCCGCTGCGACAATTGTAAGACTCGAGTTATGCGACGCGGGCTTTCGAAGGGCGGTTCGGAAAGCTGCCGGTAGCTTCGTCTGCACCTTGGCCTTGCTGTAGGTTCTAACTACAGTCTTGGACTTTCGGACTGCCGATGTCTTCTGGCTCGAACCTTTCGGGCCTAGAACTGCTTTCGTGTTGACAGAGATTGTCGACACGCTACGCTTAATAGCTGTGGCGGCACCCTTGGCGGCTTTAAGACCAGCAGTAGAGAGGGTACGCTTAGCACCCTGCGCCTTTACCCCTGTCGCGGTCTTGATCTTGCGCTTCTTCGCTGCGCTGCTCTCCGCGTCCTCTTTCTCGCCAAGTGCGTCTTTGAATTTGCGCTTTCCGCCACTGGCGCCTTTTTTACCGGCTCCCGTCTCCTTGGGCGGCTTCGGCTGCTTCACTTCCTTGGGTTTCGGGCCCAAGACTCCCCGACAATTCGGGCTACCACAGAGACACTTTTGGACGTTCTTAGCAGAAAAAGGGTCAAAGTTGTAGTCGTATGTCAACTCTTCGCCTGTCATGATAGGGCGGTCGCCCGCAAAGAGGGCCATGCGAGGTTGTCCCGAAACAATCCACTTGATCATTCGGCAGTTTGGCGAACATGAATGGTTGACGAAACGAGCGATACTACCAGTCGTTGCGTCGATGATCATGTTCTGGTCAAATGACATCAGATAATAACACTGAACTTGTCAGTAACTGCACCAGAAATTTTCATAGCTAAGATCCATCATTAGTCTTACCTGATTGTCCTGGTACTTCTCGTTCATGCGGCGATCACACTCCTCTTCTGTGATGATTTCACCAGTGTACTCCATGATGATCTGATTGGGCTCAAAGCATCGATTGGCGCGAATACCATAGCCTCGATCCGAGGTCTTGATAACCTCTACTCCTACGCGGTACTTTCCTCCTTCCTTGATCCGCTCCTGGAGTCTCGCAAAAGCGCGGTTCTGGCACAAGCCAATGCCAACATTGCAGTTGGTTTCATCACATTCGTAAAGCATGATTCTGTTCTGGCAACTCTCCCCGCACCCGTCTTCCGGGGTGCATACACATTTGGATTGATAGTCCTTGAAGTGGGGTGTTTTCTTCCAGTAAGCCGCAGCATCACCAACGAATCGGTCTAAGGAAATGTTAGTTAAAACTGACTCAAAAATGAAATATATTAAGAGGATTAAAAATCCGTAAATAAGCATAATTTTATTATGCAAAAAATAATGAAATGAATAAATAGACTTACTCTTCGTTATCTTCTTCCACTCGTCAGGCTTAGGTTGTCCCGGAGGGAGAGGGTTGCAGATGTCAAAAGGCAGCTTAAAATCCCTGCCCTGGATCAATGTGCGCATACCATTGTATATAGGCATGGGCATAGTATTGTTCACCTTGCCGCTCGGCATCAGCTCCGGCAATTGCGCTAAGGTCTTCTTCTCTGACGGAGTGAGTCCCTTGTAGATATCTAGTGGGGCCTCCTGGCCAGCGTATAGGCCGCGATCAAGGTATTTCTTAACCCGTCTCTTCTTAACAGCCGGGCCAAGCTCAACAACAGGTTCGGGCTCTGGAGCAGTAACCTCTGGCGTCTCGGATGCGACCTTCGTCCTCTTTCTGGGAGGTTGCGAATCCTCCGGAGAAATGTACTTCCCGTTAGCCCAGGTGGAGTATAGAACAGGCTTCTTATCTATTCCTGCAAATTCGTCTGTGTCCTGCAGACGTCGTAGCTCACGCGACATCTTGCTCAGGCCCTTCTCAAAAGTCTTCCTACCCCTCTTTCCTAGAGTGGACAGCTTGCTCGCCAAGGTTTCGGCTTCCACACCTGTTGAACGCGTCGAGATGCGTCTCGGGGGGATCGCATCTTTCAGTGTAGAAATTTTAGATTTGGTCGACTTTATAGAGATCGCATCGTCGTCGTCGCCGTCCTCTTCGTTTGCAACTTGAATCTCACCGGCAGTTGTGTGGCGTCGCCTTCTGTTAGATACGATGTCGCCTTTGGATCGTCGCTTGCCGTGGATAGCAGTGCCAGCTAATTTAGCAAGGTTGTAGATTGGCGCACTAAGGCGCTGTCGACGCGAGCGTCCGTTCATAGATGTGTCTAGAGCGACTTGCGCAGGGGATTCGGAAGATTGAACGAGGTTCAGAGGCTCGGCAGACGCGACAATAGAGTCGGCTACCTCGGGCGTCGCGTCGACCTCGGTCGAGTCAACGGGTTCGTTAACAAGGCCAATTGCTGTGACATTGTCGTTCTTAGAGATATCTGAAGCCAAGCTGGCTGTGTCGGCGACAGTAGTTGGAGGCGTAGAGCTTAGAGACGCGGCAGCAGAGAAAGTGTCTGCGGCAGGGCCGAGGCTAGACTCCGAAGAGAGTGCGCGCGTCGGAGACATGGTTGCAGGTGAATCCATAGTCGAGCGACGCGACAATGGGGTTGGCAATTCAGCCAGATAATAGTTTGTAAGAGATAATGACGCGTCAAGTATGTGGTTGTTTTGGGAAAAGACCAGTATTACCGGAAAGAAGAGTTATGTAAGGTAATGTTGTAAAAAGGTAATGGTGTTGTGGTGGTATGGGTGGTATGGATGGTATGGATGTGAAGGGTGTGAAGGAAGTAAGGAAGTATGAGTAAAGCGTAAATGTACCGTAGTACCCCGTAATACCCAACTCGAATTGGTCAATGAATTGGATCAAGGTTTAGTTTTAGTTTAGTGTTGGGGTGAGAATAGAAAAGGTAAAGAGTAGTAAAAGGGTAAAGACCAATTAACTTGGGCCAATGATTGAGCTTATCTGAGACCCTGGGTCGCTTCCCACTTTGGTTATTTAAGTACTCGAGTACCTTTGTATGTATGTAGGTATGTATTGCAAGACCGGTCGCGTTTTGCAGCACGATCAAGGAAAATACCAAAGGTGATTCTTGAAGATGCCTATATATGTTAGAATGTGAAGCCAAAGGGTGCATGTGTAAAACAGGGAGCTGTAAATAGGACTAGGTTATTACTCACTTGTGTGTGCTGGTAGGTTCCTGTTCGCGTGTTTCGTGATAGTGTTTCCGATTCCCTCTTTTTTTTTTCCCCTGAGGAACGAAGATCCGAAGAAGGATTGTAAGTTCCAAGAGAAACGTTGTCTTATTCTCTAGGAGATAAAGTCAGTTTCGAAAAACTAAAAGTTGGTGGCTAGATTGAAGAAACGAGTGTTCATCAAGTTTGTGAATGATTGAAGTTGTGAAGTTGTGAAGTGGAAGATTTGGATGGTTGTGGTAAGAAGGTTAGAAGGTTGGAGATGAAAGAAAGGGAGAGGAGGGGAAATTTTAAACACTGTGGTTGAGATGGACACTAGTAACTTAATAGTTGTGGTTTGCAGTTGCGGTAGTACTTACGTATGCAATGGATGGATGTATTATCAAAAAAGTTGAGAAGGCAAGGTAAGGTAAGGAGGTAGTCAGGTACCAAGTATTGTTGCCTCAGCTTTTTTAACAAATGGCGATGCAGTGTGCAGAAAGGCAGAGGGGAAGAAAAAAAAAAAGGCGGTGCGGTTGGGAAGTACGATGTGCGTGTGTTTTTTGTGTGAAGAGATGAAGAAGGATGAAAAAAAAAAAGAGAGAGAGAGGGAAGAAAAGTAGAGATGGATTACGTGCAAGATGAGAATTGGATCTAAATTGAAAAATCGGGGAGGGAAGAGACGGAGAGACTCAGCGTGGCACTGGCGTTCAAAAGGTAAATTACTACATATATAACAAAAAATGGCTGGGGGGGGTTAAAAGTTAAGGTTGATAGCTCGACAAGGTATTTAAGGGTATTTTTAAGGTATTAATTATTATTTGTTGCCTTTTCCACAGATGACACGCCAATGCCAATACTTAAGCCAATACTTAATGTTAACAATGTTTCCCTATTATCTATTCCTACCTTTTACCTAAAGGGAGGTAGGTTATATGGTTATGTGGTTATATGTGGTTATGTACACCCAGGGCCAGTCACATCCTTCGGATTACATAGTCCGACATATCCGTTGGCATCATTCAGTTTTCTCTGTGACTTCATTATGCCATCTAGATACCCCTTGCTGCGGCTGACTGACCGACTAACCACTTGCCCGCCCATAGTCTCACCACCGCTAGCTTCGAACCACAAGCCAACTTGCTATTATCATCCTTGTGACTATCCATGACCTTCAGAAACTTAATCTGTAGGCCCCTCCCCTCTCGAGAAAGGGGATGCTAAATTTGTCAACACCACTCATCTTTAGGCAATGTCCTAGAACGATAAAACTACTAGGCTTCGATACGCCTCGCACGGGGACGGGCACTCTTCCGACTTTTATCGTGTATGCCTGATTAGGGGGTAATATTGTGTATATATATCTGGGTTATCTTTTAGGCAGCGACGACGAGGATGTCAATTTCACCAGCATTACCCTTGAAGTCGTCTCTACAGCAAGTCTATCGATGTAAATATGTGACATGATAAGGCTAGGAGAAATGATTGCTATGTCGGGTAGGAAATCTGATCTCTATGTTACGATGGACGACTCCTCGAATTTTTGGATAATCTCCATCGGTCACCATCCCAGGTCACCGGGGAGGGCGGGGAGCGGAGGATACGAGTGACGCCTCTCGATAAGATGCGGGTATGTCACTCGAAGGCGGTTCTCAACCTCGCGCAGCTACACATTTGCTCACCATCCCAAGAAATCCATCATAGACCATATTTTTACATTAACCGTCGAAATCTAGAGGATACAGTAGTTGTGGCGAGTATTGATCGAGTGTCATCCTAGAGAGATCTCTTGTGCTGATTTAGTTAGTTGAGGGTGTAGATCCCGGACGTGTCTAATATCATGCCGCTCCTCCGATCTTTAACCTCAACAAAGCCACCGTCAGGGGAAACAATAGCCTAACAATCCCGCCAACGATCTGGTTTGGCCTTATTAAGAATATCTAGAATAGGTTGTTTGGCCGTATGGTGCTTAAGATGCATTCACGTAATCTCCTCTCGTATATCTCGACCTCTCCATCCGCCGGATCGACCTATTCCTGCGATCGCTAAATAGACGAACTAGTAATCGAAGGCATAGAGCCGTAGTTCAACGTGTTTAGATGTCACATAATTGATTCCTCCTTGAACATCTCCTTTTGTCGCTCTATATGTACCCATAGGTCACTCTACGTAGAACCTATATCATAATACGAACACTTATAAATATCATGTCGAGGGTAAATATGAAGTAATAGCATAATATATGCTATTACAAATCGATCTAGTAGATTATTCTACTGATATTCTCCTTTAGCCAGGTAATCACTGTAGCATTGCGTCCAGATAGACTAGAAAATCATAATCAGTATTGCGATAGAGGATTAAAAACAATCTTCAGATAGGTTATCATGATAGGTATTTACTCAGGACGCTAGGTCTACGAGCTTATGTTTTTATCATATGACTTATTTATATTAAAATCGGGAATATCGTGTTGTGTGCGTGAAGTTGGTTTGCCTAGGCGTCAGCTTTGCATCAAACAGAAATCTTATAGATAGCGGGGTAGGGAGGTAGACTGACTGATTGACTTGGTTGGGAGCTCGGATAGGTTCCTTAATTATCCCATGTACTTTCGTTCATTAGAATAGTAGCGGAAGGCTTCTGATGATGACGAGCCTCGATGTTGTATATTCCTAGGATAATCGTCCTAGGGTAGTATATATCTGCGCGGCGGAGTGGTTACCATGGAATACGTTTGTGCCCACTCCAACACTGTGGTATATACGAGAATAGGGAGAGTGTATTGTCCCATCACGATAGTGCAAGTTCTAAGCGGAAGGTTAGCCGTATGTGACTCGATATTTATCTGTAATCAGAACCATAGGATGGCGCCAGGCCGGTCTGCATGTAGAGGTAGTCATCATATGTCAGCAGGTATCACCAGAGCGATTAGAAATTAGGCCGTTGGAAATGTCAAAAGACTGCATTCATTCGAGATCCTTTTGATCCATGTGCGATCTTAAAGATCTAAAAGATCTAAAATCTCGGGTTCCCTTAACCCCTGTTTCTAGCCTAGACCGATGCCGAACAATTCAACTGCAAGTGGCGATACTCTGTTGCTGAGGGCATCGTGACGCCGGAAGTGACCCACGTAGATAAGACATAAGGATAAGCGCAACTACCTACGATTCTCGTCCTTCTGGAATATTTTTTTCTTACATTGATGTAAATCTCCTTTAGTTACAGTAATTTGACCCCCTCTGATAGCTATAACTGACTTTCATTATCGAGTTCCTCTTTCCATCTTGTTCGTCTACACACGTCCCGTTTTTCTTATCATCGATATTTTTTTCAATATGAAAGTATGGTCCATCTTCTGACTGGGCTTTAGTTCCATCGAGTCTAACGTGGCTCTAGGGCGAGTATTATCCGTGGATGAACTTGGTGGATTAACATGTACGGGTCATGGAGCCTGACAGTTAACAGCATGAAGAGGAAGCCTATCAGTCTACGCGGCTGACAAACGATCGTAGCACTTCCTAAACTACGCTCTACAGCACTCGAACTAGTAAAAGATGGATGTATCATCATAATTATTGTATCGTTATCCCATACATCCTCCGCTTACAGCTGCAGAGGTGGCTAGGTCTTGACAGTCGATCTTGGAGAGAACGGCAGCTAAGTCATAACCGGAAGTTCCCCCGTAAAGTGATAAATGCCCATTCAACAGTGTGATGTATTGTCAATAGTATGCCTAGGCCGATAGGAGAGGTCTTGATACCACGTAAGCCGTCGCATGTCTACATTAGACCGTCCTCTCTCCCGGCGAACGCATATCGATGGTATCATCCTCCTCACCTGGAAACCACCAGATAGGATTGACCTTAGCTAAGATAGCCTTACGAAAACACTGCCTTCTCCCAAACCTACCTCAAAGTTCTATCGCGGCCATTATGAAGTCCGAACATTATGACTTACAAAAGTGATCAAACCCTCCGTGCTCTCCTATGTTAATAAAGCATAGGCCCTTTCATTCCCTATTCCAAATACCCTATACATAAGATAACGAATACGCATCGACCCGGTTCCTAAATCCTAAAGTTACCAATCCAAGCCGTGCTGCCAGGGGCCAAAGAAGCCTGCTTCTGCGGCGTCGGCGATGTTGCAGGGGAAGTTCTTGGCCTTCGCACCCAACTGAACCGCTGAGCAATATCTCAACCCTACTTTACTTTACCTATGGTCATAACAAACTGTTAAAATCTTTAACTAATATAATATGTATCTTCTAAAAAGGGGGAGAGAGCTCTGTTACTATATGCATCCCTATACGTAGTCCTCCAATCTACCTAATTCCTTAATTAAATGCGTTGCTTACGACGGCCATGTACTGGGATCGCTTGGGAATGGAGGGATGATAGTATTGTATTGTACAGTGGCAATACGGTGCGGCGTTTAGAGCGTCCTGGAGCGTCCTGGAGCTAGTGCACTGCAGAACGGAGATAACAATATACGTCAATGCTAAAAGGTTAAATACCCCTTTTATGACACGACTGGGACACGTACTCGGAAAGTTTCATCGAGACTTCAGATGATATTCGAGGGAACTGTGATAAGCGGAATGATATTTTACGCTAAGGGTGGGTGAGAATGTATCGTCTTCAGGTGTATACCATGGCTACCTAGGTAGGTAAGTACCTAACCTACCTACGATAGCATGGATACCTACCTCATATTTGACTAGGGTTATATCTTGAACTGCACAACTGCACAACTGCATACGAGATAGGGCATGCGTAGAACCGGGTTTAAGGCATATACAAAGTTGCATAACCGTTATTGTTTTATAGATATCAATTAAGCATGAAAACCAGCGCGACTATCTGTGAAGAACCAACGCGTCTAGACAATTACATACAATGCCCTCATGTTACGAGACAAATCAAAGTCATCTTCAGTCCTCTTGTATGCCGGCTCCGAAACCATGCTGACCGCGCCCGCCTGTGACATGTATTGTCGACTGAGAAAAAAAAAAAAGAGAGACCAGAAACACCGGGGAGAACACTCCTATCCATGCAATTGTGGGAATCTGACGCGAGTCTATCGTAATAGAATATTGTTACAGTGTTATGCGCATGTTGCATGTTGTACTCAGAAAGGCCTAAGAGATATCTCGGATATCGGGACCTGGCGACCTGGCGACCTGGCGAGCTAAATATTCGTAGTACCATTAGTAATCTCCATTGCCTCACCATCATCAGCTGCCGCCTCATTATCAACGGGGCCACCACCATCCGAAAACTCAGAAGCACTTCCGCCATTCTTAGCCTGGTTCTCCATTGCGAATAAGCGAGCAGCTCTACCCTCCTTTTTGCGAGGCTGGGGAGCTATGACACAGAAGTTAGTCGGCAGTATTGATATTGTCAACATGTGACTACTAGTGAGTACTTACCTCGACCATTCTCCTGGACATAGAATCGTCGGAGTAGTGAGACAGCCTCGTCACGAAGATATCCACCTTCTACCGGATAACCATGTTCCACATTGCCGCCGTCACCGTCATCCTCACCTCTCGGTATGGGAGTAGCTTTGCCTTGGTGGATACGACTGGCGTCTTGAGGACCATATCCATTTTGATAGGGACGGTCTGCTGGCTTCGGAACAGGCTTGGAGTTCTGGTGGATTTTGAAAACGCCTCCGGTCCCACCAAACTTATCATTGACAGCACCAAAATATACCTTCTTGATGCCTAGTTGGCGAAGAAGAGAGGCGCACATGACGCAGGGCTCAACCGTAACGTAGAGAACACACTCAGATATGATGCTGCGACTAATCGCCGGGGCCGGATGGAGCTTCTGACCATAAGGATAGATATGACTGTCTGTCGGATCTACATCCTCCCAGCTAGGATCATCCAGAGCTGGGCTGCTGTCAACTTCTTTGGCATCCTTTGGCCCTTTCCGGGAAAGTAAGGCAGACAGGGCCATAAATTCAGCATGACGAGTCCCGTTGCGGGTAACGTTTGTCGCGTTCATTCCTTTAGCGATAACCTTTCCGTTATGGACCAAGACACAACCTACTGGCGTCTCATTAGTATTTAGAGCTAGATTACCCTAATAGTTTTGTTAGCTAGTCTGTAGAAACAAGGGAAATATCATCATATGCTATATGAAAGAGAAAATTTACCATAGCAAGTGCCTCTTGCATCAAGTTGAGATGGTATGCTCGCTCAACTCGTTCCTCCTCCGTCTGGGGTTCGATTAGTCCAGGCAGATTAGGAACTAGAGGTGAAGGAGATTTTAGAGCAGCGGTCTTATCGGTGGGAGGTAAGGCAACCATGATCGGAGCGGCTAAAGCATTAGGAGCGGCCGCTGTAGAAGCATGTCCCGGCTTAGGGGGCTCTCCACTACCGGAAATATCATCAAGAGTGAGACAGTTAATACCGGAGGCGACCTCTTCGACTTGCGTATTTTGGGGAACATTATCTTCTATTGCAGGCTTGTTAGGAGAAACAAAGGCTGCGGTGACGTGCTGGCTGCGGGTACCCGTTTTCTGGACTTGAACCCGGCCCTCCGCAAGGAGGGGCTTTGGGTTAGGCGGCTGAGATTGGGAGACGGTGGACGATAGATTGTGAGGGGGAGCATTCTCTCTTCTATTGTCGATAAAGGGAGTAGGAGGTGGTAGGCCACGGGTTTGGCCGCCTATTTTACCTCCGAGTGGTTTTTGACTATCGGATTGACGAGAGTTGACTTTGGTGTCACCTTGATTCGCAACGGGAGTAACACCGACCTGTACACGAGGCGACGCATGGTTTTGGCTAGATGTAGGCTTGTTGACGATGATGCTGCCGTTTGGCTGGGTAGTGGTAGGAGCATTAGGAGCATTAGAAACAACAGATTTTGAACCAGAACCTTTGTGGCCACCTCGCTTTTGGCCACGTTTCTTAGACTGCGCCATAGTATGGTATTGGTATGAAGAATCCAGACCTTGTTCGAGATCTATGAAGGAAGAACTTTGGTGTAGTTGGGAGGTCTGGAGGTGGGGAGAAGATGAACATAAAGAGGAATTTGGTTTTTTTTGCTCAGTTGAAAAGTTTGAGTTTAGTGAATCTGAGCGTATTGAAGGTTGTGGATTTGTTGATGATTGTTTCTGTGTTGTCCGGCCTGAGTCAGGTGTTGAGTTGAAGGGAAAGAAGCGGGTGAAGAGTTGGATGAAAGACGCAAACAGTTCCTGCCATGTCTGCCAGAGGCTCGCGGCGTAACCTAAGATCTTGTGTCCCGCCATTGTTTCCTCTTTCCCGTGCTTTCCTTATAATACGTTTTATTCCTTAGGTAAACTTAAATCAATAAAAAATACCGCTAATTACTATAACTTCCTTAGGTACCCAAATAAAATAAAATGTTCGTGATGCCGTCACCACTAACCGAATGCCGAATGAGATAAGCAGCTAATCATGAGACGAAGCAATGCCGACCACCAATGAGTGGTAAGGCAAGACCTGCATAAGCCTTCTTATCCCCGTGTAAGTCAATTAGGGAGGTAACAACTCTTTTGGTGAGCTACCTAGTGAGAGCGAGCTATGTTAGTACCTATAAAGGATCCAGGATCCGAAACGAACGTGCATCTATGAAATCGCTATATCGCTATATCTCTTCCTTACCAGGCCATCTCCATATCTTTGGAGGATAAGACAAGGTAGAATACCCAGGAGAAAACTGTGAGCTATGATGCAGGCGAGTAATCATGACCGGGCTGAAGTTAATAGGTGAAAAAAGTTATTTTATATATCATGACAAGGCAAGATGTCGCAGCGGCGCGGCTGAGAATTTTCTGCCGCTTGGGATAAATAAAGTAGCTAATTGCCTAATTTGTGTTAGTTCGTTTTACTTACAAAGGGTTAGATGGTATTTAAAACCTTGCTATAGAAGGTATCTTTAGCCCGAGCGGGAACTAACATATATCGAATAAGTTGGTGGGGATTAGGTAACTCATAGATACCTAGGTACATAACCAACTCTTATGTAAGCCTTCATAACCCAATAACTACATAGTGTATAGCAACACAATTAATTGCATATCACAAGATCATTAATAAACGACAATATTCACAAAAAGCGGTTAAGTATCGTATTGATCTAAGTAGGCACGGAATACACTACCTTCCATAGATCGTCAACTAGTCTGACCCTCAACCACCTTCTTTCCCTCAACTACCTAGCATGTTATACATGTATGCATGTATGAAGCCAGAAGCTCATTCCGAATCCATCACCATCTGTTTCTAACCTGGGGTATCATAATTTTTTATATATTTCCTGACAAGTGCAACTAAGCGCTAATCATAACAGTACGTAGTAGAAATGATTTATATGGCGAGATATCATCATTATACAAGACTTGTCATGCGGTGCATGCGGTGGCCTAGGGCCTTAGTCTTCTTAGACGAGTGCAAGAAGTTGCTTTCGAGGTCGCCACGTACCCTGGAGATGCCTTCTAAGAATTGGGCTTGACAAGGTTCGTACCAATAGCGAGTCGTCTTGGGAAAGGAAGAACCTGTGGCTAGATCCAGCATGTCTATACTATGTTGCCTCAACACAGTGTAAGCGACAGCAACGGATAAAGACCCCACGAAGATCCCGGTGGTTTGAAGTTCTCCGGCTTTGTTGCTAAGAAGTGTCCACTGGCGAAGCACGCTCAAAGTTGCATATGCAAATATTAGGCACGCTGCCACTACACTCGCAATTGTCTTGGTCCAATTCTGCATATCCGACTTCACTTGTAACCGTGACGTGTGCCGGGATGTTGAAAGGAGCTGCCTCCTTTCTACGTAGTTCTTTTCCTCAGCGCCCGAGTAGAGCACCGTTTGGCTCGTCTTAGACAAATAAGCGGATAGAACATCTGCACTAGAGACATCACTATTCTCGGCAGCACCCAAAGTCGCGTTATTCCGGAAAACCGGGGTAGAAATGCTGGGCGAAGGACGTGTAGGCGCATTCCGGGTGTTTGGTCCTGCGACGGAAGACCACGAAGACTGTATATTTTGAGACAAAGAAAACGAAGTGGCTATATCCGCTGTGCGGCGCTCGGCGAGAGTGGAAGATATCGGTTCTCCGGTATTTATAGTAGTCGTGTTCTGCAAACATCTTAGCCTTGGGCCACGATTGAATACATAGCAGGAATGGCTTACGTTTTGGGGAAGTTTGCCGGGCTCGCGACGTGACTGGCTTGTCGAAGGCAATTCTGGTATGGCCTCGGGCACTGCTGAGCTCATACTTGTGGTACACCAAGTACCACTACTACTTGTCAACATAGCAACCGAGTCTTGCCGACTGTGCCATTCTGCAAAGTCTTGACTGGCTTTTCTTAGACCGGTGGAAGGTAAAGATGGTCTACGCTGAGATTCGTGCGGTCGAGAGGATGGCACGCCTACTCCAGTTGGCGACGGCGAGGTCCATGGTTGCGGCCGTGGTTCGCCTGTCCTTACTGGTGTTAATGGGTTTGGTAGACCTGGCGGAACTGGAACGCGCGACCCGGGTACTGGGCTAATCTGCCCACTGTCACCCTGTGCTACAACAAGGGATTGGATCGGAGCGTCGAATATTCCCTCGTGGTATAGTGATGTATCTAGGCCGGTTGGCAGTGATGCCTGTTCTCGTGAGACGAGCGATGCTTGGTGATCTGCATTTACAGATATATCTAGTTGAGCATCCCGATCCCGGTCTTGGTCTTGATCTATAATATTCTTCCGCCTGTGGAAGTCAAATAGTTGTTGATTATCCAGGCGTCCGATGTTTTCAGATTGTGACAATGCTGCAACTTCCTTACTTAAGCTTGGGTCATCATCTAGGTCAACCGAAGAACCTGGTGAGTATAGGTTGAAGTCGGCGTAGTTGTTGCCAGCCTCGCCACCTGGGTTTAGATAAGGTGGTAGTACTGCCTGGGCATCTTCTGTTAGGCCAACTGCCGTGTTCTCGAGGCCCGCTGTTTGAGCCGGAGTAATTGGTTGAGATGGCGACGAGTATGAGTTGGATGATGTTGGTGTAAGGTGGCCCGCAGGGTCAAAGAAGAAGTCGTAGTCGTATGGAATAGTCTCAAATGGCTCCTCGTCATACTGAACGAACTGATCCCAGTCCATAGTAGGATCAACTAGCGACTCCGACATGACGGAGTCAAAAGATGAACCAGATAAGTGTGCAATGTCGAATGATGGCATATATAAAGATTGCCCTAAAGATTCTAATGTTGTTTGTGGTGGAGGTGCCGATGCTGGGACGGATGGTGCAGCGATCTTCTTCGTCTTCTTGGCGGTTTTGGCTGCAGAAGAACCGGACGACCGCTTATGACTTGGGTCACAACGCACCTTCTTTCTCCGGCAAGAATCGCAAGCCTTGATGATACGCATTAAGTGAGCGTGGTCACGCTGCTCTTTTGTTTTGCAGCCACGGGAAGCCGAATTGGTGACGTCCTTTCCATCCTTAGTTAAAATCTTCATACCGGGAAGATGTGAGAAATCATTGGATAGAGCCGTCTTCTTAGGAGACGACTTTTGGGCCCTGTGTTCGCTAGACGAAGAAATATTACTAGCTTGGGTCCATTGGCTCTCGGACATAACAGGTGATGTGAAGTTGGAAACGTAGCCAGAATCAGCCAAGGCTATACTAGGCGATTCAGTGGCAGAGCCAAGAGCAGGGTAAACCATGAAGAATTTGAAAAGTTCGCCGGTCGCCATGCTGTGCTCGAAGAATTCCATAGAAACGGTAGCACGCTTATCGAGGATGGAGGCATCCCCGGGGACATAAGCGTCGATCATCTCGTCCAACTGCTTGGACCCCATGGCAGGAAAGAACTGCAAAGGGGCACCAATGGCAGGCTGATGGACGGAGAAACCCATAAGGGAAGTGGAAGAGTTGATACCGGACATATACGACATGTTATTGTTGGTTACGTGATTAGCGATGCCGAGGGAATGGATACGATGCAGGATGGTCAGATTGACGACTTGGCAATTTGGTGACTTCAAGCAAACGTGGGTTTACAGGTAAGCACCAAGTTCCGTCGTAAAAGGTGATAAGTAGCGCCAACTCCAAATGTGGGTTGGCTAATATAACTATAATTCGGGTATAATAATAATGATAATGATAATGATATAGTATAAAAGCGAAGTAGGCTAACAGAAGGGGGGGGGAGAGTTAACCGCCAACGTTTGACAATATGGATAGGTTAGGTAGTATGGTGGTGAGAGTGGAAACCTGCTTTTTGAGTCTAGGCACCTAGGTCGACGATGTCTAGTTCAAAGAGTCAGGGGTAAAGAGTGTAAGTCTTCGAATATTTCGAAGTAAAAGGTTTGACAATAGTCAAATGATATGTTTTGAGACCTAGGTAGAGTCTACTACTATAGTCAGATGTGAAGAGATGGGAAAAGAAAAGAAGAAGGAAATTTCGAATCTCGGGAGGGAGTCACAGGATGATATTTCACTTCTGACAGTCCCAAAGCTTTCGTTATACAATACAATTAGTGCGTGCAAAGCCTCAATTCATCACCAGCAAAGAATGGCGGAGCAAGGTTTTGAGACCCACCACGGCGAAGAAGTAGATCGACCGCTTAACCAATCATCATTGTTTTTTAGTGGGCACGAGCCTTCCAACTCTTAAGTACTTCGTTCTGTAATCTGTTAGTATTTAGCTGAAACAGTTACTTAAATACTAACAGTATCAGATACCTGTCCCATCTCAGCTGGGGAAGGATGCGTGGGAGCCTGAGGCATCTATCGGCAAGACCAAACAGGTGGGTTGACTCATTCAAGAATTGGCCAATTACCAATTATCTAACCCCTCCTAAATTAAGACGAGCTCACCTTCATTTTAGAGGTATTTCAATGCGACTTTTTTGGTGTCGTATATATGCCACTAATATGCTATTATACATACAGTACAGCTATTATAATTACAACCTTGGCACTTTTGAAACCTGATTGACTTATTCTCGGTAGTTTTCCTTTTCCTTTTCGTTTGTTTTTATTTGTTCTTATTTTTATTTAAAATTCGTGTTCAAATTAGCATTTAAGTGGCTTCCCCGTCAATAACCCCACCAGATCTTCTTGTAGATCTGGGTACATACATAGTGGAGGGCCGGGAGGCTAACGTTGCACGAAATATCATACCTAGACCAGCCCGTTTAATTATCCTCAAGAATATATGAAGAATATATGACACCCAGCTTAAGTGTAAATACATGTACTTCATACATGGGTTAGGCACCTGTCATATTGTCATATGTGCCGAGTACATTAGATACTTGCATATGATAAGTAACTATAGTATGACTCGACTCGATCGAAGCGAAACTCCGATACGCATACTAGAATGCAACCAGATATGGATGCATGTACGAAACCGAGGTACGTAAGTGACTTAAAATGTGAGTAATACTTTATTGCTTTATGAGATTCGGTATGCGCACCCCTACCGAAAACTGTCAGTGTGTTCTGTTAGTGTATTATTGTAGCTTGTGTATATAAATATAAATTATATATAGCCATATAGGCCCGAGGGCGTCAACTCGTAAATATTTCCTATGATCGAATATCCAAAATGGTGACCATTTAACACCAGATACTCACAAACCATGAGTGTATCCATACCGACACCTAAGAATGAAAAGGGTATCAATGCCAAATAACTATGCAAAATAATGTTCGCCTATACTCCGTAAGAAGTAATAGTGAACTTTAAAGAAATCATTTCCTATAATGATATAATGCGAATCATCCTCCACAACTTGTAGTAGTAACGGCTAGTTGTGCTGTCATTAAGGTATTGAAATGATGCCGTATAAAACCTTCGTCGCTAGGGAATTGGCCTCTACGATGTTGGCGGCGATGATCTTGATGGATGGGCTACAACCTGTTAGAATCACCACTAGTAGCTTAAGATACTTATTTACAAACCTCGTTGAAAACTCGAGATTGAGCCCGGTCCTTTAATGACCATGTGGCCACAAATCCAATCAAGACCAACACTAGAGACCACCAACTAAATGCGTCCGTGTTAATTGCGCGAGGTTGTAATGGATCCGACTCAGTAAAATGGCTACTTTCTCGAATTATAGTGGTCAATAAGGGTACGATGATTGGGAGGAGATGGATAATGGGCAACTTGACAAAAGACAGTAAGCGTATGGGACATTGGCGGGGTGATTTGCACCCAGTGTAGTGTTTCCGAGTAGGGCGGGGGAGTTTTCGTGGGGAATCGCTGCAGTCAATGAGGGGAGTGGAGGAATCACTACTAGTTTCCCACTTAGCATTATGGTAATACGGCTGTTCGTGCGGGTTCCTGGCACCAAAATGTGATCCGTATCCGTTGTTCGAGCTCCCCCCACCAAACCATGGCTGGTTTCCTTCCGGTTGAAAGCTCCAAGAATAACCGGCTTCGGACTCGCTAGATTGGGTCAGGGCTACCGCCGACCCTGCGACCGATTCATCTCTCGTGGAGCCATAATACCATCTCTGGCAAGAAGAACCTGAACAGCTCTCCCTGGTGCATCGGAATGGGGATAGAGGGGACTCTAAGTCATTAGGAGCTCGAGCTCTAGCACGGCAACGCGTGCACACGAGCCAGAAACGTGGGTTGACATCATGAAAGGGGTGATGTTTTGTTCGAAAATGGTTGGACAGCTCCCGGAACGGTCCTGTCCAGTGACAAGTTTCCGAGGAAGTCTCCGACGCAGTATCTATCGAACCCCTAAACTCGCATTGCCAGCGATTTGGGTATATCTCCATCTGGCTGCCAATCTCGAGAAATTCGAATTGTAGATGCCCATCCGGAGATTGTGTACCCATATCATTACCTGGGTGGTATGTTTGTCCTGGGGCTTGGAGCATCGCGCTGTCTAGATGAACCGAGTCGGCATCGAATCCCCTCACGATTTGTTGTACATCTGAGCGGACGGCCTCGTGATCTCCAATTGAGGATTGCAAGTCAATAAAGTCGGTTGACATAGGGTCTTGCTCTGATGAGGCCATCGCAGCCCCGCCAGCACCAAACGTATTCCAAGTTCGTTCTATCGGCGTGAGCGACATAAACTCGTTTCGGCCATGCGGCCTGCCATGACTGGAAGATTGCGAGAGCAGGGTGCTTTGATAGCCTTCTTCTAGACGACAGAAATCATGGCAATCACACTACAGGTATTTGTTAGTACAATGCAATGATGTGATGTCGTTGATGACTTTACTGTTGTTTTCTTAGCCCGGTGATGCGGGCAAGCAAGCTTGAGCTTGCGTTTAAGTGCAGTATTCAACCTAGTACGTGAATCTAGCGGTCCTCTCCTCCTACCTCGCTGACGTCTGGATCGATCTGCATCGTGCGTCGTTACATCTTGGGTGGAAGGCGTGCTGGGCTCGTCTGTTGGCGAATGAATAGTACTACCAATAGACGGAGCTGCTTGGGGAGGGAGCAAGCTCTGCTGCGAGGCAACATGAGTTTGCAAGCGCAAACGTTCAAGCGTCTGCCGAATATCATTATAGATCCTCTGGTTCTCGGGGGTTGGTTCGACAATAATTCTAGAAACATGGCGCGATTCATAGCCTCTGGGCGTTTGATTAGGCGAGGTCATATTCAAGTTGGCACAAAGTGCGTGTCGAATGTCTGGTTACGGGGTAGCAGGCAGCCTTGTAATGGGTGGTGAGGCCTGCCAGTACATTTACTTGGTAAGGTAGAAATGAAGCCGTGCAGGGGAGCAGGGGCTTAATGTTATGATAAAACAAATAAGGAGACAAAATTCACTGCGATAAAAGTCCAAATAGGTAGTGGTAGACTAGGTTAGTAGGCTGGCTGTGTATAGTGATGGTTGGGATGGAAGACACGAGATAGGGCGGGACATAATATTTGAGGGACCGACCCGAGGAGGTACTCAAGGACATAACCAATCTATCTGTATATTAGGTACACTTGCTGTAACAATGTACCTAACCTATATGTGTAGCAATGAATGCACATTAGGTACTGCGCCTAGTGAGGCTGACGAGGAGGCAGATTTTTTTTTTCTTTTACAACCCCTTCACATCGGAGCGCAGCGCCCACATGAGCTCTCTATGCTGGTACACTTACCGATCATTGGATTTCGCTTAGCTGGGGAAGGTAGTGCGTCATCTTTCAACCATGAATACTTCTTCACGGGATCCTAACTATATACCATACCTGGCCAATGCTATTTGGCTATAGGTAGGAATGTAGTAGAAAGACGGATCCATCTTGGACATCAAATGTCTCTTCTTTACCAAACTTTCGGTGAAGCAAAATCAATAATTGTCGTTCTGGCGCTGACCACAGCGTTTCTTAGATATGAGAATCAAGAGATTCGATTCGAGCGGGGAAATGGAGGATTTTTTTTTTCTCTTCTCTTTTCCTCTATGAATCCCAGCTACAGACGCAGGTAAGACCCCACCTACGTAGGTAACTATGCGGTTCTTTACAGCAGTGTATGCTAGAGCACTAAAGTGGTAAGGGTCGGCTTGACACGTAGCATGTCGTCTGAGCATCTGCGCTTAAGGTCGAGCCAACGCGTTGCTTTATGATGCTCGTCGTGGCTTTCTACAAGTTGCCCTGCCAGTCGACACGATTATACGGGCAAATTGGCAAAATTTGCTACTATTAACTACCATTGCGATTTGGCCTCGGGAGATACAAATTCCCAATTTACTTTTAGCCTTACTGTAAGTATTGCACGCAACGTAAACCGGCGTAGTCCTAGCTTGCATTTGTCGGTCATATACTATTTCCCCCTCCCCAGAGCCGCCTGGATTAGAGAACTCGCAAAAGGGTTACATTCGCACACCCTACGGTGGACGCGTAAATTCGAATAGATCATGGGCTTCCCTGCTCCATGGTCCTCCGTTCGCTCTGGCAAATACGGGCATGGCTGCAGCAGAAGCTTTGCGTCGGACTTTTGATGTAGCCTTCTGTTCGTCGTGTTCATGTCTCTTAGTATCTGGCGGTCTTCCTAATGCTACTTCTGACGGCAATGGACATTGCGGGACATGGCCGGCAGCATCCGAAGGCTTGGCAGCCTTCTTCCCTCGGGTGGCGGGGTTGACCACCATCTTAGCAGTAGGTAGCCGCGTCGCCGCAGTGTCGTCAGATAAGGCCTGCACGTCTGAGTTCCCGCTGACTCGGGCTGACGTGGGTCTGATTTTCTTCTGCGGAAGACACGAAATCGCTTCGACATCAACCGTACCTATGTTGCGGTCCTCCACAAACTCGGGAGGGACACCGTTGCTCACCGCCCTTGCTTCCTTGGCTAGAGGCTGCACCACCGAGTGGTTCGCGGAAAAGCCGCTAGCGAGACTTGCCTTACCATATTCACCACCCTCATTCCGTTTCGGCCCGCTATCAATTTCTTCGTCAAAAAAAAAACCGATAACTTCTTTGCTACGTACGTTCCTGCGGCCTAGCTGAGCAAGGCGAGGGGCAGGAACGTCATCTTGCAAAACCAAGTCATCTCCGTCAGTCATCATCTGGTTCTCGGTATCCTTTTCTGTTATCGAATGCGAGTCTACACTGTCCCTAGTCCGAGGTTTTTTCCTTTTCCTAGATGAGTCGCTGTTGCTTCTTGAAAGCTTAGTCGCTTCGGTTAGAATACCGTGCTCATGCCTAGAGCTAGATGGCTCGTCATTCATTTGATCGTCATAAGCATGCGTTTCCATATCCACAAAAGGTTTACTTTGAATTTGAGGATCCGATATAGCTGTATCATCTTCACGGTGCTTTGCACTCTGCATTTTCCGCCGAGTATTCTTTATTTTGTTATCTTGTTTGTATGCCGACTTAGGATTTACTTGCGACGAATTGCATAAAGGAACATCCTGTGTTATTCGTCGGGTATGATCGGGCTCTTTAACATCGGTGTCTATATTTATATCATCATCGGACATACCATCGTTTGAATGCCCTTTCGTAATCCCTCTTAGTGGAGTAGGTGGGCATTGGTAATCGATTTGGTTCTTAAATGCTCTTGTTGATGAACTGTCACTCTTCAGCTTCTCGGATATCATTACTAGGCCCCGTTTCTTCCTAGGCTTGATACGCAATTCTGTCCTCGACTCGCTTATAGGTTGTCCCTGGGCTAATCCTAAGTGTTCATTATTACTGACAACCACTTCCGCTTTATTCTTGGGGTTCAGCTCTGTGGTAAGATTCCCGCCTCGAACCGATTTCTTTGGTCCTAAGATAGAGGGTGGGCCTTTAGCTTCTCTATCGATTAAACCTGCCGCCGACGCTGTATTGTCAAAAGCATTATCTCCATCTTCAAGTTGAGGATAGTGTCGCTTATTGCTTCCGTGGTTGTTCAAACCCAAGTTCGCCGATATTGGTTGTAATGTATCAATCTCTACGGGCTGTCCTCTAGTCTGGCCCCTTCGCCTTGGCCCTGACTGTCTTTCGTTGATAGGTGGATCGCATTGTTCGTTAATATCAATTTTATCGCCTAAAGAAAGCAGTGGGGGCTGCGACTTAACAGAATCCCGTGTTGAAATAACCTGGTGCTCTTGATATACTTTCTTTGATAACGCAAGTCTAAAAGTATTAATCTGTACTTCTTCTCGTATCCTTGTAGGTGCATCCTGTATAAGTATAGGCTCGGCACCTGAATTACCGGCATGAGTGCTAGGAATAGCTGATGACAAAGGCCGGTCATCAGCGGAGACGGATATCACCTTCGGCGGCCTACTCCGCAATAGTGGACTACTTGTTGGCGTACCGGATAGTGTCAATGAAGCACCAAATAAGCTTTGTGCGTAACCGCTCTTGCTTGGAGGAGATACTTCTCGCTTCCTTCGCTTCGCGGGGCGTCCATCATCATCCCGCGTGGAAGTAGCTAATTTCTGTCTTTCTTCGTATGGCGATTCAGTTGGCACGAGAGCACGCCCGTGGTGGCCAGTAGGTGTACCAATCAAATTATGGAGAGGCTTATGTCGCAGCTGGAAGTGAGGGGCATCAACATTTGGTGTAGTAACATTTGGTGTAGCAGCCTCAACTGTGGGAGGTCGTCGCGCAAGAGCAGCAGATTGACGCTCAGCCCTTTCTCGAGCTCTCTTGTCTATGAGTTCGGAGAGATCTTGATCACGACTCCCCGTACATTCAGCGACCTGAACAATGGTGCCTCCTCTTTCAAGTTCAACTTCTTCGCCTTCGTCGAAATGATAATCTTCGTGCCAGTGTGTGTCTCCTACAAAGTTGCCACGTTCGTCGTATACCATGATACGTTTATTGAATGTGTGATATTTCAACCTCCCATCTTGCCAGCGCTTTTGCTTTCTGCGAAGGTCTCGCGTAAATAAGCAGACATATTCAAGGACTGGAGCGGTGCTACCGGGTGTCTGCTGGTGATTTGAAGATCCAGAGCTATGCAAGTTATGCATAGCTGTAGTCATAGCTATTGATGAATACTTGTCGACATTGATCAAGTCTGTAGGTACCTATATATGGCTTGGTGGTGCCTAAAAAGGAAAGACAATCAAAATGTTCATTGTAGTCGCTTAATACTGTTACCGTTACTAAGCTCAAAAAGTTGGTGTGGAGAGATTAGAACGGGGATTAGAACGCGCTTTTGCTATCAACGTGTCTTGAGCGTGTTTTTAGTCTATTTAAATCATTTAAGAAGTCGCGTTCCACACAACCTACTACAACACGTTAGCACGTGTTACTAAGCGGTACATTTAACTACCTAAAATAGTACCTAAGTACATCTGAGTCATGTTTTTGATGTAATATAGGGCTGCATGCGAAGTACACAGGTACACTAGAATTATTTAAATCAGTGCCCCCCCAAAACATTGAATTTGTGACAATTGGAAGTAAAACTGAGGATGCCGGTGTATTATATATTATATATTCAGAGGCTTTATAATTCTTAAGCAGCATACAACCTAAACCAAAAAGTCGTCCGCAGCTTGTCATAATTTGTCTTGGAGACTAACGACAAGCAATCATTGTTGTATTTTTAGATTTCTAACCATTGGCCACAAGTATGTGCAGTGACGTCTTGCTGCTTATCGTTATCGTAAACCTGTTTATTCGGAGAGGCGTTTGTGTTAGCAGTAGCAGTAGCTTCCAAGCTGCACTGCCCACATAACCTATTCGCGGTTCGTTTCGAGAAAATTAGGAGAAGACCGGGAATTGATAAAGACAGGCCCATCTATGGTCATCCTGCAGGCAATCCTAATCATATCCCATAATCCTCCACTAAAGTTCTATGTACCAGGACCAATTCCTACATTTATGTATATGTAGGTACCTAGGTAGCCAAAAAGTTTCTTATAATACTTAGTTACAAAGTACTTTCATAATAGCTTTCTTGATCCTCTTCTCAATTGTAACTTCCTAGTCCATTTTATACCATACTCTTTAACCTTTATCAATTCGTCAATTGGAAGTTACGGACAGAAGTGACTTATGTAAAGTTCCGGCAGTTCGGTAAAACGGCAGCCGTTCCTCTCACTATAATTACCTACCTATTACCTAAATGCATGTATAAACGCATGTACATATAATTATTTCTACGCCTCTTCTCTCAGCCCCTTGTTTCTGCCTGCGTTTCCGCCCCTGCTTCCATCTTCCGACGCGAAAGAACAACGCTGCTAGACCTATTTAATTCATTTATTTCACTTCACACGACAGTTTCTGTTATTGCTATTATCGTTTCTTACTCACTCTTCACCCTTTAGTCGGCGAATGTCTTCACTTCGTCCCTTCATCCTTTGCAGATACAGACTTTAAGCGTGCAGGACCCTTCGTCATGCTATACTTCAAAGCTACGAACCCCGCGTGCTATTAATTGTTCATAATCCCCCCCCACCACGCGTTTCCCTTCAAGGATAAGCAGTTAGATACAAAATTGATAACGTGGCGAGCTCAACAAATAAGCCACCATGCAATCTATGCAAAGACAGTTCGGAAAATTACTCCACAAGAGCCCTGGAGATAATGCCCGAGTCGCTGTTTTATTAAACGACTATGAGGATGCCGACAGAGTCCTTGCTAAGGTATGAGCTAAAATATAATTATCACTCTCAGCCCGCCACAATCTGGCCTCTCGCATATTAATAGTTTTTATATTTCTAGATCGTTGACCACACCAAGTCATGGCATGAATCCTGGGTCAGCTTGGCTATGGCGCAACTGGGCATAGTCACCGAGTACGATGGCCTCTGGGACCCAATAGTTGGTGCTACCGATGGTCATGGAACAACAGCTGTGCCGACCCCGGATCTCCAGCTCGAACGTACCCTAAGGTTGAAACAGGCTTATACTGAGCTTAAGGCAGAAGTACTAGAAGAAGTAGGTCTCATTGAATCTACAATAATTAAGCCTGCTACCGACGCCCGCGATTGCATTGCTCCCTTAAGGAAGACCATTAAGAAGCGGGAAAACAAAAGGTTAGATTACGAGAAGTGTCAAGACAAAGTCAACAAACTGCAGAGGAAAGTCTCTCGAACTCCCAAGGAAGATGCTGCTCTGGCCAAAGCCGAAGCTGAAGTTGCGCGAACAGCTGAGGTATAGATTCCAATACGATGCGAAATAAGATTGTTAATAAAAGCTAATGGGCCCCATAGGAATTCGAGATCGCGGACTCACATCTAAGAGAAACATTGCCGCCTCTCGTAGCTGCGACTTTCAGCATAATACCGCCACTCATAGCAGGAGTGGTTGTAATTCAGAATAGATTGCTCGGCTTGTACTATACCACACTTCACAACTATTGTCAGGACTATGACTTTCCATCGCCGCCACCACCCATGGAAAATGTGATATCTATGTGGTCGGCTACTTATGAGCCCGTCAAGCGCGAAGTCGAATCCATAGCATGCATCGCAACGGGTAAGGCCGTCCGACAGCCTATGAAACTTCCAGATGATCCAAGCAACATCAACAATAACAATAACGATCGCAAACCATCCACTTCGTCCGCGACATCCTCCACCGCGGAGAATGGCTTTCACCGTTCACCGTCTGGGCTCATCGGCTCCAGCAACTCCGCACCACCTCCAGCTGGCCCACGGCCAAAACGAATCCCTTCGTCAGCCTCGATAGCGTCATCCCAAGGAAGTAACACAATACAGCCAAAACCGAAGCCGTCGTTTGCTATTGGCAATCATCTCACGCCTACAGACTTTACCACCGCATCTCGACTCGGTCAGGGACTAACACCAGCGATATCACCTGGTTCTACTCAACCACGAGCAGATTATTTCGGGCGCCCTTCCCCGACGCCCACGAATGCATCCAGCACGTCGTTCAATGCAGCCGCCATCGCCATCAAAAAGAAACCTCCCCCGCCACCGCCGAAGAAGATAGGCGCAAACCGGCTAGAAGAATTTGTAATCGCACAGTATGATTTCGCTGGGCAGAACGTAGGCGACCTGTCCTTCCGCGAAGGCGACAGGATAAAAATCGTCAAGAAGACGGGCACGGATCAGGACTGGTGGATGGGCGAACTAAACGGCGTCCGAGGCAACTTCCCGGCCAATTACTGTAAGGCAGCTTAGCACGTAGCGCGTCTAGAGCAGACCTCAGCCATGTTAAGGTAGGTAGGTAATTAGAAATCCGGAGCAAACACAGGTATCCGGAACATGCGGTATTATATATATTTAATAAGTATTGCTTCGTTTCTATAATGGGGGTCTAAAGGGGGGAGTTCCTTCTGCTTGCTCTTTCGGTCATGTCTAAATAAACGGATGAGACTAGGCAGATGGGTAGGTGGATGAGTAGATGGATGGATAATGAAATGGGAAAATATTTATGTTCCCTTTATAATAGGATATGCATACCTTTAATATTTATAAGTATGAAAGGAAAAAAAGGAGAAAAAGGAAAAAAGCAAAAAGCAAAATTGGGGTTCAAGTCAATATAAATAGTACCTACTTCTAGTCTTCACTACGAATAATGACGTGAGGTTAGAGTATGCTATGATGAAGTATTGATGCTTCAAAAAATATGTGCATTCAGTCTGCTTAGTTTTAGGTATTTACCTCCACCTCACCTCACCTCACCTCACCTCACATAACCTAATCTAGCACTCAACCAAGAGAGTCAGTCACTCAGTCACCTACTACTCCCTCCCCATCAAATAGATAAATATCTTCATTTTCCATTTCCGAAACCCAGCAAAAGCACAAACCAACCCATTTCCAATATCAAACAAACAAACAACAACATGAATGAATTGCCCACGCGGGAGCTGCCTCTTAGCGAGCAGAGCAAGAACGAAAGTAAGTCTATAACAGAGGCCTAGGCAAATCAAATCAAATGAATTTAAAAAAAAATGATGGCGGGTATCAGACTGTCGCACGATTGACAACCTATTTGCCATTTCCCTACGCCTGTTGAATCCATGCATGCAAGTATAGTAGCTGTTGCTGTATCATCCAGTCTTTGTTGAGGATATCGGGTATCATAAACGAGACAAATGAAACATCGCGGCTCGAGGCGCCGATTCGTGTGCTTGGGCCAGAGGTCGTGATGGCAGTCAAACAGGTGAAAATGCCATGATAAATAGATCCAGACCGCGCAATGCAACTCTTAAACTCGGAATTAAAAGAATGGTATCGTTGATACCCAAACGGGGTACCTCCCTTCCCCTATTCTTAGGTACGGTAAGCCTGGATTCGGGCTGTTAGAAAGACCTCCACGGCCAGGAATCTGCTCAGAGTGCCGATGATCCAGTGGTAGAAAAAACGACGATACGGCAGGCGACTAATCACAATATCCCATCCTGATACATCTAGTAACAGCGACGTATGCTGTTTATCATATGCAAAGGCGGTGGGAGGAGTCAGAATGTGCTGGGTCCCAGCTCAACGGTGGGTGATGTCGTACCCTCACGTCGTTTGCGTTCCTCCTCGGCCCTTATAGCCCGTGCGATCTCTTCTACTTGGATATCCGCAGCGCCCCGTGCTCCCAAGTAACCATCTTGAGCATTTTCGAGTTCCATAGGTGTCACGGGTCCAGGAGATCCCAAAGGTACCAGTCTTGGCTTACCCGGCCCGGGCATGGTTGTAAACCCAATCGTCCTTAACGAACTTAGCGTTGCTGCGTTGACATTTCCACCATTAAGAGCCAGCGTCGCTTGAGCAATCATATCGCGTTGGTATTGCTGTAATCTACGTTTCGCATCGGACTCATTCCGTGAATGTCCCAACGCAGAAGAGTCTCTAGTGGTAGGTACAAGCGATTCCGACTTGGATCCCATCGGAGGCAACGGGGTCGACGTTGGTGGACGAGTCTGTCGGCTTTGCTTTTCTTCTTTTCTCTTCACATAGTTGGAAGGATAATACTTGCCCATTGGCAGAGGGCTGTCCTGGGTGCCAGTCGGCATGTAGCTGGCAACGGGGGTGTTAGACCTGGAATCGAAACTGGGTTCCGGCATGCTTGTGGCATTTGGTGGCGCAAGTTTCGTGGATCGTTCTGACATAGTTACGGGGGCCGTAGTAGAAGTGATAGCTCCCGTCGATGCTTTAGCGGAAGTAGTTTTCTCGGGACCGGGGGAGTCGGACTGGCTCGCACGTTCGATGGATTTCATACGGGCTTGAGAAGCATCAAGCTGAAACGGGTGAGGACGATAAATACGAGCTTGCTCCTCATGTAGGGGAAAATAACCACTATTATAAGGCAAAAATTGTCAGCTACGGTTGTTAAAACTGCAAGCGTACCCATGCATCCGACTCAGGAAACTTACCCAGGAAGATCGCCGCGAGCTGAAAGAGGTGCAGGTGGAGTGTAAACAGGAGCACTATTAACCTTCTTTACAGTGGGTAACTCGATTGCAATTGGTTTGGCTCTAGCAGGCGTTGATCTAGGAGCATCGAAAAGGACCGGATCTTTTTTTCCTGAATCAGTTGGTAAGGTTTAGTTAGCAATGGTCCGAGTATGACGCAGTTTTAACAAAAGCAAGCGTGGAACCAAAGACTCAAAGACAAGTGGAAGAGGGGTGCATAGATGGGCGTTTCAAAGGGGTAGGGGATCCTAACGGGGATCCTAACGGGACTACGGGACCCAACAAGCACCTAGCTAAAGAAGCTAAAGAAAAAGGGTATCCTTGAAAATGCACCCCGCCTTAGGGGTTGATAGTGGAGAGAAGTTGGAGGAGTATTGGAACATTGGAGAGCGTTAGTGGCTTGCTTAAGCCATCCAACCACCGTCTCCCGCCTGCGGTCACAAGTCGAAAAATGGTAATCTTCACCGCAGACTGCAGACTGCAGACTGCAGACCGCAGACCGGCATTCCGCATTAGAAACCCAAGCAAACACAACCCGTGTATATATCTAAAATAAATGACCCATTTCCTTGTGAAAAAAATCATTGGTCACTAATAAGAATTATGAATATATATAAACATACCGCCAATAGGTCTAAGATTTGGAGAAGATCCGGATTGTTTGTGCGATGAATTATCCATCGACGGTTTTGGAGAAGGTCTCGTAGAGAATATAATATCGTCTTGCCGGATGTCGGGTGACGAGAGAGGTGATGCTTCGGATGAACTTGACATATTTCTCGAAGGTGGAGGCGGTCGTCTTTTCATAGAAGACAAGTATGAAGATGGCTTAAACGAACGGCTGAAGCCTGCCATGTTTATCGTCAGTACCTCTAAGCCGCAGCTCACTAATTTGCCCTTGCAGCTGAACCCCAAATAAACGTAGAGATCGGGAAACCTAATGGACCACAGGACTCTCAGTCAGTACGGCTCTTCAGAAGTCGATTGGTATGTTTAGGACTAGACGTCGCACAGTCCTTAGCCAGTCATAAACAAGTAAGTATGAGATAGGTAAGCCGAAGAGTATGTTGAATTTGTTGAGACTGGAGCCTGCCGTTCAAATAACCTTATATGTCGAATGGACCGGTGGAGGTTCCCACTTGTCGTTTATACCAATGGTGCTCCTTAGGGATTTATCCTCTTCCTCTCATATGACGACGTGCTTCACGTTTTGAAATAATGCAGAAGTCGTGCTACCCGACAAGCGACGGTTCGGTGCGGTGCTTGATCGAATACCAAGCAAACATGACATGCAATAGATCGAAGAAGTATGGGGTTTTGTCAGGTGTCTTACCTTGGCAAGAGACGTCGGTGGGTTTATGTCCAACGTGAGGGTTGATACCTCGCACTTCTATAGGTAAACTATAGGTAAATTGGAGTACGAGCTGTGATCGAAACGTGATTTAGTTTCGAAAAAAGATCACCGTCCCGGCCCGTGGCGGGCTGAATAGTGCGTAGTGCGTAGTATGTAGTATGTAGTGTAGTATAGTGCGTAATGAGTAGGTGTGTCTAAAGTATCCAGCGTCTCCACTCGCAATTTGACTATGGATTAACTGACGGGTGGAATAAGTAGATGGAGGGACGGATGGATGAATAGATGGTTGGATATGTATGAAGAGACCCGCTTTCTCCCGCTCGTTATATCTAATTGTCTACCTTTGATCCGAGGGGGGAAACGGTTGTCCTTAGCATATGATGTAAATATTCTTGGTCGCTCGAAATTATTGTTGTTCAAAAGAGAGGCAGGTGTTTAAGCATTGGTGGAGATACTAAGTAAACGTGATAGCGAGTGTGAGTGAGTGTGTGTAGTAGAATACACCCAAGCACACACCTTTCAGACGGAAACCCCAGACCCCCTGATGAGATTGTTGGAAGGTACTTTATATCGTATAAAGCCGGTCGCGATATATGTTCGGAAAATCGGAATTAACACCTAACATTTCTTCTGATGAGATGACGACTCTAGTCTCTTAGTCCGCCGTATAGCCAGCCATCCGAAGGAATAAGCTGTAGTACTGTACCTTATGGTGTGTTATAAGTTATCGGCTTGCTTATTATCACCGTACTAATATATGTAATATATGTAATATCTGTAATATCTTTAAAGATGATTGCTACCAAACACGGTAATGTGGCGTTAGGTACGGGAACTCTTCGAGAAGTAGAGCACTTCGGATTCAAAAAGGCATTGATGATGGGTGGTTGTGATTGGTAAGAAGTTGCACGTAGGTATCAAATCAAACAGAAAAAGGTAAGCCTGTCGATACATATATGTACATATGTTATTACATACATTATCGCACTTGCCTTGGTTTAGTCTGCGAGAATTTTATAATTATTTTCCCTCTTAAACCTGAAAGAGAAGATAAATAATATACAAGAGGTACCTAATCTACCTACCTAACGTTTAGTACCTGTTAGGCACTAACCTAGCTGTATGGATGTGATATTGCGTATGTAGGTAAAGCTTGAAATTATTCGTAGGGATCCTTCGACCTTCTACATAGGTATAAGTAAGTACCTACATCATATGTACTAAACTTGTAGGCAGGTAGGCTCCACTCCACCTTATGAAGAAGGAAACTTGGAAGTACAGTACAACTAAACTGACAGTTTTGTACCGGGGTAGATTTGTATGTGATACCCTTCGCTCATTGGGTAGCCCTATCAATGTGTCATTTCCGCTCACTGCAACATATTGGCGCAAAAGGGAAAAGAAAAAAAAAATAACTAGTAAGATTTACAGCATTGTCTACGATCGGCTACTCTCTCCTCACGATTGTTCGATACGATTATACCAACATGTCAATAATATGCCGACAGGTCAGGTTAGCATTAATGTATCCTTGTACGTAATGGGTAATTCTTGACGATCATCCAACCTCTAGATGAGGCCGCATCGTACGAGCCCTGCTAACCATCAACGCGTCCCACCCACATCAATCATACCTTGATCTCGGCCTGTAGCAGTGTAGTTACCCTCCAAACTACCTAACCCTCTAGACTGACCTCTCCAGCTTGCCCTCACTTGCCCTCACGCGCTCGGCCGATTGCATCTTCCGATTACTCTATACCGGCCGGGGAGGGTTCATATCAGCCAGCGTGTAAGATGTCGAGGAGCAAAACCCGCCTAAGTCTCCTCCATCTTCACCATGTCTTCTTTACTACCCCATCAAATTTATGTCATAGCCCGTCTGCAACAAAACATGACCGGTCCCCGAACTCGCAGTTTACCGCAAACCCCGGTGATTTTGGAAAGTAGGATGCTCTGGCAGTCTGGGTGTGTTGCTACCCAGCGTACAGTGATCAACATTTCCGTATTGCACATCAAGTTGCCTCCGTTCTCACAACTAAGCAGCGTTAGGTACCCAAATACACATAGCCTCTACATAGACACTAGGAACTCTAGCGTAGGCACAGTCCCACAAGGCCTCAGCCTATGATATATGCCTTATGCATAATATGCGAGAGTAGGTATTCTACTAGGTTAGGACATTATGTCCCTATTCATCAAGGGAAATTTGTAGTCCCGAAGGCTAGAATGCGATCACAAAATGAGTAGAATATCCAAAAATAGCGTGTGCGAATTTTACCGCTGATACCTCTGTCTCAGATTATCGCCACGAGCTAAGTTCCAGACGGGTACCCAACAGCTTAACTAGGTCCCCTTGTGAGATCATCCAGCGTCTGTCTGCGTTGGGTTTGAGATTTACAGCTGTGCACAATTCAATATGTGGCCATGACGACGAGCCCATGAAAAGTATACCTACGTATATGCGGCGGCTTCTTGTAACCTCCTATCAAGAAAGAAAACCAAGGAACACATTATTCCAACGATCTAGTAACATCTCGCAACACTTCGCAACTTTCTTGACGAAACTGAAAATGGAGCGCCTGAGCCTGTCAGCGACAGGCACCCAACGCTCTTTACTACATAGTGTATTCGCAGCACTAGCACCAGACGATGCCGGAAAGAGGTAAGTCCCCGCCGATCTACTAGTAGATCGATGCTCGGGGAAAAAAAGCATGGTTCCCATCGTCTCCCGGTCTATGTATGTATGTACATAGACTACGTCGAGCGACTTTAAAATAACCCTGCTCTATCTGGGTCTCCTCCGCATCGACTCTCCTCTCACACGTGTAGGTACGTACTATATACGCCGTCATTATCAATCTCAAACTCTACCTAGCCTCGAATTCGACACTCCTTCGGCTCTTTGCTCCGAATAGTCGAAATTAGGTATTCTCTAAGTTCATATAGCTATTACGTATCTACGTAATTCCTCATGGGACGTCTATGTGACGAAGATCTTCGACTAGTAAGGTTCACAGCATCCGGCCCCTTGTCACGAATTTTCCAGCAAGAGATTTAAATGCGCTAAGCGCGGTTCCGGCGGGGTCCCAACTTTGACTCGGGGGTTATCAATCTTGACAGGGGGATCCGGTAAAAAAAAAGTTTCTGAAGGATCGACGATAGCATCCTAATAAGCAGAACATCATTACTATCAGTGTCGAATATATTCTAATTGTAATTGCCACATAGTGGCATAGTGGGAGGTCTGGAAATTTGACTAAGACAGGGGAAAGACCCCGTTTCCCCCTGATGTTGAACAAACGAGAGGGAGAGACAAAGAATTCTATAGTAGATTTGATAAGATATGACGTAGGTGGATAGTCCAAGGTGGTCCCTTGGCGCATATGTATCTCGGGATTCTCAAGTAGCGTTTACCCACTTGACATCCTACCAAAAATCGTAAAACAGGCACACATAAAACCAACCTGATGATATTAAGGCCTAAAGAAATAACAGATAGTTCGTCAAGTTTTCTTGTAATCCATAGCGACATGTGAAGGGGCCTTGACTTTTCCACTGCCAATCCATGCGGTAAAAAATCCTGTATAGGCTACGATAAGAGGTAAGATATTAATTAATGTATTGCATTGCATATACGCAGTCATTTTGAAAAGCCAAAGCCACTTATCTAACTGCATACCTTATTTTTTTTTTTTTTTTTTTTCGAAATAAGCATACATATAGCCGCAGCTCAGCGGTTTTGGACCAGTAAGGCTGCATGAAGTCCGGGCTCTCATACATTCTCATCTATATATACGTATGACATGTGGTTTTGAGACACCGGAAGTTTACGGTAGGTAGAGGTACCTAGGTTGGTATAGGTTAAGGCGTATAAGTTAAGTAGACGATGACAGGTTCTTCGGAATACGTTGCAATAAACGTCATGTTCTAGGCGGCACTTTGAGAAATAAGCAATCTCATTCTTATTGATGCTTTATGCAGAGTCGAATGAGCTGCAGACCAAGAATGCAACGTGGCATAGACTTCGCAGAGCCTCGAATATCTAACGACTCCAACTCTTGATTATGTCACTTTACATCCATGACGAATTATTCAGAAATCCAAGTCGTGCTTTTGGGTATTCAAAATTCTCTCAACGCCAAGCTGTCCCTTATCGTTTTCATCATCGTAACCACACGTACCCTGATACCCTAAGCTTCCCCACCAAGATCAGCCCCAAAATTATCAGATCTTCGAAATAATATGATAGTCGTATATGATATAACTATGCCGTCCAACCAGCAGACCGAACCGATGCATTCCGACCCAGCTGAGCACGGCCCGTAAAGCGGCTTCGCCTCTCGCGGTGAGTCCACCAATAAGTGGCACTCGCAACGAATCCGATAAGCCAAAGCAGTGCGTTTGCCAAGTCAACCCACACGGCGTTCTTCATTCTCTGGATGTCGCTATTACCTTCGGGATCCTCATGGATATACATGCCACCAAACAGACCGAAGAGCGCTATCCACAAGATAAACATGATGGAGTTCCATACCGTAACTGCAGCGAATCGTAGGATAAAAGGTATAAAATAGAGGATAGCCGTCAGTGCGGCAAGAACCCCCACAACTTCAGCGTAGACCTATAAAATAGTACTTTTGTCAGCTTTTCCCACTTACAAGCAAAGACCCCAACATCAGCTTATCGCGGGGAGGGGATGGGGGCGGGACGATTTGGCATACCCATTTTCCATCAATGTATTTACCCTGAGAACGCGCGCGCGAAAGATCAACGCCGTATAATCCACAAACGGTAACAGCAAGCACAAATTGGGCAAAGTGAAGGACAGAAAAAAGCAAGTAGCTCGCTGTCATACCCAAGATACCCATAGTCGCAACGCTCGGCGCAATGAAGAATGAATGTCTATTGCGATGTCGAGTAGATAATATTAAATCGCCGTGGGCTTCAATAGCAAATATAATGCTGCGCGCTATATAGCGAGCACGCGCAAAAAGAATGGCTGCAGGGGAACACAAACGCTTAAAGCTAAAGACAATTGATGCTGAAGAATAAAAGTAAGAGGCTTGAGGCTGTTTTGGCGTTTAGGTGAATACTCTTATCCTTGTTTGTGAGAAACAATAAACGATGACGAACGATGACGAACCAGGACGAACCATGCGTCTGTGCTTCCAAATGTGTCTAGCCCCCAGACTCCGATATTATGTATCTTTGTATATTTCCTAATTCAGACAACAGATCTGCCTCCTTTGGGCCTGCCAAGAGGGGCTAGTTAGCTGCTATTGGTGAACTAAAATTGAAGGCAGCCCATCGGACTTTCAGCTAGTTATCGTGTAAGTGCTTTACTTTTAGGTTAGGTAGTTTCGTGTAGACTTTCGAAAAAAGCATTTTTTTAATTAGTTTCACTACATTGTAACAAGTTAGATTCTTAATCCACACCTCTTAATAGTTAGGAGATAATTAAACTTGGATACTTTTGCTTTCGAATGGTTGATGAGTTCTTTAGCGATTACACTAACTAACAGGTAGTTAAAGCGAATGTTATAATTACCTATTTAATAAGACCCTTGATAAAGATTAGTTGATACCGACAGCTCGGTAGGATCGAGGCTAGATTTGCTCGGAGGCCTGTTACCAATGGCGACATATGTTTGGGTTCGCATTCAATAGCCTCAAGGGTTACCATCAGCAGCAATCAGATATGCAATAGTCTTTTACTGCTGAAAACGTGGGGGTTGAACCAAACTTGACAAGTCACTTTACGGGGCTATTCCAAGAGGCTGTCAGCTATGGACTCTCCTTGCTAGATAGATCTCTGAGGCTTGTTGATCGAGATTTCCGAAGGAGATATCTCTTGTATCTAAGATAGTCGGGCAACGTGGGTTGTCTTTCCCAATCAACCCATGTCCAATGAGAGGTAACCCCAACCCTGATACCCCTCCAATTATTGCACGTCTCTGAGTCTCACGACATGTTTTTTGGAGAGCCGCATGATGAACAAACCACCTCTGCTAATTTCACCAAATATAGCAAAGCTTAGGACTTGAAATTTTAGGATATATAAGTGATGAGGTCCACGTCCAACTCTCAGAACCATCATAGGATGCTGAAAACGCCGGCTGAGTTCCGGGGTCAGTCGGGGTGTACGCGGCCGCTTATCATGTCCGAGTATGAATCTCAGCTGTGAAGTTACACCGTTGGATTCCTTCGCTTACATCATATATCTGAAGATGAATTTTTCTTTTTTTTCCCTCTTTTCTTCTCAAGAAACCTCGAGACCACCCCCGCCTCGTATGCGCGGACCGCTTGTTCGTTCCTGTCGATGCCAACGCTGGTTTCAGACCGCCTGAGGCGTATGCGCCTAGTTCAGCTGCCTTCCTAATTTCGGTAGACGTCGCGTTATAATGGCGGTCGTACAGATGACAGGTCTACTGGCGCGACTCACGAGTTCAAGAGGGATGGTGGTGCATGGGGAATCAGCCCTACGGCCATCGGGCCTCATGGCTATGCAATGCGACTCTTGTGCAGTTGTTGGGTCCTTGTCGCCTGAATAACAGGCTACCGAGCCAGCGGGAGCCAATATAATCACGAAGCAGTTACCGAAAACTGTATAGTGGCTGTGGAAACACTTGTCAAAGAATCGCCGGTCTCCTCAAAGCGTCTTCCGCAATCAATATTGAGGATTAGATGCGTCAATCAACATCCTATATTCTACCGAGAAGGGTGTAAGGAAGTGGAACTTGTCCTACCGAATCTATCTAGGTTTCTTGTTGGGAAATGCGTCACATGCCGGAGTTTGAGTTACTCAATCAAAATGGCGATGCCGTTAACTAGGAAGCCTGTTAGCTTCGCCAATCTCGTGCCTAACCACTTAGATGTAAGGTTTCGATAGGCGTATCCTCTTCCCTGACCGAGTCCTAATCATACGACGCTGACATCCCGAGCCGCTGGAAGTTTATCAGCGTAACAACCAGATATGGCTTCTGGGACTACAAGCTTGCTCGAGTTCATCCCTGTGTCTACTTGGTTACGATACTGGGCTGTGAATCTTCAAAGGCGAATATAAAGCTCATACCAATCCTCCTTCTCGATGCCTGGATTATCACCATCACTCGTCTACGAAAGCTCACAGTTTCGAATTCACGGCAAACAGTCTTTCAAATTTACTCTACTAGCTTATACTGAACTTTACTCAGTTCCCAATCTTCATCATGTCTCCATTTCACTCCCACTGCAAGCGGATTGCTTATTCCAACAGCATTGAGGGAAACTATACCGATAATATCACCACTGCTTGTTTCTCCCACGGATCATTACCGGTGCCGATTTCGTTGGGTGCGGATGAGTGTCGCTGGAAATGCGTGAGTTGCTTGACCCTCTACTATTCCTAGTCTGTAACTAACGTACCCGGAGTGCAACTGCTCCGCTGGTGGTAATAACTCATACACCTACAATGACTGTTGCGTTGAATGTGGGCATAGAAGGTGCAACGAATGCGATACCTGGACGCCGAAATAAACACCCAGGCTAGGCATCAAGCATGACAAGCACTCATGCCAAGCTAAGGGGGTTTTTACCCTTTCTCCTTTTTCGGGAGGCTCCGGACTAGACATATACTTCGGCATCACCGTCTCTCTTTTTCCGACTAGTGGAGGTCATACAGTCTTTAAAAGGTTCAAAGGTTCGGATAGTCATTTGTGGGTTGGACGGAATACATGTAGATGAAAGCTCACGCCGGTTATGATTTACATAGGATTTATCTTCATCTAGGGGAACACAAAAGCGGCACAGACTCAGACTTCATCATGTACTACAGATAGATTGATAGAAAATCCTCACGGTTATAACACTTTGAATGGTGATACAAATGGTGACACGGGAGGTGACATGCGGCTGATAACACTTAAAATGCCACTGTTGGAAGAGTTGCTTTCCGAAACTGGCTGTCCCAACCGTCAATCCCTTGTGACTCGCCTTGCATATCGTCAAGGGATTTAGACTTGGGCGGAAATGCAGCTAAAGGGCGCGCAGCTATCATACATGCATATATGAGCCCTAGGAACCAGCCGCTGACTATACTTTAAACTATTTCGATACAACCAAATCTACGACCAACATGTATCCTGACACAGCTAGTGTAGATCCAGTCGTACTGCCACCGCGTCCTTGTACATATCCTGGTACCTACCCCTATATCAACAGAGAGGAATGACTAACTACCAATGTATATGCATGTTACTCTTTACGGTTACGCCCGCTGAAACTACAGTCTGCTTACGGGAAGCCTTACGGGAAGTAACACCAAAGCTATACCGAAAAATCTAGGCATTTAACAGTACCAATTGGCAACGAGCCTTACGTCAACCCCTTGTCAGGGGCGGGCGCCGCCGCCGGCAATTGGTAAACACAGCCTTGAACGAGTCTCGGCTCCCATAGCTCACGTCAAAATCGAGGCAATCTCAAGGCTTCCAACGCTAACGACTAGGCAGCTAGGTGGCTTCTGGGCCGTCTATATGCGACCTGACAGGAAGAAGAAAGGGCTAGGGAAATGGTTAGGGCGGACCCGTCAGCCAAAAGTGTTCATACTGGGAATAGCGGTGGGGATAAAGGTTACTACAGTCTACTATACACATTCGGCCCCCCCTCCCCTCCCCTTTCACTTTCCACCCTTGATATACCGCACAAGCTCATCCTCGAAACTTGCAAGCTGAGTAAGGATGCGGTCGGGCGTTTATTAACGGCATGCCGTCACTCGGCTAGACCCAATTGAGGTTCCGAGACACATCATCTACGCATTGTTGCCTATCTTCGGTTTCTCAATTCGGTTGCGGTTGAGAAATATCCGGGAACTTGACAGGTCTGGAAGAAACTGCACGTAAACTGCACGTACTAGGGTTGTTGCGTTAAAAAGGATGTAGTTGATGCTGGGCTGTGACTTGAGGAACATGAGACATTGGAACATTAGGACATTGGGACAATTTGGACAATTGGGACATTGGGATTGGGAACATGGGGTTACGTGTTGGTAACGTCTCCACATTTTTGAGGCTCTGTGTGGAGATCTTCGTCACATGAGAAAATGATAAAAAGTAATCGGTTCCGTACAAGACTATCTTCAGGGTCCTGCATGTGATTACATGGCTAGTCGTGTATATCATATCATGGCGTACTATGGCGTACATTGGCGTACATAATTGGCTTATGGGTTGCAGCTGGTTTGAGTAATAAGCAATTTTTTATTTTGGGTTACGAATTATGCAGATAAGATAATGGCTGACTAAAGTATTGTGCCAAGGTTACACGTTGTTAGTACCTATAGATTACCTATACGTATCAATGCGTTAGGTATATTACATTACATATAAAATATGTACCGTTCGCATATAATATATATGCAGGTTTCGCAGATTGAAACTTGTCATACATGTACCTATTGTACTACAACCCCTCCTTTTTTCCCTCTCTTCCAGTTTCGCTCCATTCATCTTTCACCGTTTTCTACAATTTGGAATATAATTTCCATTCACCGAAAATTGGGCGAATAGATTTATCCATCTTTGCTGCTTTGTTGGTTATACCAGCATTCTCTCATTGACAACTCACAGAGCCAAATGAGCCACTTATCGTGGAATCCGACTTATACAAACAAGGTAGTGTAGAGGGGGTCTTGTCCTTGGCCAACTAAGCCACCAAGCGAACCAATTGACCAACCAATTGAAACTTGACCCAAGTATTTGGTATATTATTGGTTGGATCTGTCGTTTACTACAGCATGTGGCGTCTTATCCCTAGATCCGTTCCTTTTATGTATGAAAATCACTGCTCCGGATCTCCTCCGACAGCTTACGTCCACACTCTATTGTATACTTACCTACCTATCTAAGGCACTCAGGCCAGCCTCACGCGGAATAAGAAACTAACCTAAAAGGTACACCTTTTCAAGGTCCCCTGGTCAACCTCGTACCAAAAGAAAAAAAGAAAAAAAAGAAAGGAAAATGACGGAAACCGAACTTCCCAGTCCGCCCTTTGTGCCAATCTCTGGCCTGCCCAATTTCCGCGACATTGGAGGTTACCCAGTGGGTGATTCCAAGGTCGTGCGCCGCGGCTTAGTCTTCCGCTCCTCGGAGCCGTCCAAGGTTACCGACGACGGGGTGTCGAAGTTGCAGGACCTAGGTATTGCGAAGGTGTTTGACCTGCGCTCGGCGGTGGAGATCGAGAAAGGCTTACGTGACGGCTACGGCTGGAAGATCAAGGAGTGGGACGGTGCGAGCCGCCATTTCGTTCCTGTCTTCTTAGATCAGGACTATTCGCCGGAGGCATTAGCTGTTAGGTACAAGAACTATTCTTCAGAACATGCAGAGGTACGTATTGCAATTGCGCGCGTAACGCGCCAAAGAGCCGCGGACAAGGTCCATGTTGGAACGACGCAGGCTGGCTTTTTAGGGGTGTTGGACTTTTGCCTATCCCTTCTAGTTCGGTCCGAAAATTAGGATCAAACAAGCGGATGATTAGGATATTGGGGCTGAGGGAATATAGAGTTGCATTTACTTATTTACTTGTATTTTATTTGTTTGTATTTTGGGGGCGGGCAAACCCTCGCTGGCCTCTTTTTGGGCCAAGGTTGAAGAGCGGTGATAAGTAAATGGGGTCCGTTGGGCAGTTACGCTCGCCTTGTCGCACTCTGTTCACCACTCACTCGAAGCAGGCTGCCTCATGCTTGCATGTTACCAAGTCACTAGTTCAAGTCTTTCCAAGAGGCTGACAGCTCAACCCGTGTATGCACCTGGACTGACATTTCTTGACTAGGGTTTCATAGCAGCGTATAGCGATATACTCGTTGCGGCGGCTTCGTCGAGTAATAGTTACGCGCCATTCAAGACGATACTAGAGCACCTAGCCTCACCTTCATCTTCCCCGCCGACGCCCTGCCTCATCCACTGCACAGCCGGTAAAGATCGTACCGGAGTGATCTGCGGGCTGATCTTGAGCTTATGCGGTGTACCCGATGATGTTGTAGCGCATGAGTATAGCTTGACGGACTTGGGGCTCAAGTCGCGTCATGAGGAGCTCATTTCACATCTGATGAGCAACCCAGCGCTACGGGATCACCCAGTAGCTGCTAGGAGGATGATTTCATCCCAGTATGTCCTACTTCTGCTTCGTATATTAAACTAGCCACCTCGTCTCGTTGGGACTTCACTGCCTCCCTCTCACCGATTTACCATCAACGTTTCCACTCCTTTTCTCTCTTAGCTCTTGTCTTGTGATATACTTGCGTATTGGGAAGCTGACTTGTGGAACTATAGGAAAGAGGCCATGCTGGGCACATTGGCCAAGATCCGCAATACTTATGGATCAGTCGAGAAGTGTGTCGTTGACTTGGGACTACTATCACTTGACGGGATTAGGCAGCTACGAAGCAACCTAATTGTCGATGTGGACGAGAAAGGAGTAGTGTCATGGCAGGACCATGCCAAATTATTGCTGTGAATCTGGCCTGTTCATCATAGATAGACATCATTCGTAAACCCTTGAGACATGCAACCCACTCCATACGTCTTTTGACTTAGATACTCATACATTTTTCGTACAAATGTTCCTCTGTTATACTGTCTAACGCTCTGCTCAGATAAGCTGATTGACATAGCCGCAGTAGTCCCGAAGACACCGTCGTAGACATAGGTCCCTGGCGCATCAATAACATGAATAGTATTCTTTACTAATACTAGATCAAGGTACTGAGGTAGGAATCTTGATTTCGCCCTTGGCACGGTCGTAGTACGGCGCACCGTACCTCCAGCCGACAGCGTTCCGTGCCCTGCCCTTAGCACCGACGTTCTCCGAGTTGATCTGCTTGAAGCGGAACTCGAAGCGATTCGAGCGTACTCGGGTAGTATATTTCTCCTCCAAAAGAGCCTTTGCGAGCTCTTTGTCGGCAGCCTTCCTTTCCGAATCCATCGCGGCCTGCTTAAATCTTTCCGAGGCGTCCCACGGTGGCCGACCCTGAAGAATATCCTTCTCCATCTGGATTAATTCCGGATGGGGAACACGCCGGTCCGCCGGCAGCAGCTTTGGGTGGAAGGCTTTGGCTGCGTCGGCACGTGTGAAGTGACGCGATTCGGACGTCGGCCAGAATATCTGCTTTGTGGTATACGGATGTACGTGTAGCTCATTAATGGGTTCAAACGGCTCGTTCCGTTGGTTTATTTTGAAGCTATGCGTAGGTAACATGCCTAGCACAGCTCTGGCATATGGTTTTGCCAACTTCTTTCCCTGACGTTGCAGCATGTTAGCAACAGACACTCTTAAGAAATCTCAAGTGTAAGAAATGTGAGAGGCGACTGTTATCAGAGAGGCTCGCAACAAAAGTTTGTAACCATGTAGTTGTCTTAAAGACTTATCGAATTGGGTAATGTTGATAATCATCATACAAAGCGCCGGAGGGATTTGAATAATAGAAAAACTGTGAGATGACTTACCTTGGATAACCAGTCCTTCTCGACTTCCTTTAGCCTCACTACAGCAGCTACTCTTCTAATATCGACACCTAGTTCGGCAGAAACGGCTTTTATGGTCTCTCCTCCCTTCATCACCTTCCCCCATATTATTTCTCTTGCTCGGTCATCTAAGACGGACTGGCTTTTGAAGTGGGGGTTTAGGGGAAAAGGACGATCGACATTCCGCTCGTCACCCCCAGAACTCTGGAGATAATTGGTGCCGCCGGGCCTGTGTTTACGGAAAGTGGAGCCTTGGCCATTGATCCAAGTTCTGAAGACACGGCGGATCTTGGTGAAGCGCGGCCGGCTTGGAGTGGTTGAGAAGCTAGCTTTACTCTGGGGAGGGGGACATGGCTGCGGGTGACATCGACTTGAGGCCGATGGGACTGCACATCGGGTCAAGGCGGATGATACCGTCGACGGGCCTGGTATGCGTGGTGGCATCGCAGGAGCATATGACAGCTCGACTCGCGGAGGGTGAGGATGAAGCTTTTATATTAATTGGGAATCCACTGTAATGTGAAAATCTTCGTTGCAAAAAAAAAATCCACTGGTGGGTACCGGAGCTGGAAGAATATTGAAACGGCGATTTTGAGATATGGAACCTTACTAGTTAGTTAACCTAAATCTTGGAAGTTTCTATCGATGAAACATCCATGGCCCGACACAGTACCATTAGTACTTGGGTACCTCTTGAAATAGGTAGTGTATAGGTACCTAGGTACCTAGGTATTAGGTACGTAGTGGGGGAAGATGTAGATAAGACGGGAGCAAGCTCGGGTCCTTTCCCCCACATACCTATCGGGACATATGGTCCGTTTGTTGGCGGGGACGTTTTCTAGTTACCTTGTATCAAACTTGACTTTCTTTTTTCTCTCTTTTCTTCGTCCGCTGCAGCGGCTCTTGCTCCTATCAAACCGGGGATTTCCACCAACTGCATCTCAAAAAGGAGAAGGTGTTTTTTTTTTCTCGTTCATGTCTGTCTACGCATGCAGCAATACCCAAGCTACTCTGCATATTGCTTATTTGTTAGTTTGGAGGCGTCGGCAATTCCACCTAACTCGCGCCTCGCTATCATCGGCTTTATACGACCGTTAAATGCTCGAATCAATAGTAAATGCTTGGCGATTTACACGCACCCAACTGACATACTGCATAGTTAAAGCAACCTATACTTATTCGTATATGCTCTTTTTATTTTATTGTTCTATTATTATTATTATCATCATCGTGATTAATCACTATTATCCTATCTTGGCTATTTTATAAGTCGAGAGAAAAGTACTTGGAAAGACAACTCTTCAGCTGCACGTACATACACCATACTTTCTCTCTCTCTCTTCTTAGCCGGGACTTAAAAATCCCACCTATGGTTATATTAGGTCTAATGGTTACGACCACTGAGAGGGCACTAGTAATGAGAAAGGCTCAACCTAGCTCAATCTAACTGGGATTGAATCGAGACGCGTCGACTATCCATGCTTAGCTCATCAGTGATCGCGATCCCCTATGCATGGGGAGCTCCCATAATTCCCTAAGGAGATTAACACCCACAAGCACAGCGACTGGTTTGGACAGGCTTGGAGGCTTGGGACAGGGAAAAGTCTGGCCGCCTGTCACACCATCCATCCCATCCTGCCAACCTACCACTGTACCTGTTCCAATACAGTTAAAGGCCAATACATTTAAGGTAGGTTATTAGGTTAAGTTCGGTTTATTAGTTGTTGGCAACATTTGGTATTGGTCGCCAGGAGCTTCGCATGCGCATACGATATGGATGCCAGACGAGACCTTTTTTGCCTCCCGCTAATAAGATTGTTTTTGCCATAGCATATTGCATGCTGCCAGATCGTAAAAAAAAAAAAAGAAAAAAAAGTTTGCCTTACAGTATGCGATTTATACGCCTATATTTTTATTATTATCATCAATATATCGCCTTATCCACCTGACATGTAAACAAGCACAAACCTACGGGGCTTCTCTTCAACAAGCTTCTCGTCCTATCTCCTATCTCTACTTTTTTATTTATTTATTTTTATTTGTGTTTATATACTTTCACACTAATTAAGTCCGGTGGACTCAATCCTGAATATTTTTAAAAAAAGATAAACAGAAAGAAAGACAAAAAGACAGACAGAAAGAAAGAAAGAAAGAAAGGAGTTCAATTCCTTCCCTTATGAATTTAGTCAACAGCAGGTCAAATGGGTGACTTCAAAGCCCGCATCAAGGCCAAGCTCCTGCGAAGACACAGCGCGACTCCTACGTTAGGTTCGAGCAAGCCGAGTCTTGGTCAGGATAGGGCTTCTAGCAGCACACGTACGCGAACTTCTACTACGGGCTATGCGGCTTCATTGAGTACGGCTGCTACCAACGATGATAGACCGAGTAATAGTTCTATTCGTTCTAATGATAGTCCACCGAAGAGGATAGGAAATGGGTTTGGTGTTGATGTTGGTGTTTTAGTGCCAGTGTCAGTGCCAGTTACAGTTCCGGTTCCAATTCCGAGTCAAGTCCAAACCCAAGACCGAAACCAAGACCAAGACCAAGACCAAGACCAAGACCAAATACAAGTCCGAGACCGAGACCGAGATCAAAATCGGGATGAAGCTGAGACGGTTCCACCAGAGCTAGAGAAGCAACTAAACCTAGCCGGCAACTCTAATGTGAATAACACTCATAACACTCATAATACTCATAAAGATATCAAAACTGTGGCTGTGCCTACAAATTTGAACTTGAACGGGGACGAGGATGTGGATGTGGATATTGATGCAAATTCGGATGCAAATTCGAATAAGGATTTGAGTGTTAATATTAACAACTTGATCAACTTAACCCCATCTTCTTCTTCTACTATCTCTAAGACTGGCAAGGATCTGCAAATTTCTTCAATCGATTCAGCGCCTATTCCCACTATCACTGCGCCCATCTTAAGCCTTGATCTAAACAATACAATCTCAACCGCCGCCACACCATTACCACTACCGAGTATCAATGAACACCCTGCCGCCGCCTCTTCCTCTGCCTCCGCCTCCGCCTCCATCCTACAGCTTAAGCCACGCATACTAGACCAAAATCATCATCATCATCATCCTCCTCCTCCTCAACATCATCAAAAACACCAACTTCAACATCGCGATAATATCAACGACAATAATAACGACAACGACAACGATAACGATAACGAAAAAATTACTATCGACAACGACACAAACGATTATCTTCATCGACCTATATCTTCTAGCCGCGCTTTATCACCTTCAATACCCTTGTCTCGACCTACAGGACCGCCAAGACGACAGAGCATTCTCCCGAACCTGCAAACTACCTTGATCAAAACTCTCCTCCACACAGGCAACACAGGCAACACAGGCTATGCCAGCAGCGAAGTAGGCCAAGGCGAAGTCGATCAACTTCTACCTATTAGCGGAAATATGGTTACCAGAAAAGTATGGGTTAAAAGGCCGCTAGCCTCTCCTACATTGATCACCATAAATGAGGAGGATTTAGTTGATGATGTTCGCGATATGATCTTGCGAAAATATGCAAATTCCCTAGGGCGCCAATACGACTCCCCGGACCTAACGCTTCGTATATGTGATAGGGAACAACAGACGAGTAGAACTCTACAACCAGATGAGCCCATGGGTAGGACCCTCGATGCTTACTATCCCGGTGGCCAATCTGTCGATGACGCCCTCTTAATCGATATACCAAGTCGTCGAACACCTAAAGCGTCTCCGAATCCTAGATACTATGCTGACGACCGGCCTCATGAATCCGCAACCGATTATTTTCCACCCTATCCTCCCGCTGCTCAACACCCGAATAACGCCTCGACAACAGTTCTTAACGGCACTCACCAACTTCACTTTCCTCCCTCTTTAACTGTCATCAATGGGGGCCAGTTACCACCGTTACCGTCTCCTGGTGGGACAAGACGACTCGGAGGTTCAAGACCTAAAATCCAGAGGATGCACACTGCATCACCAGTTTCTACTATTGCGAGCGGTCTTGCTTCGCAACCCGCAGCGCCGCCTATCGGTATGCACAATTACCCAAGACAACCGCGCTCAAGGACTCATTCAGGTGCATCTTCAGAACAATCCAATCATCCGCCTGCCGCTCCCGCGATCCCGACTCCTCCTATCCCAGAACGTACCGCTACTCCGCCTCCGCCTCCGCGCGTCTCCTCGCCGCGACTTGTCAACCGGCCTAAGAAGAAGAAACCTGTCGAACACCCCATGCTGCCACCGGGCATGTTGAATGGCGGCGTCCCGCCTATTAACGTCCTCATTGTCGAAGACAACATCATTAACTTAAAGTTGCTAGAAGCCTTCGTTAAGCGATTAAAAGTCAGATGGCAGACGGCTATGAATGGTAGAGAGGCAGTGAATAAGTGGCGCGCTGGCGGGTTTCATTTGGTTCTGATGGATATTCAATTACCTGTCATGAGCGGTCTCGAGGCCACCCGCGAGATTAGGAGAATAGAGAAGGTCAACTCGATCGGCGTGTTCTCCTCGTCTGCCAGCAGCCCTCCGGACGAGATTAAGGCAGAACCTGCCGAGGAAGATAAGCTCGTCAACACGGAGATGTTTAAAAGTCCTGTCATCATCGTTGCCCTCACGGCTAGCTCCCTACAGAGCGACAGACACGAGGCCTTGGCTGCTGGTTGTAACGATTTCCTAACCAAGGTAAGCAAGTTCCAAATCTAAGGTATATAAAGCTCTACTAACGCACAACTTTTCAGCCCGTCAACTTCGTCTGGCTCGAGCGGAAGGTGATGGAATGGGGCTGTATGCAGGCCCTAATCGACTTCGACGGCTGGAGGAAGTGGAAGGACTTCTCGCAGAAGGCCGTGGAGGACGACTCCAAAAAGGCGGCTGCCGCTAAGAACGCCAAGGCCCCTAAGAAGAACAGGCTGTCGATGACGGCCGCCGCTTGAGATCCTGTGCCTTACATCTCTCGAACGCGCAGGAGAAAGAGGGAGAAAGAGAGCGTGTATCATTCTTATTATTATCTACCACCTACCACCTACTACCTACTACCTATCTATCTATCTAGCTGAACTGGCGCTGGTGTGGGATTTTGGGATTTACGAGGCTATGGCTAAGGTACACGGATGAAGCAATGAAAACGAAAATTTTGGCGAAATTTTGGCGAAAAAGAGGGTTTGGACTGGTAAACGTGTTCAGTCAGAATGAATGATACCACATTGCGTATGTACATTACGCACAACGTACCTTTTTAAGTCCGTCGATGGGTTTTTCGCGTGTTTTATTGATTGTTATTATGCATCTGTGTTTCGTAATTATCTTGAATGAAATGACAGCTTATCTGCTACGCCCCCTATTCTATAACCTTTCGTATAAGCAATCCCATGGATACCTTAGGTAGTTAAACCCCGGCCATGTCAACAAGTATTCTCTATACTCACAAACATTCCTCTCACACAGGCAAGTATTATATATCTTAAGACCGGTCCCTAACGATTCCACAAAACTAAGTAATTACTGTATTTGGAGCGTGCCTATCCAGAGTCTCTTAACCTTAACATGTATATACGCCTGCCTACCTAACTTAACTCGACTCCCGAGCAAGCCTTAGAAGCATAATAGGCTAAGCCGTAGCACTCAAATACATAACACCCAGAACGTCCCATTCCGTTCCTGTACGTCCATCTCATGTCTCGTAATAATCTCCGTCGTCATGTAAACCAAACGCCACCCAATGCACCAATTCAAAGCGTGCTTTTAAGAATAAAGTCACGTAAGGGGTATAACCGCCCAGAACTCAAATGAACAAATACAGAGAATACGAGGTACCAACGCACGATTCATACATGATACTTAACTAATAAGTACTATCCTAGAAGTGTCGAAGGATTCCCGCGACTATTGAGAGTCCTTTATGCCTTTCTCAGCGTCTTTGTCAACCTCGATTTCCTTCATTCCATCTATTTCGGATTCCTTTTCCTTCTCGGGAACTTCCTTCGTAGGAGTCATCGGGCGACTAGGAGCCGGTGTCGCCAAGGCTTGTCCCGGTAAGCCATCAGCTATCTTCGCAGAACCAGGTCGAGTACCGCCGCTCATCCGTCTCACGAGAATAGGATTGGGGCGATCTAGGTCCGCTTGAGAAAAGTCTCTGGAACTCCATGAAGCGCGTTGCACCTTCGCTCCACGGGGTATACTACTGACCGAACGCCGCGAGCTGATACTAGCAGTGCGGCTAGCTCTTCCCACAGGAACGTGTGACACACGTACTGGGTTTATGTCGGCCAGGTAGTCATCATCCTCATCTTCGATCTTCGGAGCTCGTCGAACAGACTTAACAGTGAAGTATGGCTCTGGTAGCAGCTCTGGGAATTTCTCCGTAGAACCTGATTCCGTTACTGTTCTCGATTTAGGTTTCGGTGGAGGAGGCTGATCGGTTGCCCTTTGCTCAATATGTTCAAAATAACGAATTCGAATCCCTTCGAGGCTCTGCGAAGTGAAATATTCGCGGTTTCGAGATAATGACATCCATGAGGATATGCCGCCGATGATTATCAGAATCATGACCGCAATCGTAAGAAGGGCCTGGATCACGATAATGACGACCCCGATCACCGTGACCACTATGCGATCGAGATTAAAATCGGGAAGAAAAGCAATCGAGAGGCCGGTGGTTATCACTCGGGTGAGTGCTAGCAACCAAACCGCTAGAGCGGTATTGCGCTGCCCTTCATAAGGATTAAGGGCCGCTATGACAATAAGAGCGAGGATATCGACGATAAAAAGCCCAAAAACCTGAGCGAGGGGATTGCCCGAACCACCCCCCAGAAAGCAACCGCGGATGAACTGATAGAGCAACCAAAATGCAAAAAACCACCACCTCGAGAGTCTATAACGCGCAGACAGCCAGCCAAATCGTTTCACATACATCTCATCCTGGTGGACGTTTTTCCGATTGGGGTCTTTATCAACGAAATGCCAGCGAACGAAAGGCAGGGAACCAGCTGGCTTCTCTCTCAATTCTTCCTCTTTCAACTGGCTGAGACGGACTGGCACCAAACAGGGAACATACCCAAAGATCTTACCATGTCGTAGCAAGATCCGGTCGGAATCCATAGCGAATGTGCTGAAACGCAACCGAAAGTGTAGCGCATATAAGACCAAGCCACCCATACCAACCATTAGGATAACGAAAACAATAGCAGCTATCGCAGTAGGCCCAGCAGAACCGTGGATAGCAAACTGAAACATGGCCAGAGTGGTAATAGAGAAGAACGCAATAAATAACGTCCTTAGAACAGCAAGACTCAAGTAACCCGTCCAATGAGATCGAAAATACTCCAAGCGATCTTGTTTGATCCATTTAAGTTTCACCAAGCCCTCAAGGGAATATTTGAAAGCAATCAGTAGGAAAACCACAAGCCCGAGTACGACAAGGAGCCAGATTAACCCAACTATGAACGCATTCGGAGCAGGAATGCTTAACTCGGATAGCTCACCTGCAAACCCGGGAGAAGTGCCAGGCAATGGCATCCCCGGACGAACCGGATTGCCATTCCAGTTATAATCGTAGGGATCATTCGGATCGTAGGGCTGTCTTTTCGCTAGAGCATTGACAGCACCCTTCAAAATCCCTGAACCTCTCTCAGAGAGTTCGGTAGCGACGTACGATATGAGCGAACGGCCATAAATCTGCTGGGTGAGACCTCCTTGGTTATTAATGACCGTGCTGCCAGCTCCTCCGACCTGACTTGCATTGCCGCTGACGCCAACAAAGTGATTAAGCGAATTCACCACCTGAGCGCTAGGTACCAAGCCAGCAGCCCACGCAAAGTTGCTCCACCACGCCGGAAGTACGCTGGGCCAAGGTAGTGATAGCGCGCCGGAATAGAATATGGACTGGAAGGTTTCGAATATGACAAGGACAGACAATGAGTGAGCGTAATGACTCCTCATATGGGGTATGCTGACACCATAAGCTGCTGTCGCAAACGAAGCTATTATGGCCACGAGAGTAAAGACACCTAGGACGGTACTGATCGATTCAGGTTGCGAAAATGTATTCCCGTTCTTCATCACGGCTTGGAAACACCCAATTTCAGTTTGGCTAGAGTTGGCGAATACCTGTATCCTCGCGAACCCCTCGAGGTCGGGAACTTCGTAGGCGATTTGCGGGATTCCAGAAACCTGTAGCGGGCCGACTGGTAACAAAGCAAAGGCCTCGATGGGCTGTTCGGCCTTCATAGGGCACATACTAGTTGAGACTGTTAGCATCGGGAGGCATAAAGCTTAGTTAGATAAACGTACCTGTAGATATTCACATTGCACGGATTTACGGCCATCGCAAATCTACTTTCGCCGTAAGCTTCGACGGAGATATAAACTAGACGAACAGTCAGCCGGGAGTTCTCGTAAGAGGGACTAGTTTCCTTACGCATAACAGCTTCATCGCGTATATTGGTAGTTCCGTCGAGATGGAAGAGAACGGTAGAATTATCGTAGTAGAAGGCGGCGTCAAACTTGGTGATATTTAGCAAGCTCTGTCCACCAAGACAGTCACCAAAATCGCCCGTATATAATGCGGGTCGTCTATCGAGCGCTAAACTTGCTGTGACGCCGTCCAGGCTCATGCCGGTGATATATTGAGTATCCTTGGCCCATGTTGTCGGTAGGAGAGCCAGCCCGGCGAGAGTGGGAAGTATTAACGTATCGATTAGGCGATGGGCTAGCATCTTAGTGATGGGAGGCACCTCAGAAGGGCCATTAACGACAGAGTAGGTGTCTTAGATGGATGTTGAGTTGTGCAGATGGTCGCTAATATTCTTTATCCAATGCGAAGATAGTCGGTGAAAATCGACCCTCGAGAATAGGATGAAATATGAATATCATCGATCGAACATCTACTTTCTTCAAGAATCGTGATGAGAATTGTTGCGTTTAGTGTTATCATAAGAATGCTATACTTGAGGTTGCAAGTGACAAGTTATTTGTACCGATATGTAAGACCGGGGCGTTGTACTTGTGTAAACCGTAGAAACAAGTCGCGGGGCCGCGCAAAAGTTGAAGAGGGATCGACTATTGGACAAGGTAAAGTGGGAAAATCTAGTTGGCAGAGAGTCACGTAAAAGTTTTTACGAAGGGTGTATGTCGGCCAATGAAAGACAGAATGACGGTGCAAAATGACGGTGTAGACAAATTTCGAAGAAGGAAGAGATAGAAGGTCATGTATGATGTATCGGCTCAGACGGGATCACGGAAGACGCGGTTGTGATATAAGACCTGATAACGATATATACCTACCTAGGTACTTCCCTTAGGTATATCAATATAACTACCTACATAGGTATATATATGTAGGTAGGTATTACACCACTTACGTGCGGGTTAGGTAAGTTCCACTACATACATGTAGGTATGATCTAATTCTTAATTATCCCCCCTGTGCCTGCTGTATAGATCGAATGTGAACGTGTCGACATGGAAAGACTTCACCCTTCCCCCGTCACTTCCACTTCCGTGCTCCGTCCATTGGGTTTCTAGTGGAGTAGTTGCTGCCGCCTAAGCCGTGGCAACTAGGACCTGACTGGCCCTGACAGGGGAGCCAACATCTCGCCTCCTATTGGTAGACCCGTCCCGTTATGGGAAGTCAGATCACAACCCATGTTTGCTACGTAGAACAACAAGACAAGTACATATGTAACCTAGTCCCTTGCGGGCCGTTGTGGACGACCTAGCTTCAATTTAATACACTATTTTTCCTTTGCTTTTATCTTGATTTTATCTGATTACTTATCTTTTACTAGGTACCTAAGGTACATTAGGTAGCATACTGTAGTATTTATTAGTTTGATCCCAAAGAAGAGTCTAGGCATGTTTAAACCCGACGAATCACCTCCATGTCAGACAGCTGAAGTTGCTTCCGGGGACTATCATTCGCTCTGCGTTCTGCGTCGGAAGCTCTTAAGACATACATAATGCGCATATAGCTGCAAGGCCCCAAAAAGTTTATTAAGCCCAAAGGATCGGGTTTTGATAAGATGAACGGTCAAGGCCAATGCGGAACATTTTATCCACCCACCTCCTTCACCTCCTCGTACATTTATCGCCACCGCCACGACGTGTATGATTAGATCCATCTAGGTTAAACCGTCAACTATCTAACCTACTAGGTTAGTTATGTATATCTGAACTAAACGAAATATGTTATACCTATATATAATATTCATCTCGGTAAGGAGGGTGGTGGAAAAAAAAAAAAAGACTGTTTGCTCTACTTTGTCATCATGAACTCGTCATGTACTATTGCATGACTTCGGTTCGTATAACAGTTCCGTCGTAAAGACTATAGCAATAGTTACCTAGGTAGGTAGATAGATAATTATTATCACCTACGATAAACGACTCAATAGCAACATAGAAAAAAAAGAAAAAAAGGGCCCAACACCAAAAAGCGGCAGCTATAATTTATAAGGTATATATGCAAGCGCTTAGAAGCTTAAATTTGAGGGATTAATCAATGTACAACTGACGTTGGAAAACACGAGATATCCTTCAACCCCACTGCTACAGGGGCGGTAGAGTCGCCATGGAATCCGGCTATGAGGTCAAAATGCACTTCAATGATGGTATCAACTTAATAAATCCTCGCTCCATGTTGAATCATGTTTTGGCTATATCCTTCTCAACTCTCTACTGCGAGTGCAGGGTGAAGAGAGGAAACCTCCTTTCCGAAGTGAAAGACAGCATGAACGCCGAATAGATGCAAATATAAATGTATAGCTGCGACAAAAATTGAGGGCGTGAGCACGGGGCCACGATTAGATTAAACCCCATGAACCCAGCACATGGAGGCCATTCCTCTGTAGCCGCCCGATCCTAGCCCGCCGAATTGACCAAGCGAACATATCATGAGCTCGTTGGTATACTGTAATGCGAATGTGAGCAGGCCAGAAGAACATTGGTCTCGAATGGTATCAATAATTCTTTTTTTTTCATGTCGTGATAGTCGTGAAGTAGAGCAAATCCAATATTCAATACGCCCAAAGGCAAAAAATTTTTTTTTTTTTTTCATAATTGACCGATTACACATAATTTTCCTCGTCGTCTTCCTCAATAGGGGCGGGAGTCCTCCTTTCGTTTCTGCGCTTAGGACGCCTGTGTCTCGAGCTTGAGATGTTACTCGCCGAATCCTCAGGAGCTAAGTCGAAATCATCGCCTCCCCAATCGCTCTCGCTCATACCATCATCATCTCCTACAGCCCATGGTGGTCTCTCAGAGCCTTGTGAATTGCCGGACAGTTGTGGCAAGACATCGATCCTTCCGGCACGGCGGTGCTGCTGGCTTAGCAACAGGCCATTATTGCGCTGGCGGAGAGCATTCCGCACTACTTCGGCACGTTCGTGAAGTTTCTCAAATGCGTCTTCAAGGGCTTCCATACCCTGGTAAATATCCCTTTCTACCTCAGCTAGGACAGCCATTTCAACCTCTTCATCATAGGATACGGGTTGGCGGCTATGGCCAGGCGTAGCAGACGACGACAACGAAACAAAAGAAGCGGGCGTTGCGCCACGGGAATATACGCCAGAGAAGGGCGTAGTGCTACGAGACCCGCCGAATCCTGACGCATGGCGCATACTGGTCCCTCGTGGTGGGGGGGATGAAAACCCATTCGCGGGTGTACCACCTCGAGATTGTGGATTATCGGCAGTAGGCGTTATCGAGTCATCAGCATCAGCGCCAGACCAGAGAAAGCCGTCAAAACGGCCCGATATGAGAATTTCCCACTCTTGGGGGCTAATGTCGGTGATAGTCGCAAGAAGATCATGGTGAAAAGGGTGCTTGACGAGAAATACGGCTGTTTCTGCATCGCGAGGTGCTTGAGGCAGACGGTAGATGCGCTGAAGTGCTAGACCCGTTTTGACCATGAAATCTGTCCTTGGCTTACGCATTGGTGTAGGTGCTCTCAGAGAAGGCTGTAATTCCCGGGCACCAGAAATTAATGCATTGAAGTACGGTTGCTCATGCTGATCAAGATTGGTCAAGATGGCAAAGGTCAGCGTCTCATCGTCGATCTCAGAAGGCGCTGGTGCAGGCGCCTCAGCACAGTTGCTCATCCATCGATCGACTACAGACCTGACCTTCTTGGACTGTCGTAGATAGTGATCCCTAAACTCTTCTGCGATATCCGGGTCTAACTTGATCGGGGAAGCCGGCCTAGGAGGCATGTCTTGTGCAGTCTCAATCGCATTTGCAGAAAGAGAGGGAAGATCAAATGGGGGCCACGCTGGCATTTCAACCCTGCCTCCCACCCGTTCTAGTACTTCGCCCCATCCTAACCCTCGGTGCTCTTCTGGTGTCTTTTCACACATGATACAATTGCAGCCCTCGGCAGGAAGATCTCGAGAGAATACATCTTCTAATCGGTCGAGTAGCCGCCGTGCAACGGACTTATGTCCTGTTGCTACTGCAACCGAGCCCTGCTTCTGAATGACGGACTGATATTGATCAAGGAGATTAAAGAATGGTGCGAATAGAGTGTCCGCACCCGCTAGAGGAGGGTTTGAGGGTCGTGATCCATTCTGACGTGGTATCGCAGAAAGGAAATTCCTTGGAAGCGGATGAGGTAGACCGCCGTTCTGAAGTAGGTAATCAATCCTGGGGACTTCCTGAATATTCAATGGGGGAGGGGGAGGCGGTGGTGGGGGACCGAAATCAGATGCTGGGGTTGCTGAAGGCGTAGGACGTTCTTGTCTTTCACGCCTAGAGTTAAAGCTAGGCTTCACATCTGGGAAGGCTTGCGGCGGTGGAAATTGTGGCGTAGCTGTAGGTGTTCTTGGTGATGAGTCCTGTATAGAGTCTGGGGAATCTTCGGCTTCGATTGGGCTAGGGTTCCTACGAGATCTTGTCGAGGCTGTCCGTTTGGGAGCAACAGGAGTAGCGGTTGAAGAAGTCCCTACGGTTTTATTATCGCTCAGTTGGGATGCCTCACCGTTAACTCGTACGCCGAATGGCGGAGGCGGTGGAGGCGGGGGGGGAGGAGGTGGCGGATAAGATGGAGTTGGAGGAGATTTGATAGTAGAAGCGTAGCTTGAAGCTTTAGATTTAGTAGACAGCTTTGATTTCTCATCGTGTTTTGAGCTAGATCGTGATAAACCGGAGGTCCTTGACTGAGGTCGGTCCGAACCAGATTCCATCTCCTCTCTCAACTTCGAGGTAGGTGTTTTGCTTCGTCTTTTCTTTTCTTCGGATAAATCTGTCTCAGGAGGGCTAGGCGGCCGACTATCTTTCTGGGTATTCTTCCTACTCAAACCACCTGTCGATTTAGATCTGCCTATGTTACCGGAACCAAGATCTGTGGTATCTGGAGTGAAGGGATCATTGTGGGCGGACGCCCCTACGTCTTCGCGGCTGAGTACAGCTTCCTTACTGTGGGCCTTGCTAAAGGTAGGATATGGCAAGCTAACCCGGCTGCCAGAAAGGGTTGTCCTCGAAAGTTCGGGTACTAGGTCGCTCATTGAAGATGTCCTCCTATCACGATCCCTCTCTTTCTCTTCTTTGGTTCGGTGTCGTCGATGCGAGGAGGTGTGCGAATCCCCATCAGTGCTGGCTTTATGCTTAGAACGGTGTGATTTGTGGTGGTGATAGTGACTATCCCTGTCACTTCTAACGCGTTCCTTATCCTTTTCCCTATCACGCTCCCGCTCACTCTTTTTACGCCGAGGATCTCTTGAGCGGGTATCGCTGGTTGCGTCGGCATCAGGGTCTCTGGAGCCCATTGTGGCGGACCATACGAGCCCGACCGGGCCCAACCGCTAATTCGATTTGACGAGGGAGGGTCGTCGAACTTATTCGAAGGGTGCAGAGGGTCCTCGATTGGAGAGGGTTCAGGGTAAGGACGAATGAATTCAATGCTTGAGTGGTCTTAATTAGGAATCTAGGGATTTATGCAATGCGTTCGTTGGCAAAAAAAATTGGAAAAACATTACATGTAGATGGAAAGAAAAAGTGGTGAAAGCAGCACAAGGCACAAGGCACATTGCATGTTCCAATGTTCCAAATGTTCCCAAAAGATGTGCAAGGGAAGGTGACGGCGGCTATTGGAGTCTTTTTACACGCTACGCAGCTGCCTGTGATTCGATGAGTAGCATGCTTAAGGTGGGGTCGCTATATCCCACAGACCTCGACTTTCTAATAATTTGTTTTATTTAATGCATATCTATATATATCTATATATAGGTAGAGAGATCTGGCATAACATTGAATAACCTAATCGGAGATCGTCATAGCAAAAATCTGTTTATTTATTTGCTTTATTTGCTTCAATAGTGCTTAAGGATTTCTCCAAACTCGAGTTGAGTTTACCTGAGTGCCGCTTACGCCCCTCATCGGTAGTATACGGTTCTATATATGTATATGTGTGTTTTAGATACCATAAATATTCGTAATATATGACCTGGTACGTTAATCGTAAGTCTATCCAAGTCTTCCTTTATTCCTTCATAAATGTCCTTTTAAGAGCCTAGAAAATTCCATATAAACTTATCCTATTTATAGGCGGTCTAGTAAGCCACGGCTCTCCAGCATCAGGACGATCTGGTGCACGATGGATCGCACTGTCTGCTTCTCGCCATCTACTACTAAATCGGCCTTAGAGGGAGCCTCATATGGGTCGTCAACACCTGTGAAGCCCTTAATCTCACCAGCACGAGCCTTAGCGTAGATGCCTCGCTTGTCCGTCTTCTCGCAGTACTCGAGAGGAGTAGCGACGTGGACAAGGTAAAAGTCACCGTATTTCTCAACAGCTTCCTTAGCAGCTGCTCTGTCTTTGTCAAAGGGCGCAATAGGGGCGGCGATGACAGCAGCACCGGACCTAGTCAGCTCGCCAGCGACAAATGCGATACGAGCAATGTTAGTGCTGCGGTCTTCTCTGCTAAAACCCAGTTCAGACGACAGTTCGTGGCGCACAGTCTCACCAAGTAGCATAGACACTGATCGACCGCCCTGTTGGTTTAGGGTAACCTGAAGAGCTCTCGCGATCTGGTCCTTACCGCTGTTTGTGTAGCCGGTTAAGAAGACAGTAAACCCCTGAGCAGCACGCGGAGGATGCGACTCGCGCAGTACCTTAACGACCTCAGGATATGAGAACCACTCGGGGATATCTCGGCCGCTCCTCAGTCGCGAGCGCAGTTCTGTACCGGAGATGTTCAATGTGCGAGTATCCTTTGGGATTTCGTCGATAGGCGCGTACTCGTCCTTGTCGGGTAAATATGTCATCATTTGGAAGGGCACAACCTCAATGCCTAGTTCGTCACGGTATTTCTCAACAGCGTACTGGGCATCGTAAGGTCCATAGAAATCAACACCTTGGCTGTTCTTTCCGGGACCGGCGTGGTCACGGCCAACGATGAAGTGAGTTGCTCCGTGATTCTTGCGGATAATGGCGTGCCAGATAGCTTCGCGGGGGCCACCCATTCGCATAGCCAACGGGAGGAGACCCAAGACCGCCATGCCATTAGGATATCTTGGCAAGAGGGCCTTGTAGACTCGCACTCGTGTGAAGTGGTCAATATCTCCGGGTTTTGTCAAGCCAACCACCGGATGAATGAGCACATTTGCGTGATGCGAACGAGCAGCACGGACTGTCAGCTCTCGGTGAGCACGGTGCATAGGGTTCCTTGTCTGAAAAGCAACAACACGGCTCCAACCAAGCTTATCAAAGTGTAATCGGAGCTCGGCCGGAGTGTCTATCGCGAGGATCGGGATTAGTTTTAATGGCATAATGGTTTTTAGATTATTGTGGTTAGACTTACATCGGAGGTCTACAAAGTCATAATGCTGTAGACGGTTGACAGCTTCTACCTTACCACCGACGTAGAAATCGGCAGCAGTTCTGAAGAGATATTTAACAGCGGGATGCGCTTCATCATCGCTCCCGAAAACTTCCTTAGCTTCGAGGACCCTATTGTGCTCATGTGTCAGTAATGTCGATTACGCAAGACTTGGCGAAGGAGAGGTTTCCCGTACTTGTCTGGTTTGTAGATATCGTCTACGGTAAGAATGGCCAAACTCCTGTCGTCACGAAGATCGCGTAGCGTTACTCGGACACCTGGTTTTAGACCAACCTCCTTGATGGTTTCGTCAGACAGATCCAGAGTAATGGGTATGCTGAACAGAATGCCGTCGGCTAGCCTATTCTCCTTTACGACACTGTGCAAGACAGTCAGCGCTTGGTCTCGTTACTCATGTAGCCTAGTAGTTACATACCCTTTATAATCGGCCTCGTTCATGAAACCTAGACGTAAATCTGTGTAAGCTTGGCTTCATTCCGAGAGCACAGGTTCTCGTATAATAATCGTTACCCTGTCCAATAGCACGCGTGGATTTTTTTTTTTTAAAAAAAAAGTATGGTTGAACCATGTAGCACCAGACAAAATGAGAAGCACGGATGTCAAAGATTAAACATGGTAATAAGTAAACACACCTTCCAGAGGTGAGAAGCCGCCATTGAGGATCAATTCAAGATCACAGAGCTGTCTCTCGGTCAGGGTAATGGCGGGGAGAGTTTCAGCTTCGGCCTCGAGCTGAGCTTGTCTAGGAAAGTCTCTGGCAATAAGGTCCTTGAGGACGCCGCCATGGGGAGGATTCGCCATTGTCTCGGAACACAACTTAGGTAAATGTAGATTATAGTAAGGAAAAGGTAAGAGAAGGAGAAGAGAGCCAGATACTCTTGACTCTTGACTCTTGACTTTAGTTCTTGATAAAAGACCGGGAGCAACAGATAATAAGGGAGGATAGATAATCAATGCCCGTATGGAACATATAACAATGTTAAAACGTGCTACGATAAAAGATAATACGGAGAGTCGAGAGCCGACATAGCCACTTGCTAGGTTACAGATAAAAAAAAAAAAAAAAACTAGAGCTAATTCCGTTGCCGTTGACGCTACGTAATTAGTAGCAGAGAGATGCAGTCTCTGCAGGGCAGAACTTATGCAGCGACCCTATGAGGACCCTATGAGGACCCTATGAGATGGAGACTAAGACCTGGGCAAAAAAAATGAATCGAATAGCATTTAGCCTTGATGACGTGCTCAAGGACTAGCGAGAGCCGTCGCCTACCAAGCGGTTCTCGTTTGTCACTGGACCGACGCGGCCTTTTTGAACGAATTGGGAAGTCAAGTAGACCGAAAACATGCCCGATAACACGGCTCTCGGGACCCAGTAACCATGATGATGCCTTAATTTGTGTAATTGTGTAAATGAGAGCAAATGTTGTATCTCATGTCGATCGCGGAGAACATATACCAAATCTTGGGGTAAATTGAATATGTACATCACCTTAGGTAGGTTAGGTAGAATGAAGAAGAGATGGCGACCTTCTGCGGCTCCAAGGCTCCAAGACTCTTAGGCTCTTAGCTTTCTTCAGCTGCGGAGGTACTGCGGAGGTACTTCGATACCGTCTACCCCTCCTCCCCTCCTTCCCTCCCTCTCTCCACGAATGCCCCGGCCTTATGCAATTGTAGAGGCTCAAAGATAATGTTCCGATATACATCTTTGGTAAACCGGTAGACGGTAGACAGTAGACGGTAGAATTAGGCTCTGCCAAATTGGTACCTATTCAGGAAGCAATATGCCATGATAAAATTACCTACACCCTAATTTTGTTCATTACCCTTTCTCACTATCCTCCTCCTTCTTGCAAGTATTCATCGTGTTTTACAAGCAAATAGTAGTTATGTGTTCTCATCTGTGATACAAACTTGCAACATCAAGCAAACTGCCAGGATATGTCCCCTCAGATATTTTGGACATTGCAACACAAAAGAAACGGAAAGGTACAATGACGCAGACATGGTTGAACACTTTACGTCTTAACCTCATCCTCAAATTTATTATCCTCATCCTTCTTACCGTTACCTTTTGAAAGTAGATCATGAACATATTGGCGCCATCCAGATGCCGCATTGCTATGTGTTATATCTCGTGCCGCCACTTCTATAGTTGTAGGGCCAGCCGGGGGAGTGTGCCAATGGTCCCTATCCGGCGTAGGAAGAGGTATCATCGTTATAGAAGATGAAGTCTCTACTGGTGTAACATTTCCCGAGGTCGACCCTACGATTATAACACTGCTATTAGAAACCTGGTCCGATATGGATGCAATCGTTGACGTCTGAAAGGTGGTCGGATGACCGCTGCTACTGAATAACGTTGCATTTGCTATCATTCTAATCAGTTATCGTTATTCAAAATTCATCTACAGTTTATATCCACTCACATAATGAACTATCAGTACACGACGTGGTCGAAGACGGCCAGGGAACAGGAGTTCCCGTCGCGCCCTCAGCACCTGATGCAAATGAGGTAGCTGATGAAGTTAAGGTTTCTATAGATCCCGGCTGAGTAAACCCATCATCGGTGCAAGTTGTATCAATGGTGGCAGGGGGGATTTCGCTTTCTGTACAGGTTGTGTCAGGCTCTTGAGTTGTTGGAAGTTCTTCGGTACAAGTATCCGATGATGATGTTGCAGTATAAGAGCCTGATGGCGAAGATGAGGTTATTTGAGGAGGAATGCTCTGCCCCCCTGGGCTACTCGATGCAATTGTTCCTGTGGTAGACGCCCCCGATGGTAAAGAAGCCGATGTGGTCGAGTTCAAGGACATAAACGTAGTAGAACTGTTCCCGGCGGGTGATTGGCTTACGACCCCTGATGATGCCGTAAGGGACCCAGTAATCCCCGATTCTGTGGATGGGACGGCCGGGATGCCACTTGAACTAGGTAGTGGACTTGTAGTTGTCCCAAGTGATAAACTACTATTTGACGGACCATGAGATGCAGAGTGCGGTGTAGATTGAGTTGTTGGGTTAGGAGTGGCAGCGCTCGAAGGGACGCTTTCTTGGGATGTCGATTGGGTATTGGTCTCTATCGACTGTCCAGTAGGGCCACTTGTCGGAAATACATGGGAAGTTGACATATTTGAGAATGGGAAGGGAATAGAACTTGGGACTCTAGTGAAGGAACTAGTCACATTGGCGGTGAGGATCGAGGAAGTACTTCCAAAAACACTCTCACTTCTAGTAATGGTTTGATTAGGGATGGCACTAGATGAGGCAGTTGGACCTGATGATATCGTTGAATTTGAAACTGAAGATGGAAGTAACGTTTCTGATGTTCCAGAGGACGAGCTAAAAGCGCTGTTACTTTCGATAGAGCTTGGCATAGTAAAGGACTCGGTTCCTGAATTGGTAGTTCCTCCTGATGGAGCAGTCGGGTTAGGAAGCGCCGTGGTATTCGTCAAAGGAAAAGGTGGCATTGACGGCGATACCCCAGATGTAAGCGTAGATACCACTGTACCCGAAGCTGAGCCGCGAGTAGTTGAAAATACGCTTTCAGAGTGAACTGTGTTAGAGAAGGACTCTGTACTAGTCGTGACAGCTGAGCTCGAGCCCGGACCAACCGACTGGCCTGATGGCCCGTTGGACGATGCAGTTGGCCCTAAGCTTTTGGTGGAGTTCGAGAAGGGGAATGGTGGTCTCAGCCCTGAAGCCGTAGGGGTGGATAAGCTGGCTAAACTCGTACTTGAACTAGTGATGAAAGGCGTGATAGTTAGTGAACGAGTTTCGTTAGATGAGTTAACAGAACTCGTAGGAGAGCTGCTTGATAGGCTTTGAGATCCCGTTGAGATGGTACCCGATGGCCCTGTTGGTTTGCTTGTAATATTTGTCGAATTTGGCATAGGGAAAGGAGGAAGTGAGCTAGTAATCTGTGCCGAAGCGCTATTTGAGGCTCCTGAGGGCACGATGCTCGTCAAACTACTAGTTCCACCGGTATAACTTCTAGAAAGTACGGTCGAGTTCGTCACGGGGCCTGTTGGTATGGGCGTTGAACTTAAAGAGATTGGGCCGGGGCCGGTAGGTACTCGACTGCCCGTAGGTCGTAATGTAGGTGTTGTAGCATTTGATAGCGGGAAAGGCGCCGATGAGCTGCTAATTCCTGTAGACTGTTCAATCGGACTACCAGACGGAGATCCAGTAGAGATAGGGTTCGAAATCGACGAAAGGTTAACGGAACCAGTAGGTGGGATTAATGTACCTGAATTCGAGACACCTGTAGGGCCCGTAGTTGGTAATGTCGAGTTAGTTAAGGGAAAGGGCATTGTTTGAGAACCACTTGGTGAAAGCTGACCAGATGATGAAGTCCGTACCGTCTGATTACCGCTTATAGATATAGACGATGTCTGCGAGGATATTCCCGTACTTAGAAGAGAGCTAATGGTCTCGGTTGTATGTCCAGTCACTGATATCGTTGAATTGGGCCATGGCGGAGATTGAGAGGCGGCAGAACCAGAATTGCTGAACCCACTACTTATCTCCCCAGAAACAGTCCCTGTTGAACTCGTGCTAGTCAGAGGAATCGTCTGACCATTCGGACCGTTTGTTAAGTTGGATGAAGGGAATAAGGGCCTAGAGGAGATGGCAGTAGTGGACTGAATACCTGAAATGGATATACTAGACGTTATGCTAGAGAAGGCAGTGCCAGTCGGGCCCAAAGGAGACGCTGTCGAGTTTGTAATAGGAAATGGAGGAAATGTTGAAGATGATCCAAAACTTGCTACCTCGCTAGAGACACTTGACTCAAGCATAGACGATCCAGTAGACACAACTGTGGGTAGTGAACTAGGTTGTAGGGTACCTGAAGATGAGAGAGATCCCCCAGTTGGTCCGCTTACAGAGGTAATTGACGAGTTCGTCAATGGAAATGGAGCTGACTTCGTTGTTACGGAGGTGATAATAGATAAAGTACTAGATATAGGACTGCTAGAAATTGTCATAGTACCGGTTCCGGGAGTTGGATTAGCAGGACTTGATGTACTAGCCGTTATATTTGATTGAATAGGCGGGGTTATGGACATCCCCTGAGAGGATCCACCCGATGGTAGAATAGTTGAGCCACCGGTAGGCGTTAGTGGTGATGACGAGTTCAGTGTAGGAGAATTCGGGGTTAAGCTGGTGATAGAAACAGTCCCTGGAGAAGAGACCGTAGTACCTATAGTCGAGTTGCTCAGGGGGAACGGTGCAGAGGAGGTATTTGGCACTATGACCGAACTAATTTCCCCGCCTGTTTCCGTGGGTGTGATTGTTTGGCTACGTGACCTAGTAATAACACTGCTATTGGAAAGTGGGAACGGCGCTGTTGTTGTGGAAGATATCTCGCTTTCGGTCAGAGTTCCAGACGCAACAACACTACTAATCTCCGTACTAGATCCCGATATTGTGGATATTGATGATATAGAACTGATTGTTGGGAATAGCGTGGTAACAAAACTTGAGCTAGCGGTAGAGAATCCGGAGCTTCCTGCTGTAGGCCCTTTACTGTTCGTCACGTTTGAGACAGGAAATGGGGGCATCGTCGAAGAACTCGAAATTATAGAGCTTGCTGATGGAGAGACAGTCTTAGATGATAAAGTCTCCGTGCCTATAGTACCACTAGGACCACCTTGACTCGAGGATCCAGTTTGGGAGAAAGTCACATTGGAGAGAGAGCTAATGGTCCCAACCGTAAAGCTTACTTGTGTACCGCTGCTTCCCGTTGCCAAAGGTTCCGAAGATATAGTAATTGACTGCGAACCACTTTTAGACGCGGTAGACCCTGTAGGGTTGGTATTAAATGTTGAGTTCGAGGTAAGAAAAGGGGCAGAAGTCCCACCGGTTGAAGGAAACGGAATACCCGATGAGGCGGCCGAAGACGTACTTGCTGTTGCTGATGTACCTGAAGAGATAGCTTCCGATCCAGAAGGTACTACGCTTTGCGTTGACTCTGTACTAGAGGTTGGCGGGACTGTGGATCCGGGCGACTCTGCACCCGATGAGAGTCCATTTGACGGTTGTGTTAGGGTACTTGTAGCACTTCCGGTGATAGCGGCTATACTAGAGGTGCCAGACGTCGTTCCATTCTCGATAATAGTCGTAGTAACCGAAATGCCGGAAGATAATGTGACAGTCGTAACTGGTTCTTCTGTGCTCGTTTCGGAGACGGTAATTTGGCCTCCCGTATTTTCTCCATTGCTAACAATAGAGAGACTGCTCTGGACTGTGGTTGAAGAACTACCTTGACCCCCGGGGCCTCCACTAATGCTGATACTGCTAGTTGTGCTTGATACTGTAGTGTTCAAGAGACCGCTCTATAGATATGCTCATTAGTAAGGTCCTATACTATAGTAAACCTATCCTATTGCGCTCATTTATGTATACCCTAGCGCCTATATGCTTGTGAAGAAGGGTTTCAAGATATGATAACATACCAAAGTAGAGCTAAATACAGTAGGAAGAAACGAAGTAGGGTTGCTAGAGGGAGGGAAATTGCCAGTTGAAGTTGTCAAAGAATTTGACTCTTCAGGACGAGTAAACGTAAGAGTCGAACCGCTTATCTCCCCTATAGTTGAAGTCGGCGAGGCTCCTGTTATAGTAGAGATGCTAGACGTAGACATAAACGAGGAAGTATTTGTCACGGATAATGATCCTGGAGCAGAGGAGACAGATTCTCCTCCTGGGCCGGGAGTTGAGGAAACTAAGACTAAGTGAGCTCATATATTGCCAAACTAAGACAAAGCTGTAAATACCTGACAAGACAGTCGAACTATTAACGAACCCTGACTCATGGCCAGATCCCGAAATACTTGGTGAACTTGTACTGAGACTGGGCTGGGTTAAACCTGACGAAGAAGCCTTGGGGGTGGAGGGGGAAGGGGGGGGAGATCCATATCCCCCATATGTGGGTGTATGATAATTGTATCCACCGCTAGGACCATGCTGAGGGTCATCGAACAATTCGTAGTCAATTTTCTGAGGGTCTATATCGGATGAGGAATCATGTTGAATAGCAATCTCATCCCCTTGAGACACTGCTTGAATACCCGGAAGGCTTGCAAATAGAAGGACCACCGACACCACGTCAGCGGCGAGCGTCAAGGCTCTCATGATGGTAGATATAACAGGTGTCTAATGACAGCCCGGAATCTATGAGATAAATACTACAGATATTTTAAAATATGTGTGGGCCGTCGTAGTACTTGACGGGAACAAGAGTGAGCGTAGACGGTTTGTAGTAAAGAATCAGAAGGAGAAGAAGAAACAAACGAAGGAATACTAAATAGTGATATAGAGGGACTAAGAAGATGGTAGCTGCGGAAAGGTGGGAAGGGGGGGGGGGGGGAATGAATAATGAATGTGTTTTGTGAATTGTATTCCTTTACCCAGAGAAGACAAAGTTGGCGGAAGGAAGGAAACGACTGGGACGGATGTGAACGGATGATATCGGTAGATAACTGAGCAGATAAATCCAGTTGAGAGAGAAGGAACTAAGTTATAGAGGGAAAGAACAAGGTTAAGATAAAGAGTATAGTAGAAGGACTAGCCGACGTGTCGATGCCGTTGATACCTAGACGTGGGCCGTTAGTGCTTGTTAGTACTTCTTTCGAGGGAAGGAACGGCACCATCGAGAGAGATTAAGTCGAGACAGCCTCTGGTTTCTACCGAGAGGAACGGTAACAACCCCACTTTTAGGTATTAAGATGTACCTAAACTATACGAAGTATTGAAGTATATTACGTGTTTGGCCGTCTGTCAGAAGCCTTCTTCATCATACGAGGATGGCGGAATCAAAGTAGGTTACGGAATCTGGTTTATGCTCCGTGCCCTCTCGCACTCGCCGCTCGGCACGGAGCAGGAAGCACATCTTATCCCATTCTCCAAAATGTACACATCGAAACCCGTTTAGGAACGTCCTGAATAAATGTGTGTATGTGTATCTCGAAGACTATGTGATGGGTTCTGATATCTTCAAATATTACTAGTAAACCTGTCCTAGTTCGTAATATATTTGTAAAATCTTAGAAGATGCAACACAAGGTATCATTTAAAGACTAAGAACAGGCACTTTGCAGTTCTGTCAAACCTCACAGCTTAACATCTCTAGATATATTTTGACCATCTATTGCATTGATGATTACGTTGATCAAAGAGGTAGCCCATTCCGAATATGTCTCTTGGAAGGTAGCCGAGAAGATAGAGACATGAAAAAGCTCGTTTGAATCGGGAACGCTACATGTCTTCTAAGACGTTTTAATTTAACGACGCCACAGGAACCTCAAGTTCTAGACATACGATATCGCTACAAAGTCTCTCTGGGACCCTTTCCCCTTTCCCCTTACAGAATTTCAACTTATTTGGACTCCCAGTTTAAAAAACTATGAGCATTACGGGATTAAGTAGTGAGCACTGTGTCGCCCCTGTGGCATGTTAATCCTTGTTTAAGTAGTAGTAACACCGTGTAATATTACCTCATACAATTCACACCAGTTCGGTAAGAAGCTAATGTGACATATGTCGAGCAACCAAGATCCCTCAAGATTGTAATATGGAAAATTGAACTCAAAAGCTATGGCTCTCCAAGAATCTCGCCAAAAGGGTAGATACCTAGGTAAGATCACTTCCTGTGGTGGCTACACGATACTTGGGGACTAAACGAGGTCGTATGCATAAAGCTGCAGAGAGCCTTGACAAGTGGTAGGTGCCAAACGCACCTAACCGTTGCATAAATTACCCATTAGAGGTCCCCAAAGTCATTCCTGTCTAATACTGCATGAGACGAGTACAGCTAAAAAAACCTTTCCGTCATTACCTACCCTCGAGAGATTTTCATCTTGGATATCTCATTTATCTAGCATAGCATGTAGCTATAAGACTATAATAACGGCTACGTAGATTAGGTACATCATATTGGATAACGTTAACAATTTCTCATCCCGCACAGATCGGTGTGTACTACATCTAGAAAGCCTCACTGCATCAATTCCCGTGAAATCCCTTTGCTAGTGTGTGGAGCAAACCCGCAAAGGTTCTTCCCCCGGAGTAGAACTAGAGCTGTTCTAGAAAATCAGACATAGTTCCCGTGGTATTGACGTGTTTCGTATAGATTAATCGAGATTGTGTAGTTTTCCATGCACCATGTTCTGAGACAAGTGGTCGGAAGTTGGGACAGCACGTGCAAAATCCCTTCTACTTACTTACAACATGAGACATAAAACAAGCGCTCCAGCGGATATTTAAAAAACTGGGAATATGTCTATCTACCCTAAGTAGGACCCTGTGTTCAAACGTTCCAGTAATAGATGACATCCAGATACACATAAAGATAGATAGGTATAGTTAGTTTAGTGAAGTGTGGTCACTAGTTCCGAATTACAGTACCGATTTATCTGTGATACATGGACCTGAGCCACAGACACACTACATATGTAGTTCCGAGTGCCTAGTGCCTGGTGCACAGTGCTCATTGAATCTTCTAATTCGTTTAACTGAAATCCCTAAGGCTTCACGAGCTTACTAATTCTCGTCTGTTGCTTTGCCCCCGGAATGGTAACGAATAACACAAATTACTTACTTCAAGACTTAGTCAAAGTCTTACCAAGATGCAGGCCGGTTATGCATTGCTGTGCCGGATCTTCGATGCACTTAATCTCGGAGGCGTCGGTCTGGTGCATCTTTTGTGCAACCCTACTCGGCCTTCTTCGCAGATTCCCGTAGGTTAGGGGCAGTGCCTTGTGTCATATGTGTGTTTTTCTGCTCGATATCGGCAGCCCAGAGCGCAGCACCCACTATTACCAATTGTAAGCCATCATGTATTTTTACCTAGATCAAATCAAACTTACCAGTGTTAGTGAATGCAAAGAATATCGACGCTATAGGGATCATCTCGAGGACAGTTGCAATTGTTCCGAAGCTATAATACAACGTCAGCTACCCACGTGAATATTATAGTAACCACTCGGTACTTACGTTGCATATGGAGCGGAGTGGCGTTCAAGCCAATCCCGTTGTTGAGATGACGTCCACCCTTTCAATTGGAAATACTGTAACTAGTCAGGGGTAATAACAACATAAGACATCTCGGGGAAGACAAACTCGACCATGAACGGAACTACCTCTTGTCCGACCTAAATGGATACGTTAGACCATAATAGCTAGTTGGTAGGGAAGATACATTTACTTACCTTGGAGAATGATAAATATGATAGTACCGACAACTGAAGGTGCACTCTCATTAGCAATAAACATTACGTCTTAGTTCATAAACATACCGGGAATGAAGTTAAGTGGAAGATACATAACGTATCTGATCAGGGCTTTCGGGGTAAACTTCGCAAATGGGTTCTTTAGGATCTTGCCTAACCTTCCAATCGGGTCTTGGCCAGATTTTAATTGCCGTCCCTCGCTAACAATACCGATTGCGTCCTTCGCAACGAGTGTGCCATCAAAAGTGTCGAGCAGTGCATCTTGTAAGAGGAAATTGCGGGAAATAAGGTTAACAATAGTAGAGCTCTCATTGAGAACAAGAAGCACTGTAGTAAAGACAGCCAAGGGCCCATTTACGAAGACGAGAATTGTTAGTTGTGGTAGGTAAGTGAAGAAAAACATGGACGCTGTAACTCCCGCAGTAAGCCCCAGGGTGGGCAATATGCGCGAGTAAAACGGCTTCCATAATGATCTATGTGTCATGAAGTAGATAATACCCCTATTAAGCCATTAGCTCCCGGTAGCAAATCTATCTTGGAAAGAAGGCTGAGATACCTGAATGGGTACAGGTAAGATCCGCTTCTTGCAGCCTCTGACAAGAGGACTTTTGCTTTCTCATAATCTTCTTTCCTACAACAAGTTAGTTATATGAAATTATTCAAGATGAAAGGTTTCACCACATACGCCACCTCTTGGGCTCTGGCTTGAACATTGCTTGCGAAACCACTAGACATTGCTGAGACCTTGGTTAGATGTTGATATCAGATATTCAGATATTCAGATATTCAGATATTCAGATATTCAGATATTCAGATATTCAGATATTCAGATATTCAGATATTCAGATATTCAGATATTCAGATATTCAGATATTCAGATATTCAGATATTCAGATATTCTAGTAATATATGATTGACTTTGCGTTTTACTGAAATAGAAAACTTAAAATATAAAGAGATGGATAAAAAGTTGTCAAGTTATAATATGTCAAAGATTGATTTCGTTTATTATAGAATGAATGACACGTGCAGTTTGTCAAATTGAAGAGATGTTGTCGTCATACCTAACGCACAATGCGCTGGGGACCCCTGTCTTATCGAGATCGGCTAATGCGGGCACCAAGACCCCACTTGCCCCTTTAGACAGGCGCTTTGACCATTACGTAGGACATCAAGTCCACGATGTTATACTTTAGAGTTCATATAAAAGCTTAGTTATAGAAAACATTATGAAGTAATTTATAATGAATAGAGACCCCAGATGGCATCTATAAGATTGATATTATAAACGTATTGAATTAAGTAACCCCGAGGTAAATACATTCTTCTGATTAAGGTACTAGACACATTGCTATCAAACACTACAAAGCGGAGGCGTAAAATTTATTATTAAACGTACACATTAACACATGCTACGAGTTCTGATTGCTATAAGAAACACCTGGTACAAAAAAGACAGCGAGTCAAACTTGTATTCACCATAGCTCTGTATAGTGACTACATAGGGTATAACAATCCTCATCCAAGCCCATAGGCTAGTAATGATGCAGTCTCTACAACCTAATAATCTACAATCCATGGACTAGACCCATAAATGCTAGCATGTAATACATGCTTGCTCGCCTTTCGCAAAACTAGAATAACTCCTATAGAAGAGTTCCGAAGGTCTCGTGCGCCTACCAGCGCGGTAGTCCTGTTCCTAACCATTAACCTTATTCCTTAATGCTTCGCCAGACCGTAACCAGTATATTAAAATCATGTCGCTGCAGTGACCGAACGCCGATGGTATCATGTAGAAGCAGACCTTGCAGGTGAGAAAACCTATTCCCTCTCTTGGTTCTCTGTTTCCTCTGGTGCTCGCCTGGACCAAGATAGAAGCCCATTTCGCATGTTATTCCTTAGTGTGCTAAACCAACTCTCCTGATGTGGGTGGTGTAATATTGGCGTGCCTTGCTCTACATCGGAATTATCCGCCTGTCTGATAGGATCGTCAGGAGATGAAGAACTCGTTGCTTGCACTTCTATGTCTTCGTCACTATCGTCCTGATATGGTTCATATCGAGGGCTGGATGACATCCCGCGAGCTAGAGATCGGACAACATCTCCTTTGCAGATGGGACATGTTCGCCGTCGTGTTATCAACCATGGCGTTCTATCATATGTTAGTTGTATCTTAAAAACTTATAAAGGGTAAACTTACATGCAATCTACGTGGAACTCATGTCCGCAAGGTAGACTCATGACTTGGCTGACACCGTCGACATATTCCTCTAGACAAACGACGCACTCGACTTGCCGGCCCATGTACTTCTTCCACTGGCTTGTGTGTTGCCCATTACGTTTCTCATGCTCTGGGCGTGAGGGGGGTTTAGGTATTGGCGAGGAAGATTCAACTTGCAGAAGGTCGCCAGCTGATGGCACACCAGTAGTAGTCCGCGATCGCGGCCTAGACCTCGACGGACTATGTTGACTCTGGAGTAACGGTGTTGTCGGCGACGAACTGGTTGGCGATGGGACTCTGGACGTGCGACTTGATGTGGACGTTACTGTATGATACGTACGTACCGGAAGTCGTTCAACAACTGATTTTGGCGCCCTCCATCTTCTTCTTCTAATGCGTGCCCGTAGAATAAGCAGGGCATAGACCACTGTGAGTGTAATAAGTGGACTAATGACTAGAACTAGGAGTGTATCGAAAAAAGGACTGGCGCCGCTCGAGGGGGTAATGATGACCCAGAGACCTTCCCGTTCATCAGCATCAGGGAGAGAGTCTCCAGGATTAAGAGCGAGCTTTCCATCATTGTCTGTATCGGCCGGCTTAGATTGGGCCTCGACTTTGGCGAAATCCGCTCCGTCGCCATCCCCGAATATCTTAGAAATAAGACCACCGTTAGATGGAGCTAATATCTTGCTATTGGTAGACCCGATAGCATCGGACCCCTTTGCGGGCGTACGACCTGCGGCGTATTGTCCACTGTTGGGAGTAACCCTGCCCTTAGTTTTCCCGCTGTCGTGTTGCTTTAAGGCTTGACTAGACCTCAAATTTGATTTTGCCTGCTTGTTGCTTATTCCCACCGAATCTTGTAGTTCATCATCTTGGTCGGAAGATCCAACTAGATCGGGGTCACGCCAGTCTTCCACACCTATCTGAAAATTATCATTAGGGGTTGACTTGGACTTTGTTTTTGAGACACCGTCTATTCTAGCTTTTGATGCGCGCTCAAGACTGCTTTTTATGATCTTGTCCTTTTCATCCGAAAAGTCCTCAACCAGCACCCAGTCAAGTTGGCCGCTGCTAGGCGGGCGGCTGCCGCTTGATGCCAAATTATAATTGGAATTAGAACCCCAGCTAAAAATCCTCTTGATCCAGCTGAATCCCAAGTTTGACGCTCCGTCACCTGGCGATGAGGGCCTTTTACTTATTGGCGTTTTTGCACTTTTAGATTTAGGATTGGATTTGATGGACTGTGCCGGCGAGGCGGCTTGTCTTGCCCTCCTGTTCTTTCGAGCCTTCTCGGACTGCTGTACTTTCAAAGAGGGTTTGCCGTTCTCGTCAATTATGTCTTCGATGAAACTCCCCGGTTGCATCATGAGAGAGAGCAGATAGGCGGTCGTACGAGACGTAAATATGGAAGGTATGGTAACGTTGGATGTGTCCCCGTGGGCATACATCTGTATTAATGGCCCACCTCTCTGATTGTCTCCAACAATTAGAGCAATAGCACCTCGTCGCTGGGCCCACTTCACTTTCTCAAGAAAACCGCAGCCGCCACGACTTAGCAAGACTATCTTTCCGGCAATCTCGGCTCCCTCTTGTATCGATTGTATGTCTGCATGTCCCGAGCTTGAAGAACTAAGCGCTTCACTCTGCGACGTGGTTGACTTATCAAGTTTCTGGTGGAGGTAGTCATCGGTTCCGTCGTCCACAGGCTTAGCCTTGGATTTAGATTCGGACTTGGAGGTAGCGGTTCGGTCGACTAAGGGACCTTTGGATTTATCTCGTTTCTGGTTCTTATTCTTCTCGATAGCAATAGCGGGCTTGAATTTATTTTGTATTTCCTTTACGGATGGCTTTAGGACAGCATTCGAGGTACCATCATCCCAGCCGGGTACATCACTGCATCCCAATTCACCTTCGCCCTCCCCATCTTGTGTAGACTCTTCGGTAAAGCCACTACCGATCCACAGCTGACCGTTCAAGCCATTTGTTGGTAAAGGAGGTCCAAAAGCAGCAGGTCTTGCTGCGAATGAGGTGCTGTTGTCATCGGCTATGGTGATAATAGCGTTTGGCGGGAAAAGGGTGAAAGGTGTCGTGAAAGAGAAGATAGATCTAAAGCCGACGAAGCCAGACTTTTGCGCTGACTGAGAAGAAGATATGATGGGGGCGGGGCGACCGGCGGATATAACAGCGCGACATACGAGGAAGAGGCAAGCAGCGAAGAAGAGGACGAGGATGACGATTCTTGGTGGTCGCATGTTTGCGGTGATATGGAAGACCGCAGGAAACTATTTGTTAACGTAGCTGGCAATTCAGCTGCCCAAATTTATAGTCAACCATTCGTAACCAGTAAGCGTACTAATAGAAGCTAGTATCGCCGAGGGGGCATGAAGCGTATTCAAGATAAGTCGAGTCTGAATAGAACGAAGTGGGGGACGATAGAATAACAAGACCACGAAAAAGGAAGCACAAGATAGAGAGATAGGACGGGGTTAAAGAGAAGATCTATAAAATCCAAGAGACCTCAAAAAAGGCAAAGGGCCTTTTTAAATCTACCTAGGATGAAGAAGACTTAGAATTAGACTTTGGCGGCAACGATGATGATAGTAATAATAGGAAGGATTAGGATGCGCAACTGCGGAGTTGACGGCATTGTTGTACTTAGATGCAACAGATGCACAGATACATCCAACAGTGGTGGGACGTAATTACTTAACTAGAACTACGAAAAGTTAATGGTGAGGTCAGGATGTCAGGGTGGCAGGGTGGGTAGGTTTGTAGCGGGCTCGGGGGTCTAGAGTGGGTGCATTTTAGCATGGGGCCACCCAAGCATTATACATACTCTAGCGGGGCTTAGAGCTAGATTTCTGAGTTGGTCGATTGCTACATTAGGCAGTAACTCTAAAGACACAGTACAGATCGACTAAAGAAACAGCACATCCACTTTCACGTGAGATGCGCCAACCGTGCACCCGACCACACATTTGATACAAAATACTTAGGTAGATATTATCTTAGTGTGCTAAGACTAGAATTCGAGGAGCGGGCTTCGCCCGCATCCGCCTCCCTCCCCTCGTTGGCGCCACAGGCGCCACGAAACCCTTGGTCCGTGTGTTTGTATCTGTGGGTCGTGGGGGAGGCGTTCCTCGAACTCTAGTCTTAGCTAGTTTCGCACAATGTAGAGCGAACCGGCACAAGTTTTAGGGTCTTAGTTAGACTTTTAATAAGACTATATCGACGACAACACGATAGGCAACAACAACGTTTAAAATACCTTCTATTTTAATTACTCGAGGCTAGTCCTTTACTTTCGCTACCTTCCTGTCTTTTTTGCATGCTTGTACGGCATTGCGTTGTAATATCGCAGGCCTGAACGTCTAAATACATAATAGCCTCAAAACGCTATACCTACGCGTCTGTACCCACGCGTCTATACCCACGCGCCTACACCCACAACCACCCACAACTACCCACAACCACCCACAACCACATCTAAAATACCTTCTATTTTAATCATTCGGGGCTAGTCTTTTGCTTTCGCTACCTTCTCGTCTTTTTTGCATGCTTATACGACATCGCGTTATAATGTTATAGGCTTTGACGTTTATTGCAGTGTTTATTGCGGCTATCGCGTTGCGACCGGTGTTGCGACCGGTGCTATAGCTAATTTTGACCCGAAACGCGTACGTTTTATATATAATAACCTATTTAAATAATTGAATTAGTACTTGTTTTATAAAGACTTTACTTACTATGTTTTCAATTGATTTAATTATTATTATGGCCGTTTGAATGAAAAATGTTCAAAATCACCTCAGACTAGAGATTGGAAAATGGTTTGGGGGGGTGTGCCGGGGTGTGATTGGTTGGGGAGGGGTGTGGCTGGGGGAGGTACTTCCCCCCGAACCATTTCAAATTTCTAGTCTGAGGTCACTGAGATAAGGTAGATATTGACATATTTATAATATTTAATATATATTAATTTATATAACTTTCTCAAATTCGGTCCAAATCACGTGCAATTAGGCTTATTATTTTTCTAATTTTTTACCTTAAATATAATATATTTTTAATAAATATTTCATCTATATTTCGTAATGTTATAATAATAAATAAAATAAATAAAATAAATAAAATAAATAAAATAAATAAAATAAATAAAATATTACGTAATATAATTAATATTATATATTTATTTATATTTATTTATATTTATTTATATTTATTTATATTTATTTATATTTATTTATATTTATTTATATTTATTTTTATTTTTTATTATATAATATAATATAAATATAAATAAAATTAATAAATTATTTTAAAATTAAAATAATATAATAATAAAAATTTTATTAATTTTTTATAATAATTTTTTAATTTATTTAATATAAAATTTTATTTAAAATAAATATATTAAATTTATATAAAATTTTTATAATTTTTTATATTTTATATATTATTTTTTATTATTTTGTTTATATTTTATTTTATTTTCATTTATATTTTTATTAATATTTTTAAAAAAATAATATTTAAAAATTATAGAAATTTCATTTGGTTACAATGCAAGTGGGGTATATGCATGGGGTTGGGTATAGTTTTAAATGGCCGTGCATGGTGGCTTGTGGTGGCTTGTAGTGGCTTTCATCACGTGCAAAGTGGATGTGCTGTTTCTTTAGTCGATCTGTACTGTGTCTTTAGAGTTACTGTACATTAGGTTAGTTGGGAGGAGTAAGCGCGTGCTTGCGTCACAATTTTGACGGACTAGCGCGAACATTAAAAGCAACGCGATCCCCTTTTCCTCTTTTTTTATGTTTCAACCCGGCCAAGTTTGAGCATGTGCGCTTGATCTGATGGTCATTACCGACGCGACCTACACGGTCCCTTATATAGAACCTAAATGACTCTTAGAAGTCAAATCACTTCTCTTGGAAACAGCCGAGAAGGTGGGTGGACTATACCGAATGTTTCGCAAGGGGAAATGATCTCATCGATCACACGAGCAAACACGCAATAGCAATTTTATATCCTTCTCGGTCCCTTTTCAATACCGGACGAACCCATTTTTAGCAATCTAGTCGAGATCAGCATATCGCTATTGCACTTCACAATCTCAAGATCGAGAATCTGGTAAGCTCACGGGTATCTTTACATTATAACCTTTATGTCCACCTACACAACTTGAAGTCTACCAGCCGCATATCTCATTGCATTATGCGCTTCTAAAGCAATGCACCAATCATCGTAATCCTTGGAGATAAGTATTTGGTCCGAGTGTTTCTTACCTACAGAGTTTTGTCTCGGGCTCTTATCTTTTATAAACTTCAAAGCATCTTCGTGCAGTGACTATGCTCCGAGATTTTACATATACCAACTGCTGACTATTATTTAATTTTCGAATGGTCAATACAAACTATTAAAAAAAGCGAGCCAAGTTCCCCAAATTTATACGCCAGATATTTTGTTAAACATAATGTAAGAATTTATATCGAAGGAGATGTGTTGATATAGTTACGCTTTATATTCAACCCCAATGGTCACGATTACGAAGTAATGGATTTAACTCACGTAAATTAGTCCGTTCGCAACATAGTCCGCACATAAAAATAATAGTCGTACGTTTAATTGCGGTCTTTTCTCAGTACTAAACTCACCGCTCCGAAAAGAGCCGCTTTTAGAAGAATGTCTATATGTAGTTATACGAACTGTAGTGGGATCTGATTCGTTTAAAGTTAGAAACACTACCTGTTTCGGCAATTCTATTTGCACAGCTAGATGGACATTTATTTACCTACATTATAAATATTATAAACATAGCTATGACTTCAAATCGTAAGCACTTCTATGATCCGACCTGCGTAAGTGTCTGTTCCCCCGTTTCTTATTACGAATCAGCCTTTCAACTTATCTTTGAGCTGAAACTACTAAGGTGCGTTTTTTTTTAACCCGAGTAAGGGGTCGCCTATTTAATTTGTAAGTTAATACATGTAGTAACCTTTTAAGAGTTGGGGAGATGAGTAGCGTATAGTTTATTAAAACAAAGTCGTCCTAGCTCATCACATTTCCAAGTCAAGCATCCCACTGAATAAGTCAGTCCTGTGACACCACGTGGGATATGCCATCAACGCCATGCTATGCCTCGTTACGCCGTACTATGCTATGATATGCTATGCTATGCGGTGCCGTGCTATGCAACTATGTAATGATATCCCGTACGCCGCTAAAGGATGGACGAATGAAACCCAAGTTAACACGCTTTTTGTGATGCTTTCGAACCATGCGCAAGTCGATCGACGCCATCTTCTATTCGGTGTTTGTTGCCAGGGTCACAGTGCCGTCCTTACTAACCACTTTGCCACGGTCCCACTCTCTCAAACCACCAGCCTTGGTCCATTGTACGTCGCTTTCGTCCTTAGTGTCACCCTTTTCCCACTTCTTGATTTGTTCTTCAGTAAAACCTGCAGACCGTAGTCTATCCGCTCCTTGCTGTTTCCACTTTTGTCGATCACGAAACGCTTCTACCGCATTATCCCAGTCATCTGCGTCTTCTTGCTCGGGCGTCACGTCTTTGCTTGGGTCGTAATCGAGGGCAAAACGGCCGTCTATCCCAGACGTGGCGGCGTTAGCTCCCCGTCCTCGTCGATGAACGGTAGAGTTTTTAGCCGGCGCAGGGCCAATGATATCGTCTAAGGGATCCGAGTCAGACGAGTCCTGGGAAGATTGACGCTGGGTGCGCTTTGAGGTCCTTGATTGGTGATGGTGGCCTTCGCGTCGTGGCGAACGTGCCCTGTGCGAGCGCCGGTCTTCTCGTCTCCCCTCATCTCGGCGATGGGTTCGGTGTGAACTTCTATCGCGTTCTCTCGAAAGGTCCCTTCGACTTTTTTCTCTTCTTACATTCCTATCACCTTCAGCATGAGGCGCCGCTGGGTCTGAAGCATGGCTGGTAGATGCCTCGGTCTTTTCAGTCCTACGCCTCTTAGACGATCCTCCGAGAATGGCAGCGATATCACCTAGCATACGCTTTCGAGTGTCGCTAGGTCCGGGCCTGCTCTTGCGCAATCTCAGCTCTTCTTCCCTCCGCTTCTTGTCTTCCGCGTCTTCGAGGTCACGAAGTTTTGCCTTAGACTCGGCGCTTTCTTTGGCAAGAAGGGCTCGATTATGGCTATTGGTGTCACGAATGATATTGTTGAGGAATCGGGTGTTAGGTTTAGGTTGATTTGCAGGACGCCTGGAGGGTATAGCTGTTAGCTACTTGGTACTAGGGATAGAGAAGACAGAGGAGCAGAGACTCTGGTGACACAACAGTGAATTTATGCATTAGGTAGACTAGGCGCTTACTTATTAGATTTGAATGCATCTAGACCCATCGCAGAATATCTCAGAGAGCAATCCTGGGCTTCCTTAACCAGAAGCTCAGCGACTTGGTCGTCTGTTAGTAGGTCTTCGGGAGGCATTTTCGGTTGCATAAGGGAATCTAAGAGGAATAAGTTGAATATCGCTAAGGGTTCATAAGATCGTTAAATCAGCGCAATGATGTACGATTCTAGTCAGCGGGGTGAATGGTTCAAAGTTAAATGGACAGCATATACATGTTGGACAAGTGGGTCTATGTCCCCCGTCCATTAAAGGAACTTGCCAACGCGCCAAACTATACCTAATATACGAAGTAGTTACCAGAAAAAGAATTAAAACCCATGTCCCAGTTACATACATGTACCTACCTAACCTAAGGTAGTGTAGGTATCTGCCTGTTTGTCCAATACGCTTATCCTTTATTATCCTTTATCTCTTATCACTTATCAATTGCAGGGTCTCACTACGCCAACTATCCACAACCCACCTTTCCTTTCTTAGACGAAAGTAAATACACAAGACGACGTCAAAAGCATTGAAGTCTGATTATACCTAAGGTAATTTGCTATGTACATACTTGAGTAACAAAAACTTCAAATTTACTAGTCAATTTTACTAGGATTACCAAATACAGGACCCGATCCAGTCTACTTAAGAAGACACGCGACGAATCCATTCACCACCAATGATGGCGCCTCCTTCAGCCGAACATGTCTTAGCTAGGTTACAGACACTTGGTGCTAAGCAGGACATCACCATCTTAAAGCTCAGTGAACCTATATCGGCTGCGGTCACACATCTACAGGATGCTCATCAGCGAACATCTGATGTATCTAATTCATCCCTTGATGCAACTACACCATCCTCTCTTGAAGCAGATTTAACACACTACCGAGAGCTATTCGCCAAGCTGCGATTTAGTTATGTAGAGCAAGTCTCCAAGGAGAAGTTCATCCGAGCTATCGTGGGCGATCCACCTCTTATTGTTAGCCCCCAAGAAAACTTGGATCTTGAGAAGGAGAATCTAGAGGCAAAGGCTACGTTAAAGGCCTTGAAAACTGAGGTCGCATCCATGGTCACCGAGCTTGAGGAGAAAGCGAGAGACCTCAGTCGAAAATATGAAAGAATCAAGGTTGAGACGGTCAAGTTGGAAGAACTTCCGCGCAAGGTTGAAGATCTCGAGAATGTAGTTGCAGAGTTAAAGAAGACGCAGAAAACAGAATCAAATCCAAACCCTGAGCTGAATCTGCCTCTATCCAAGACCTTGGACCTGGTCGAGTCAAAAAAGCAGCGAAAAGCCGAACTGGACAGGCAATTAGAACAACTGCAAAGCCAAGTCCCAAGGAAAAAGAAGGAACTAGATCGATTGCAAGCTGAGCTACAGCCCCTCGAGACAAAGAGGCAGAATAGCAAGACTGCTGCAAAGGAGGCGCGGAGGCGGAAGGAAGCTGCCCTTGGTGGTGTTCAAGATGACCTAGAGGAGCGGGGACGCTGGTTTATATCTGCAGAAACAGGTTTGAAACAAGTATTGGAAATAGAGAGCTGAAGTACCATTGCAGCTCTATCGTTCAACGGGTGCCAGGCGTTTTGAGGTTTCTATCATGTTTTCTATTGTATCAACATCACATAATGATATATGAGAGGAGGCATATCAGGGGAAGCAAACACGGGCTTGTAGAGGACATATGTCCATACAAGTTTCTCCAAAGAAACGAACTATGATACTACCATACTTTACGAAAAGCTACACACGCACATTCGGGCCTCACGTAATATACGCCAAGATATAAATAGAATTGGTTTATATAGTACTCGCGACTGTATCCATATCCGACACTCAAGTTACGAATCAGCCTTGATGAGATCGACCGCCTGCGAAGCGTTAGTAGATATCTTCGTGCACACCAGATGTCACTTACCTTCTCAGCAATGGCATAGACACTCTGGCAAGTGTTGGCTCCAGGCAATGTAGGCATAATACTAGCATCGACAACTCTCAGATTCTTCACACCGTACACCTTCAGACTCTCATCAACCACGCCTCCAAGTTCTCTTGGCATCATGGCGCAAGTTCCCGAAGGATGGAACTCGGAAGGACTAAGGTTCTGCGCCAAAAAGCCGGCCAGATCTTCGGGCTCGTTAACGTAGTCGGGTGGCTGTACCTGCCTGGGGGAAAGCTCCTTTAGTCTTGTCTCGAAGAAATATCGCTTAGTGAACCGGAGCATCTCGATCATGATATCGAGATCGACAGGATTAGTAAGGGCCCTGTAGTCAACTATGGGTTCTGTGTTGAATGGGTCTGCGGTGTTGATGTTCACTGTACCGCGACTAAGTGGATGCAAATCTACCAATGTGCCTGAGGACCCGGCTCCGGTTAGGACGTGGTTACTAGACAATGCGTGGTAAGTTACTATTATCAAGTGCAAAGGTTTTTAAGTTAAGAAGCATCATCAAAACAGGGGAGAATATTCTAAGGCGAGAAACGTGCCTAGACATAGTATACGTGGTGTAGACTTGTACTGAAAGTAGCTACTTACTAGAAAGCTGTGTTCGAGGAACGGATTGACGCCGCCATCTTCTTCATTTGCGCGCTATACCCTATTTATCGATGTCAGTTTCTCCCATTCATTTGTTGTCTTTTTCCTGTCCCTTAACATGGAGTATTCAAATAACCTACCAGCAACAACTGTTGGGTCTGTATCCGGGGGTAGCTGAGCAGCATGATCTTGATTTTCCAGCTTAGATGCTATGCTTTCGAACCTCTCAGGGGAAATTACAGGCATGCCTAGCCACGCTGCAGCATTGCCAATACCCATCGAATATGGTCCTAAAATATGTCAATATCGTTTCAGGGTCCTGCATATCTCGTACCTTTTTTTGCTTACCCGTCTTGTTAGCTCTCCAGAGCTCCTGTGCCCAGTCAGTGAAGTTCTTGTTTCCACCAAACATATCCAATGGGCTTGGGTGAGTCGTAAAGTTCCGGACTAAAAAAGGCTTTTAATTAACATCTTCAAATACTTATAATATTAGTGGTTACTCACGGACAATGCTCATGAGGAGCATTGGGTGATCCTGGAAGTTTTGGCCGACGCCAGGTAAGTCAACAGTCATATTCAAGCCGGCTGACTCCAGAAGCTTCCTAGGCCCGATCCCACTGCGCTGCAATAGTTGGGGAGAGTGGATTGCGCCTGCAGAAAGAATAACCTCACGGTTGGCCTTGACTGTGGTGAAAGTGGTAGCATTGCCATTCTTTTGTCGAAAAATAACTCCCGTGGCAGTTCCCTCTTCGAGAAGAACTTTCGTCACATGAGACTGGGTAACAACATCATAATTTGTTCTGTTAATCCCATCGTAATGCCCAGTCCTAGCATATGACCTTTGAACTTTTTTAGGGTCCATGAAAGTCGGAAACCAGTAAACACCTGCCTTGCCTGCACCACTGTCGGGGGGGAACTCAACACCAGGTATGTCTCTAAAGGCCTCTATTTGCGTAGCTAAATCTTGTGTTAGTAGACAATATTAAACCAGGCAGGTCAAGTCGCTTACTTAAACCAGGCCACTGGAAGAATGGCCATCCTACGTATACGTTGGAACTGTTACCCCAGAATGATGTATCAAACGTGAGGTTCACGGACTTCGTCACGGCAGGGTCAGGGGGCACAAAAGTAAGACCCTTAATGGATTAGTTATAATATCACCATGAGGGACACAGAAAACCTTACCTTCTTCAGGTAAGGCAGAAGCCCATCCCAAGACCAAGTAGAGTTATTACTGAAGAAACTACCCCATCGGTCATAATCTTCAGATGTCCCTCGAACAGTCATCATTGCATTAATCGCCGAGCTGCCGCCAACTAGGTTTCCAGCTATAACAGCCGTGCTTCGGTTCTGTAGGTTAACTTGAGGGACAGAGTTGATCTGATACGACCAAGTCGGGCCCATGGCAGCAGTACCAGAGAAAACTTGGTTGATTCTAGGGGAATCAACTTAATGTTCGAGCGTCAGTAGGCCTATTCGATATCCGACTCTTTATCGGAGTGTAACCCACCTACTTTGCCATTTTCAACGACCAAGACAGTAGCTAACGTTAAGATATCAGTACGCAAAGTAGTCCAATGTTAGATCTCACTGAAACTCACTTTTCCCATCTGCTGTCAAACGATCTGCTACTGTCAAGCCGGCTGTTCCTGCTCCGACGATCACATAATCATACGAGGGCTTCACCTGTGTTGAGCCGTTCAAGAACCTCAACTGGAGCTCCGATAAGCGGCGTGCCTGAGCAAACGGCTCAGCTACTGCGAGCAACAGAGTTGCGAAGAACCCAAACCTCGAGACTGAAGCAAAAGACATCATGGAATCATAGGTCTCCTAACTAGACACGAGGCTTGAGCTTGACCCATGATGGCGGCAGCGGGTATCATTTAAGTGATCTATATTTTAACAGACCACCCTAGGTCGCCCCCCTCCCCAAACAAGATGGCTCGCTCGCTCGAGGTTACATGCCAAAGATGAGAAGGTAATATACATCAATGTATCAACAGACAGCTCCATCGAGTACGAGCAAGGTAAAGGTAGACTCCTCGGGCCGGATCCGTGAATGGAGCAAGGGAAAACTTTACAGCCCTAGATCACGGCTCCATATATTCCAATTTCTCTATAACCTTAGACGACCTATTAAGTATGACTTTACCTAATATATTGAATTTAGTCGAACTAGTAAGCCTCAATTCATCGGCAGATCTCGCGAAACTGGCAGATGTCCCCTGCAGCAAAACGTGGCATAGATATATGCCACCTAAGGCTGAGTATGTATTGCGGGGATCTTAATTACATGTTAAGGTCTTCTACGCTTAAATAGAAAAATATGTGTCAATTTCCCGGGATCACTTATGCTGACTGGAATTAGCCGCCAATATAAGGGGACGCGCCATCTGCAGTATACACGACGTAAGCGCCTTTCTGTCTAATATTTCTTTTCTAATAATACACCACGGGGGAGCATAGAAACGATTCCTATGATGGATATCTTCAAGCTTTTGCGCGAGTTAGAGTAGTGCGTATTATATTGCCGGATAACCTCAGGAGACTCTAGATTATTATATTGCCGGCCTTTTACGTGGGTAAGAAACGTGCTCATGTCTGGTACTTGAAAATCACATTCCAGGATACTCAAGCTTTCGGAAAATATCCTGATATATCTCTACTTAGTGTAGACATTAGGCATAATAGATAAAATAGAAAATCAACTTACTTTACTAGCGAGGAAAGGAATCGTGTTTAGAGTTGCCGAAATACGAAAACTCCTTCTTTAGTAGCTCCGCTGGTCCCTTTGCAAGGTTCATTAGTACGAGTACCTCTCTCGTTCAGCCGGATCAACTTCGGGGCTAATCACTTGTCCTATTAGTTTGGGGTCGAATATTGCATAGTTTCTATAGTATGTTTAATATCTTAAACAACGTTGCCACCTAGCCGGGCTCCGCTATTGGAAGGACGGAACTTTACTAGCCTTACTAATTATATACTATCGTATATTCATATCCATCCAGTAAAAGTTCACAATATTGCTAATCGTTTCCCTCTTGAGTTATTCACGTCTTTCAAGTATATTTCCGTAAAATAGGCCATCTAGCAGGGTATTGGCATCTAGTCCAAAAGTCTTCATCTGGTATGCTGTGGTGGAGCCCCTTTAATGGGATCCAGTGGAGTTATGAGGTTTAAAGTAGCATATATATTTATTCACGTATCAATTATGACTATAATTTTGGTTCCTACAAGGCCCTATATATCACCTATCTAGTAGACAAGATACGCATTTGGATTTAACCAGCAGTAATGCGAATTTATTTCGGTCTGTCATGTGCATCCAGCCACCTGCTACGTTTATCTTCCCCTGACTAGTACATAACCTGACCAAAACAATCCCAAAATGGGATTTTCACGAGTATAGAAAGTCTGTGCTAGATATCTATTTTAAGTTGTTCAATTTACTTTTTTTAAGAAATTTAACAATTTTTCCTCAAAACCTTTGTCAGCAAGATCCCAGATAGTTTACGAAACATTTAAGATAATGTAAGGAATTTTTGTAGCCGAGGAATAGCATCCTATATAAGTAGACATGACGTGACTATTCATGCCCAATACTCAATTTTACTATTTTATCAAAACCTATCATATCTCGTTATTTATGCCTGGAGTTTCAGGACGGATCAGGAATAATATTCAAAATAGCATCAACCTGCCTGTTTCTCTGGTCTACAATATAATTTCTGCAATACTAAAATCTATTTTTGAGACGAAAATTAACTCCTTGTGTACCTATTTATCAAATCAGAATATACGATTCCCCTTCTTTATTGCCCTACAATAATAATAACATGTCTATTACTGTTCTATTCACAACGCTAAACAACAGTGTCGTGGGCAAATGTCTGCTTTTGGTCAACAAAGCCATATGTAACAGAATTTTCCAGGCAAATTTCATCATCTTAGTATTTGCTATCGGCACCTAATTAGAGCTATAATCTACCCTAACACAAGCTTTTTGGTAGGGACCAATCAAACCAGTTGCCTCCGAAGCATCTAGACGGCAAAAGGTCACAGCTCTAACATATTTGTACAATCAATACTATAGATACCAATACCATCCTATTCGAAAATATAGATTATATATGCGCTCCTAAACTTTGTGTTCCTAATTTATATAGGTTAAATACTCCAATATCACAATATAACGTCTCCGTAGGGTATTTTCACATGAGCATACTTATTTCCTGAATTTTATGATTAGATACACCAAGGATCATCATTCTTGTCGATTCCCGCCACCTCTTCTACGTTATAGTATCATTTAATAATCCATATAGGAGAGCATGGTACCAATCTAGATGACACGGTATATTCCATTCATTGAAGGTTAAGATTGAATAACCTACATAATTCAAAATTGATCAAAAATAGTTATTAACGAAGCTATGGAATGTTCGATTACCATTCACTTTCAGGGTTAAAATCATGAACAGGATATTAATACTGATTAGTTTGTAATTTCTATTCAAGTTTGTACCATGAGTCATGGCATGTAAGAAAATGGCAATCACAATTTGTTAAGTGAATATTTTGAATAGCTTGGCCTAGATTGGTTGATAAATCGGGTCCATACAAATTTCTATGATTGGCAGTAAACTGATTTTGGATATTAACAAGAGCTTATCAATTGATCTTGGTTGATCATACACAAAGGGATATCCATGAATTCACTTGGAATAACACTAACAGGTACATAGGAAATAATAGGCTCCTGATTCTGATTTGATCTAGATGGTCCAATTACAAGAAGAAGGAAAATAAATCAAGTTAAGATACATACCTAGGTACTGATCAGGTACACTCCTCAATTTGAGGAAGGTGCTCCCTTTGAGTTGAATCAGTATCCCATTGGCCCATTGCTCCATTAGGACATTCACATAATGATATAATGATTGTACTGAAACATAAAGCAGTGAATTATGGAATAATATAAATAATATAAATACTAGGCAGCTGTAATGGCCGTTTATATTAATGGACCAGCTTTGATAGGCTGTAAAATGTTTAGCTTGTAGTTTTAAGATGGCAGGCGCATATATATGGTATAGTATATTCGGACTAACCAAACTTGGGCCTGCCTCGAGAACATCTCAACTGAATTTCAACAACTGATTACTCACACAAGATATTTACTCTACGAGGGGGCAAACATACTTACCTTAGGTAGGTAGGTAGGTATGGTACTTGCATGTATGAGTATGATATGTACATACAAGGTGGGCTTATCAAGTACAACTCCGGGGTAGGAAGTTGCGGGCCCCCCTTTTTCCCCTTGAGGTGATACACAATAGTGCTTCTGCTCCTTCCGTCAATAGGAAATACTCGGGGCCACAATTCCTGTACATGCCTCAGCTGATATTTAAATTCACTTGTTCTGGAGGAGCACCTCTACGCAAGTACCAAGTATTAGCTTCCTTCTTGATTAAATGTAATTGCGGTAGATATACAACGTTGCCGGCGCAAACCATTTAAAATCACCAGTCCCCCCCAAACCCTTTCCCAGTCCTACAAAACATTCCTTCTTCCTTACTCTTACTTAACCTGTTCTAATTCCGTGTCACTCTCTATTTAGTCATCCACACAGCTTTCTTTACAACTTCGTCTACAACATTCATCCACATCTCATCCACATCTATCATCTCTTGCCACAACTTTCGTTTACAACTCTTGATTCAACTCTCTCCATTGGCATTTGGAGGTATTTGGTGAGTGCTCAGATTATTCCTCGCCTACCTAAGATACCCCCTAGTCATACTCCCCATTAAGTGGTGCGGTCTTGATGCGAAGAAAATAATTCTAGGGAGGCAACTTGAATATCGCAGTTCAGCTTTGACATCTAACACCTAGTTGCACAGTTGGAACGATATCTTGACAAGTTAGAGATATTGATACTCTCTGGCATCGACGTGAGACGCGCGCTGCTGATACTTCAGTCTAAGCACGCGAGTTCTTAAGTCTTGTTGCTGCAACGCGACTTGAGTATTGGTCAAAGCTCTAATCTGGTAGTAAGTATTTCTCCTTAGATCCATTCACTGTTAACTTGCAACTTGCACGTCTCATACCTTGCCGTCCTTTCCCATCCAGCCCCACCTTTACCAACTAACGCCGCTTCGTCTGCAGCAACAACTTTTGAACATTGTCCTTCGTCCGCCATACCATCACATCCCCGATCAGAAACTGCAAACACTTGCACTCCTATCTCGGTAAGTCCATTTATCTTGTGTCCAAGTCTTCCTCATCGCAGCAATCCTTTTCCCTTCTCACAAATATATGCTGACCCGGGCAGACACACAAAGCAATTCTTCATCTTGCACCAATTTTGTCGACTGTATTTCGAGAAGCCTCGCTGGTAGTAAGTTCATCCCTTCCATCGCCCATCATCACTCATTCCCCATTCCTTATCGCATCTCCCAATGAGATATTCGTCGCGCAGTCGCAGTCTTTTCACCTCAATCCATCGTTGTAATCATCGAAACTGTGTTGTCCTCTCCTGAGCCATCAAATATTTGCCCCCTTTCCACGCGCAGACATAGAAGTCTTCGTCGTGTTCTACAGACGCATATCCTCTGCTGTTTGAGGCACCAGCGCTTTTACTAGTTCTCCTTCATTTTTGTCTCTTGTCATGAAATGGTAACGTGACTATCTCGTCTTCCTTTTTGTTTCTTGTGGTCTTATCATTATACACCATCAAGACGCAGCACATGTTACTTCGATTTGCTTAGCCTAGTTATTATAACTAGCTTGGGTTTGTATCAACTGATGCTCAT